GCCTTCGACACCGTTCTGGTGTCTGTAGACGAGTACGATGGCCTGAGTGCCGGCATGAATGTGATGGTCACTCTTGTCAAACACGACGATCATCGTCGTCGTGCTGCTGCGGCGCTCCATCTGACCAAGTTCTTCGCCGAAGCCGAGCTCGACTTCTCGAGGTACTACCAGGACTTGATCCGCGCCTTGCTGATTTCGTTCGATGACCCAGACAAGGATGTCGTCAAGTCGGCATGGACTGCCCTCACTGGTCTCATGTCTCACATGCGCAAGGAAGAGATGGAGAGCTTGGCTATTCCCACCCGCCAGATTCTGCGACAGGTGGGCGTGGCTGGCGCGGATCTGCCCGGCTTCAGTCTGCCCAAGGGCATCATGGCTATATTGCCGATCTTCTTGCAAGGTCTTCTCAACGGTACTACCGATCAGCGTACCCAGTCCGCTCTTGCAATGTCGGATATCATTGACCGGACTCGTGCCGAGTCATTGAAGCCTTTCGTCACTCAGATCACCGGCCCGCTCATTCGTGTTGTGTCAGAACGTTCAGTCGATATCAAGTGTAAGTCATGCAAAACCTTTACGTGGTATCTGTTCACTGATTTATTTTGCCAGGCGCTATCTTCTATACTCTTAACAAGCTGCTGGAGAAGATCCCGTTGGCCGTCAAGCCGTTCTTGCCTCAGCTCCAGCGTACATTCGCCCGTGGTCTGGCCGACACCACAAGCGAGACTCTGCGCAACCGGGCTGCCAAGGGTCTTGGTATCTTGATTACGCTGACCCCCAGAGTTGATCCTCTTATTGCTGGTAAGTCTCGGGAAGTTTTATACATGGGATGTAGCTCATCGCTAACTTTTATCTCTAGAACTTATTGCTGGATCGAAGACCACCGACATTGGCGTGAAGAACGCCATGATGAAGGCTCTCCAGGAGGTGGTTGGTAAGGCTGGCGCCAACATGAGCGAGGCATCCCGGCAAGCGATCCTTGCTCTGATTGATGATGACGCTAGCGACCAGACCGGTAAGATCATTATTAACGATTCCTGTGTTTCACGTTCTAACATGCTCACAGATTCCGTTTCCATTACCAACGCCCGTCTGCTCGGTGCTCTCGTGAAGGTCCTCCCTGCCACAAGCTCTGTTCCTCTCATCAAGTATGCATATTCGTTCTCGTGGTTTGACTCTGCTGGATGCTAATATACTTCCTCGTAGGAACCGTATCCTTACTGGCTCCCTTTCTCATGCAGCGGTCCTCGGACTCAATGCTCTTTTGGCTGAATGCGCGGAGGTTTTGACGGAACACTTCTCTGTGGAGCTGCCCACCGTCATCTGCCAAGGTCTTGCAAACAAGGATGTAAGTGGAATGCTATACCACCCATTATTACTCCAAACTAATTCAAAAACAGCCCTTCGTCTCCGACAACAGCGCTCTTGCCGCAGGTAAATACCTCTTGTCCAACGATGGTGATCATGCTTTCGAGTCAAGCAAGGTCATATTCGAGGCCTTGGCATCTGCCATCCAGGTCGGCAACCCGGTCGACACCCGGCGGTTAAGCTTGGTAGTCATCCGGACTGTCAGCCGTCTTCACCCCGAACTGGCCCGTCCTCATCTGGCTCTGCTCGCACCGCCCATCTTCGCTAGTGTCCGTGATCTGGTGATTCCCGTCAAGCTGGCCGCGGAAGCAGCATTCTTGTCTATCTTCTCCGTTGTCGAGTCTGACAGCGAGGTGTTTGATAAGTATATGGCCGGCCCGGGTGCATCTCTCCCACCAGGCCCCAAGCGCAGCATGTCTGATTACTTCAAGCGCATTGCTGTTCGTTTGGCTAACCAGGCGCGTGAGCGTCGGGAGGCTGAAGGTGGTGAGGGTGGCTTGGGACTGTCGAATGACGAGCTAGATGATGAGAAGGAATTGTGGAGCATTGGCAAGGTTGATCTTGGAGAGGCCTTTGGCGATGAGTGATGATCCGTTTGCGCATCCAAGGAGCATCTAGATGTTTATAGATATACCCTTGGGTTTTTGTTTGTTTTAGTCGTACAAAAGTTATGCATATGTATGTTTTTGTATATTTTATATTGCGTCGTTCTATATCAATGGGCGGCCATCTACTGGACTCTATAGTTACTGCAGATCACTCTTTCCTAAATGGGAATAGCGGATCATGTGACACTGCTTGTATTTGATATCACGTGATAGTATTCATTTTTTTTGGCCATCTACAACGAAAGCCATGGCACACGGCGAAAGAGAAAAAAGAAGAAAGCCCAAACTGCAATCCTCTTATTCCCCCAGCATCTTCAATCCAAATTTTCCCAGTGTAAGTACTCTTGGCTTCCCCGGACTGCAAGATCTTCAAGTTCCATCTTCCCGATTCGGACTAGCGCTAGGGCATACACCCTGGAGCACTCCGCCTGTTGTGGAAGGAGCACTCGCTTAGCCCTCGGCTGACCTAATCTGGCCCGCAGTGCCCTCTCAAACTCTCACCGTCGGGATTTCTCAGTGCCACGAACATCATCCGCCAACGACCGTCGATACGCCGACATCAAGATGTGAGTTCTATCTCCAAGCTGTTATTGAACTTCTCGAATGCACTCCCGTGTGCTGTGGAAATTCATGTCCAACACCCAACTCGTGCACCCGATATTTTCGTTATAGTGGAGGAACAACTTCGTGATGTGTGTGCTATGATGCTGACCGGGTCTTTCACCATCACAGGGTCAACCTTACCACCCAGAAGCGCCTCGCCGCCTCCGTGGTCGGCTGCGGCAAGCGCAAGATTTGGCTCGACCCCAATGAGATGAACGAGATCTCCAACGCCAACTCTCGCCAGACCGTCCGCAAGCTCGTCAGCGATGGCCTCATCATCCGCAAGCCCGTCACCATGCACTCCCGTGCCAGCGCCCGTGAGCTCAACGAGGCCCGCCGCAACGGCCGTCACCGCGGTCTGGGTAAGCGCAAGGGTACCAAGGATGCCCGTATGCCCAGGTATGCACACCACCACCAACGTTTTTTGTCTCCTTCCGGCCTGTCTCGGACGCGCCCGGCGGAACTGGAATCCGGACACAGTTGCTGATGTCGCTTTTCTCTGTTTAGCCAAGTCCTCTGGATGCGCCGCATGCGTGTTCTCCGTCGTCTGCTCGTCCGCTACCGCGCCGCCGGCAAGATCGACAAGCACCTCTACCACGAGCTCTACCACCTGAGCAAGGGTAACACCTTCAAGCACAAGCGTGCCCTCGTCGAGCACGTAAGTTACAACCCCGATCAACCCCACGGATGACGATCGAATATGGAACATGAACTCCATGACGATTATTCCATGAAACACGCAAAACAGAACACACCCAGGCTGACTTGTTCTCTTTTTCACCGCTACAGATCCAGAAGGCCAAGGCTGAGCGTGCACGCGACCGTGTCCTCAAGGAGGAGATGGATGCTAAGCGTGCCAAGAACAAGGCTCTCCGTGAGCGCCGGTTGGAGCGCAAGGACGCCAAGCGCGACGCTCTGGTCAACGAGGAGTAAATCTGATACAAAAATTCAATTACCCTTCCGTTGTTTGACGCTTTTCTTGCAATTCGGCGGTCCGGAGGTTGGAAACGGTTAACTTCTGGGTTGGATTCGGGATTCTAGGCTGTTCCCGATATCGAACTCAGGTCGGCCTTCGGCGTCTTCCTATTAGTCTAGATTCTGTTACGACTTTCTCTCCTTCCCTTTGTTTTCTCTGATAGCATGGGGTTCGTGGCCTTATTGGATCTTTTCGGAAAATATGGGGTATGGGAAATAGGAAGATGCGATGATGATGTGATACTCAAGCTATTCTTGTTAAAATGTAACGAGAAAGCAAAAGGAAATCTTTTTTTACTTCACCAAAAAAACAAAACAAAAACCGCACCCTCGTTCCCCGTCCATATCTACTGCGCCTTTGTGGTATAAACCTGATATGCGGAGAAGCAGATCGTGTCTGTTCCCTCTAGAAGCCAGTGGATACCATTGCCCTCGGTGGTCTTACTCGTATATCCCCTATGCTCCCAGTTTTGCTACTCAGTAGTGATCACCAGATGTGTTCTTGTCGTTCGGAGTGTACTGCATGGATGTCCATTTCATGCTTTATGCATATTTCATCTCCATGATTCCCATGATCCTGTCCCCTTGGCAACTGCAGCCTCGTGGATCACAGACCGCCAACGTAATTTATGGGTCTTGTGGCTACGCCACTGCTATTCTGGGGATTTGATCTAAAATGGCCTACCCACTCACTTCTAGACTTAACAGCCCACTCAACCCACAATATTGACATGGATACTACTAGAAAAGGAAGGCCTGGCTTTCTTAGCCTGTTTTGAAATGCCTGCTAGACCAATTAAATCAAAGATCTAACCAGATTTGCGTTGATATATCATTACCGCTGAATATATATCTGCATCGCATAACCCCATAATCTTCCGAGTATGAAAATCCATGATTAGTAGCCAAATATCAGCGCAGAACGAAAGTACAGGATAATATAATAACTCGAAAGTAGCATTAGCGTTCAACTAATTCTGAAATATATCAATGACCGCAATAGACAACAATTATGCCTCAAGCGTGGTGTCATCCGAATCCCAGGAACGCGACCCATTTCTAACCAACCTCTAGAAGAAAAGAAGGAAATGCAAGGACGGTGGAAATGTTTGAATATATTTCGTAAATAGAGATAAGATTTGACTACTTCCGCCCTCGCTTTAAATCGTACATGTCAATATAATCCCAATGAACAGCCCAGACCTTCAACACCGAACTCTAGACAAGATATAAATGCATCCAAGGCAGAATCCCAATAAGCAAGTAAATACAAGAAGAAGAAAAAGAAAACATGCAGACATCGCATTCGTAAGATCTTGTCGTCGTAAATCAAAGGGAAGCCAAAAAAAAAACCCAAGTGTATCAATGTGAACGTATATATATGCAAGAAGAAAAACCCAATAGAAAGTAAACGATGAAGCAAAACAGAAGCGAAATGTTCGCCATCTAAAACTTGACACCCCACGTAGCCGAGATCGGAGGAACCGAAGACCGGTGGTGAGCATTCGGCGGAGGCTCAAGATCAAGATCGAAAGGGTCACTGCGCATGCTATCACGGATCATAGGCATATCCAGGTACCCATGCGGTACAGCGAGGGCATTCGCACCCTCGCGCTCGCAGTCCCAGTACCCCTGCCCACCGAGCTCGGCGCCCCGGGAAGAAGTGGAGTAGAGCGAGACCGAGCGAGATGGGGCTGAGATCTCGATGACTGCGGACGGCGGGTCCACGAAGGGGTCCTGCGCTGTTGTCTCACCGCGCAGGTACATACTGTCTAGGGATAGGTCTGGATTTGAGGGATGCTGTTGCAGTGGGATGAATGGGAGTATGGGTGATCTCGGGCCGATGTTGGCTGGGATCGAGGGGTAGGAGTGGTAGCGGTGGTGGTGGTAGCTGATTGACGAGCTCGTTGAGTCGCCTCGTAGTAGTTTCTGTCTGATGTCTAGCCTCTCTGTTGCTATTTTTCGTCGTCGGCGACGCATATAGAGTGCGTAGGCTAGTAGGGCGAAGATTGTGATTGCTGATCCTCCGATGATGCTTCCAACTATCGTTCCGATTTTGGAGGATGTGGGGCTCGAATTGCCGGCTTGGGCTGTTTCTGAAGAGCTTGCGCTCGTGATGGTTCCGATGGATGGTGATATTGTAGGTGTGTTTGTTGGTGTGGTGCTCGAGCTAGCAGAGGTACTGACGGAACTTATGGAGCTTACGGAACTAGTGGCTGTCTCCGGCAAGACAGGTAGTGATGATGAAAGAGATATACTCGAGCTAGTTAATGGAATCGGTAGAGTCCATATGCTGCTAGAAGCATCGGAATGCCATGAATGATGGTCGGATGATTCCGAAGTTGCCGAAATAGAAAAGTCCCCCATTGAGCTTGATAGAACCGAGGTTGTTGGGATCAGAGTCGAAGTTGGGGGCTCTGAGATAACTGTTGCTGCAGAGCTGGTAGTGGATATTATGGTGTCCTGCTCAGTTGTCGACAGCGTAGTCGTTGTCAGAGTCACAGTCACCGGAGTTGGGTTCAGTGCTGACAATAATCCAAGCACAGTGGTGGCGGTGCTGGAATCAGGTCCGGAGCCCGATATCGTGTAGACCCATGTAGGATAAACAGTCTCCGTTTCAATTGACGTTATTGTCACCAGATTGGAGGGCTCAGAGGACAATTGTGTGGACCACGCCTGGATGAAGTTGTTGAGCGGGGCAGAGGGAGTATCAATGGCGGAAAAAGCACTCAACATCTCGCCGCGAGCCCGCAGGGGGCATCGGTCGTTAAAAACCAGATCTGATGATATTTGCTGAGTCCGTATTCGATGAATGGGACATGGGGGCGATGTAAAAAGATGGATCGCTTTGTATGATAGTTGGACAAAGCAACCGACAAAGCAGTAGGTTTATCCAGTTGACTCTGATGGTTCATCCAAGCCTCCTCTGTTCCTTGCTTTGTTGCTTGAAGCCTTGAGACAGCCACGAACATAATCCCGTGGTCAGGGCTGGATTCCATACAGTTCACGATTCACCTTCTTAGGGGCCCAAAAAGTGTATCATGTCAGATACAAAGAGATCGGAGGGGTATATACAGAAATTTTTCCTTTTTTTTCCTCCAGAGAATGTGCCAGGGGGTTTTGTCTTTCATTCTGGAACCCGGCGCTTCTTCTGATGGCTGGGTGGAAGCAACTCCTGTGACAGATGAGCGGCGCTTAGCTCTCGGTCCAATAAGACCCTCAAGCGGTCCACGAGTGGACGATCATCTCCAGAGAATATGGGAATTTCCATAATGTGACACTGGCTAAATTTTGTGCAGGCGTACAATCTCATCATTATTGTTCCTTAGGTAGGATTTGAGCGGGGAAAGTGTATCATGTATCACGGACGAAACAGGGCAGTTTCGGATTTGGCGAGAGATTCATTGAAATTTGGACTGATCCAACCTGGAGGGGTGACTCCCTGAAATTTCACGTTTTGCCTATTTCAGCTTTTGGTGTCTCGCAAGACTTGCAAGTCTTGCAGTTGGGAGTACTGTATCCTCGGCATCGAGGAATCGTAGCAATGCCTCTTTTGGTAGAAGTCATGTGACTATGTTCAGGTGGTTATACAAGGAGTTCACATTCATATAACATCCATGATATAACATCCATGGATGATATAAGAGAATAGAAGGGGGGGGAAAGGGGAAGAGATTACAGTACTAGAACAAAGTACGAAGAACGGAGGAGAAAGTGTGATAGCACCCGTGGACGTCCACACCTGCAACAAGAACATTCCCCAACTCTCATTCAACTCTCATCTCTTGACCAGACGAATGCACTTACGAATATTGTAGGTCATAAGCCATAGGTCAAGGGTCATAGATGAAAGGTCATAGGACATACGTATGTGTAGGTAGATGGTAGAATATATCAGATCCCATGTTTCGGAACAGAAGGACAAATGTTCCCGTTAAATTCCCCACCTGCAAAAGTCCCCTTCCTTTCATCTCTTCTTCCATCTCTCTTCATCATTTTATATGGGAAGTGGTTTTTTTTGATCTCAACTTACTCTGTTTATTTACCTTCCAACTATCTATCTCGGTGTTTCTGCCTCTTTACCTTTCCGCCTTCCCGTTCCCGTGTTCCATGTGACCTTGGGGGACTAGAACTTTGCGATAATCGTGCATTTGCATTTTAGACCTTTGATTGAAAATGTTTGGCTGGGGTTCTGGGCTGGGTAAGCATATCTCCCTTTTGACTACCCCTCGATGTTTCCACCCCCCCCCTCCCCCTCCCCCGCTATATCCCCCCCTTGTGGCAAGTTGAAATGTCAACAAGTTCACCTGGCCGCGTTGGATTGGAGCGCCTGGAGCGCCTGACTGTGGCCTAAAGTTCTATGCGACCTTAGATCTGTCGTCCAGACTTGAACGATGGACCACATTGACAGTCTCAACAAGCTAACACAACTCGGTAGCCTTGCCCTCCGCCACTTCAGAGCCGGAGAAGGAACGCAGACCCCCCGCTGACCCGACACCTCTCGATTTCCCCATCTACAACTTATCCAATGTCCTCGAAAATGAGTCGGAGTCAAGACTCAAGGAGATGTCCGACCTCCTGGCCGACATCAAACGCCCACAGGACATCTGCGTGGAGCGCTTCAAGCCGTTGAACCTGCAATTGGAGACAGGCGTCGAAGTCGCCCACATGATTCCCGAAGACCACTCGCACCCCGTCGCACCCTTGCCATGGGAAGATACCACCGAACCGACGGAAGACAATCCGCGACCGTTGATGGGCAACGGAGCCCCGTACCCCTCGAAGGAACGATACGAAGTCCTGGAAAAAGAGCTAGAGTTAGATAATGACGACGCTTTCCGCGAGGTGGCTCGATTGCCGCCGCGTGAGGGCCGCAGCCGAGTTCGTATAACGCAGTCGAGGAAGTTCTGGACGGGATTGGAGCGCATGGCTCAATACTGGGATACTAGCCTAGACCATTACTATGAGCGTCCGGCAACCCCCGATCCGACGCCCCCGTCTGAGATGGAGCGGGCAGAGGATGGCACAATGCAGGTGGATGCTGAGGATTCCAAGATCAGACACTCCCTGACAGACGGTGCAATGGACCTGGATGAAGCACAGACAGCCGCGCCTTCGAACAACGACACTTTTGGCGATGAGCAGCGGCCTTCTGTCCCTGTATACACGGGCCGCCGCATTGGCAACGGGGCCGAGATGCCCGATGAAATGCGTGACGAAACAATCCGAGCCTTCGTGGAGATGGCCGCATGGCCATTCGGATGCCAGGTCACGGTCCCCACGCTCCAACCACGACTGACCACTAAGAACCTCTTGTTCCCCGTCCGGCAAACATTCCAGTCCTCACGGTCCCCGCGGGACCGCCAGATTGCGCGGAGCGGCATGCTCGAAGGTCCCGTTCTCATCTCACAGTGTCGACCCGAGACGTCTTTCCGCACTGCGGACAATGCCCCCGGGACCGGGATTGGCGATGTAAGTGATTTATTCCGTGAGGTGGGCGGCATGCTTCTCGCGGCGCAAGAGCGTGCCCGCGAAGGCGCAGTCGAGAAGCGACCCGGCGAGGGCAAATGGTGGACCATGCAGCCTCGCTTCGGAGGCGCCCCCAACGACGGGATCCTGGATGATCTCGTTAATCACGAACACGGGATGTCCCTGCCGGACTCAATGATGGAAGAAAGCACGTCATCTGCCCAAGACGCGGGGGGCGCTTCCAAGCGTCACAAGTTCGAGCATCCGTTTGTCACGTCTCTATCTCGGAGGCCGAGTGCTATGCGCAGACTTACTACCAGTGAAAAGTGGAAGATTCTGCAGCCTGGACCTAGTCTTTGGGATAAGCGGATGAGCTATTTGCAGATAGGCAAGGTCCAGGAGAGTCCCTATGACGATGTATGCATACCCTGCCTTATTCATTGATATTGAGTGGACACGTTACGGCCAGACACAGCTAACCCTCCTTTTTTCCCTTGCAGATTTACATGATCTCATCTATCAACCACCACGTTTCAATCCTCCACCTCCGCGTCCACAGGCGGTATTTGGACATCCTCACCACCGGCGACAGCACATTCCCAACAACCGAAGGCGAGCCGTGGCATGTGCTGAAGCTGCAGAGGACTCGATGGCTCGACCTGTTCGACGCCAACGACCGCATAGAAGCGCTGAAGGGTGTGTGGCAACTGTTCCACCACCAGCTGAGACAGACACGCCGCGAAGGCGACGTCCCAGTCCCGCTAGAATTACCTTTAGAGTGTCCATTATAGAGCATGCATGATGGTATTCATGGGAACATGCTTTTGACTCCCTAGCCCCCAGTGACCTTTCTCAAGCGATGCATCTTGTACATACGGCGCAGCAATATTCGGTTTTTTTTCTCGCTTGCTGTGCCAACCTTCACCCCATTCTTTTACCCATACCCATCTTCAATGACAGCGGATTACATTGACTATTTACAATCTTGAATATATTGGCATCTGGCGGCGGGCTATTCATTTTACCGGTTACTAGATGCTCTTTTCTTTTCGGCTGGAAGGTGGTTATATGGGTGATTTGGGGTCTTGTGTTGTGCTTTGATATACCACGCAATGATTCTATGGATGGTGATTTTGATATCTTTCTTTTACTTGTGGACAACTTGATTTGATATACTTACTGCATATGGCGAGGTCCTGACTTGGATGACTTAGAATTCTGTTGGACTGGTCATCAGTTGGGATAATCCAATTGTCATGAACCATCTATACTCCGTACATGATTTCGAACTATCAAGACTCACAATCAATAAACCTCTTCTCCTCTGTGTAACTCATATCCATTCCGTTTCCAGCTACATAGTACAATCCACCATCTGAAAATACGCCTCGTCCCAATTCTCAACGGTACTTTTGTCAAGGTGAGATAGATCACCCTCCTAATTCCCATTCTATACGAAACCACCAGGATTGTCCTCACACCATCATCATCCATGAAACAACCAAACCAACGCGCCGGACATATTCGGCGTCTAACCCCATGACCTCACACAAACCCGATCATCAAATCTCGCCACACCAAAAACGAAACAAGAGAAAAACCGACAGCGTTCCAGGCCAGCCAAAAACCGACCAAAATGTGATATATCAACATGATAGTCCCTCTAAGTCCTGCTTCGGTCTTTGTATGGCGTAGATGGTGGGAGAGTGGAGCAGGACTAAGTTGGCTAAGGGGCGCTGAGACCCTTTTTGTTATTTTCCGAATTGATTTTTCTAGGTTTGTTTACGTACTCCGTACAGAGTAGGATATCTATGTACAACATAGTATATGATATAGATATACGATATACGATTTATATATGTACCTTATAGATAAATGTCTTTCATGTACGAACTCTATTATGTATATATGTACAAATGTATCTATCGTCAGGAAAGATGAGAGGAGACATGATTCCGTATCGGGGACTTTCTCCTTGGCTGTCTGGGCGGGCACATGATAGGCTACATACGTATATTTGCAATACAGATTAATTTCTGAACTATGTACGGAGTACGGAGTACTACGGAGTAACTATATACTATACAGAGGTACTTCAGACGTTTCCTATGGGGGCTGCAGAGCCCGGGCTTGACAGATCCGACCTTCCCCTCCCGTAACTTTCCAGGTAACGGGGTTCGTTTATTGCGACGGGGTCGGGATAAGGCTGGGTATACGGAGTACATATGTTGTACTCCGTATATGTACTCTGTACTCCGTGCATGGCTGTGAGCTGACGAGTGATATCTGGGTGCGGTGAGAGTCGTGTGTTGTAATAGATCTTCATTTTGCTTTTGTTTCTATATCTACATATGTACTTTGTAGGGTCTGACAGGTCTTGGTGTGGTGAGATAGCTGCTGGTTGGATGCCGAGAAAAGAGGGAAATATAACAGAAGAAGCAAGAATATGCTGAGGGATTTATCTGTTGATGGGGTTGGTTTGATGCTGGTTTCCGTGTATATTGTGCGTCTTGAGCACAAAATATATACTTCAACAGATTTCGAGATGGGGGTTATGATGATGATATAGACATTAGATACACTACCCCGTATGTAATGCGGAGATATATTCCTCAAGTAACAATATTCTAGTTACTATTTTTTCTATACAACATACAACATAGAGTATTCAACACAAGCACTGACCATTCAATGCAATTCTTTACATACATGAAATGATCCTAAAAAGCCCGAGCCACAACATTAAGGCTAAATTATTCCGTGAGGCATCCGTATTTTACCTCTATAAATCCCATCATCCAATAAAACCACAAAGTCATACTCCATACCTATTAGCCTCGCCCAATCAAACCCCGAGAGCCCCCCAAACTCGGGAATCGAGAACCGCCAGCTGCAAATCAGATCACATCACACATTAAAAAAACCATCGCGCTTGGTGCGCTTTGTCAAAACAAACCCAAATCTGGACTATGACCCGCTTAGCAGATCCTCAAATCTCAGCACCAGAGACAAATAAACCCCGACACGGAGGATCGCCAGAGTGGGACTAGCAAATGTATGGCGCATACCCGCTCTACAAAGGCCATGTGGAGGCTGTGGAGAGTGAAAATTGAAGACATTCGGGGTTCGGGGTCCTCGGGGACCAAGATGAACGCATCGGGCTAGGGGTGTATTGAGGTACTTTTAAACAGGAGCTAACCCTTGAATAGGATGTGATTGGAAGGCTTGCAATAGAATACGGAGTACAGGCAGAGAGCCTTGAACTCAGTTATATTCATGGTATAAGAATATCAAAGTGAGATCAGAATATATTAGTAACTAGTAATCTCATAGATTGAAAAGTATGCAAGTCGCTTCTTCGAGGCGGTGGGGTATCCATGTACGTATATGTGTAGGTAAGTACCCCTGGAGACTGACAACCTCAACTTCAACCCCAGACTACTGCCTAATAGAGCAATGCCCACATAAGTTCTCCATATTCCGTACATAAGCAATCGAATGGAGGTATGCAAAACCATGGTTTGTGTGTGAATAGTGTGAATGGTGTGCATAAAGTGGGTGTGATTCCAAAATGTCAGATTCGACCACCCCGTACAGCGGGTAGTATAGTCGCGTTTGAAATCTTTGTCCTTCACGGCAAGGTACACAGCCGCGCTAAGAGGCTGTCGGCGGCCCGGCGGGTTTACTTTGGTGTGGTACGAATTACGGAGTATAGGGTGGGAGAGAGTGCTAATAGCCAATAACTTCTGACCCTGGCCGGCCAGTTCGAAATAGGCTCGGGCTCTCATCTCCTGCCGAAAGGGAATTGATAGCAGCTCACGGGACCAGAATACTGGTTGGAATCTTGACTTGCTTGAATATCTTGCCGGATGGTGGGTTGAGTCTCTGCAGGAGCACCGATCGGGATCAGGGCGCCGGTCTTGTTCTTCAGTTTTTTGTTTTCGGTTTCCCTTGCATATGGCGAACGGACCAGTGGTTCGTGTGAGCTCGGTCTGGTATTTAAGCCTCAGGTGTTTGTGTTGGCTACTCAAGGGATGATGCAGCGTAAGGAGGTTTGTTTTTCTTATGCATCTGGCCTGATCAAGCCTTGTTCTTGATGACCTTGTGGAGGGCGAGAGTTTTGCGCGATCTGGCAGGGCTGGTGTGATAGGCAAGTGAATCTCGATGGGCATATGACGAGTAGGCAGGGGAGGGAGGGGGTCAGAGAGTCCTTCAGACTCAAGGACTCAACGATAGGATAGGTAGATCCCACTATGACCACATGGAACCGAACCCACGTGGAAGCGCATCCAGCCGGGCCTCAGTGGTTGGGAAGGCAAAGTCAGGCAATCTCGACGTATCAGTTGCACAAATCACTGTGGCAACAGGACACCCAAAGCCAAGACGAGATCTCAACGAACGGTGAAAGTCTGTGTTGTACCATCTGTACACATCACATTTCCCTTTTGTGGAGCGCGGAGGTATGAAACCAAACCGTGTCGTGCATGCGGGGATGGGCGGAGAACGAATAACACTGGATTCCAAATCGATTGGCGGGCCCCAAATCAACCTTTAAGATGAGCCCTGGGAGATTTGCGAATCTGCGTTTGCTATGCAGAGGAGCGGGAGAGCCCCGATCGTGAAGAATCATGTTGTGTCCCGCGAGATGCAGAATTTATTCTGGACTCCATCTCGATAATGCCGGCTAAGAGGCCCACGAAGCGCGTCTAGGCTGCCCGCATAACTGATCATCCAATGTACAGTGACAGAGTCAAAAGTCCAGCTATGGCAGAATGGAGGTGATCACATTTCAGCTGAGGCGGGCGGCACAACCGATCTGTGGCGAACGAATCACGCGCTTACATCGCCGATGAGCGTAGGTACACAGTGATTTGAGATTTCAATGCATCTTGAGATATGGTATTGTCCAACATTGAATTTACCAGTATTGTGTTGTTTTCGACTTTTCAGTATTACGTACGATGTGTACTTAGATTTCGAAGATTCCAGAAATGCAAATCAGAATATACTCCGTAGACTAGTAAGAACTCACGCTATGCATTTACATATGTACTCGTGCGATCTGTTTCTGAATATAAGACATGAAGAGAATGGCAGGCTGGGGTTGCGGTTGCAATTTGGTTCTGGACTTTGTCTTTGGCGCGTGTCAACACTCCCTTTCTAGGCTATACTTGCCCATTTGTATATCTCTCACCAGCCCTATGATATTAAAGTTAGAGACAACCATGTCAATACGATATATTCTTGATGTTATTGTAACACAGGCATGTCTATGTATCTTGTTCCACCCCTATCTAGATACTGGAGGTGTAAACTGCATCCTATTCACTGCCTACATATGCCAATTGCACATCAGAGTCTCAGTCCAATGCGAGGAACTCGACCTATTCCGCGATGACTATGCAACCTCCCGTGTTGCCTCCCCTCGATAGATGTGGGGATCTTTGTCAAGGGAGAAGATCGCCTGCATCTTCCCCATATGGAGCCATTCCAATAGTCTTGTGAAGGTGATCTTCGGTACTGATTGGATGTGAGCTAGGTCTGCTCCATACTTATTCGGATTCTGCGGTTTTCTCGGACCCGAATTTTTATGTAGTACTGTGAATAGTGATACATGACCCTAATCCTAGGTATAACATAGTTACTTCTTAGTACTTAACTTGTAGGTGGATAGTAGTAGGATAGAATCTCGAGCCTGGCATTCCGGTGTGAGCACAGGGATTGAGGCTCTAGGATACTTCGTAGTAGTATTGGAACCCAGCCTATAACATGGGTGTGCCATTTACTTACTATTGAGAGGCTGGACTTTGGGTTCTTGATAGTGAATAATGTCATGTGTGGTTGCCCCTTGCGTTTGCCATTGGATATCTAATGACCCTGGAAACTCTATTCCAGATATCTACATACTGCAATATGCATGGCGTGCAGTCACCACCTGCACGATGTAGGCCCGTGTCATTTTGGAGGCTAGTTCTGTTTTTACAATGTATTATGTAGTTAGGACCTCGAGCGGAGCCCAGTTTCGAGAGAGAAATTGGGACTCGAGTGGCAATAAAATAGCTGCCTAATACTTCCCCCCAATTCCCCCTTTCCCATTAGCTGGAACAAATAGCTCACAGGATTTCGTGTGAATTCCCATGATACCCACTAAAATCAAGACTTTGAGCTGCGACGCGTAGCCACAGATAACGGAGAGCTAAGGATCTAAACCAATGCGCTGCCCCGAACCCAGGAAACAGGAGAGTGGAAACGGCAGATCGACAGGGCATATTAAAACCCGAACATAGATTGGATACTCCGTATGTTTGTCGACTTGAATGCTGAGTGGAAGGCCCGTAATTGAAATCCATGTAACCCTGATAGCCCCTTAACGGTGGCAAGAACTTGTGATTCACCTGTCAACCAGTGGGATGTCTTGGAGTTCACAATGGACCAATAAGATACTATATTCACATCATTGGAAGAATGGACTTTGCTACTAAGGTTAGGTTCGGATTGTTTTTCATTCCGATCTTTTATCTCAGATCCCGTTCATGGACGTCAAATCCCGCGGGCTCTGTTATGGATCCTTGATATGGGGGAACCACTTCTTGATATTACGGAGGATTTGAATTAATCCAGGAACACTTAATTAAACAAAGAAAATCATTACCTATAAAAGTCTTGGCTCAACGCGGATGGAGCACTATTGTACTGTAAGCAGCCATAAAATGTGTATCTATCCATACTACTCCCCACTATGTACACTCGTATACACCACGAACTTGTACTCCACCACGATCCTTCAATCCTTCGGATTGACTATTATCAGTTGAAGCGGGTGACTACACAATCATAACACAAATTAAACGGTCAAAAGAAGCAAAAAGAGAAAAGAGAAAAAAAAAAGACCAGGAATGCTGGGGCAACTCTGTGTTCTTGTGCTACTTTCAATCCGCGCGTTTGACTCGCTCAGAAGACCTCCGACTAGGGAACACCGTTGAGTCTTCTGTGGCACAGAGGCCTTGAGCTGCATCCTGATCAAGCCAGGGGTAAACTGTGCTATTGCCTAAGTTGGGAAGGAAATGAGTTGCCGAATGAACTGATTAGGGATTTTGACGTCAGGCTCCAGCATGATATCACCGGGCAAAAATGGCTTGAACCAAATGGGGAAATATGTCAAATTCAATCCACTTTCTACAAGAATAGTTTCTGGAACAAACCCCCTGGAGCCCGTGGATGATTCCTGTCGTCAACCATGGACGGAAGACGGGTAACCCCGAACACGGTTTACTACGTCACGTAATTCTGGTATTTACAATCCCATTTCGTCCATTGTGGCATACTTCCATGTTCTATATCGTATAATATTGTACACTGCAATATACATTCCAAATTCACCAGTTGAAATGTCTTCGAAAGTGGATGCCCCCCAAAGTGTATCTGGATTAAACGACAGTCCGGTACACGGGGAGCAAGGTGCCAAAGCCCTGGGTGGCTGATCGGCCCCGACAACCATCTCCCTGGGAGCCACGGGGTATCCCTTCAAATGACGAGTACGCCGCCGGGGGGGAGGGGGCTGGAAGCTTTCATCGAACATCGCCGATCTGGACCTGTATATCAGCTGATTTGAGCATCGAGTTTTAACAGAGTTTATCTTCAGGTGGTGTTTTGGGAAGGCAAGCGCCCCTTGCGAGCTGTGTTTCCGAGTCCATGAATAGACGGCCAGTGCGGCGTGTGTTATTGGGTGCTTGGGGCATTGAAGAATATTTCACTTGACATACAAGATACACCTCCACTGCTGGTTCGGTTATACTTTCTATGTTTTCAAAGATAGCTGTAATCGTAGATTGATATTCTGTTTTAAGGGTACCCGAGTCCTGGGTACTGGGCAGCGATCCCTGCCCGACACACCGGTCATATTAGTATCATATGAAATGGGAAAATAGCAAAAAATTAATCAAAAAATAGAATTAACCTCAAACACAGCTATTATTACTCAATCCTTGAACTTTGACCCGAGGCCATCCTAAGCCATAATCCAACAGTCCAGCTCAGTATACGTAACTCCCGGGTAAATCAACTTGCATGGCGTATTTCCCGGCGAAGCGGTTGACCTTCGGGCGGCAAGTTCGATCCCCGTTCCACGCGGAGGATCCTAGCTTCGATCATAGCACTTACATAGTATTCTATCGTCTATAATACCTAGGTATGGAGTATCTATATCCCTACTCCAAATGTATAGGCACATTGCATATTGTATCCATATCCTAGAATACTATGTAATGATAATGATAGTAATTTCGTTTCTGCAGAGCATCTCATATTTTCCCCAGCCGCCGGACCCACTGCTTGTTAAATTCAGCAAAAAAGAAACAAAAAGCAGACCTGTCAACTGTATTGGAGTTTTGTGCTTCTTTCTCAGGGGTTTATATCCTATAATATATGTGATAAATGGTTAGAAAAAAGCCAAAGCCATTTAATATATATTTTTTCTTTTTTAAAAATCCGAGGTATTTGATAGTCACCGCGATTATAAAGAGTATTTATTTAATCCAGGGAGGGGCAAACACACCTGTCGATCCCTACAGGCGTAATTATAACAGTCAATTTATTATGTTATTTTATGTTACTTATGTTCCCCCCTCCCCTCCCAGTTTAGATTATTTCTTCCCTTTTGTCCTTTTTTTTTTTTAATCCTTTCCATAGTTCTCTTTTCGATAACTATTGGGACACTGTACCTTGAACACGAACTCGCTGGATATTGACATTGACCTTGAACTTGAAATTACCTTGGGATCTACAATATCCAAACAAGGTGTACCCAAGGCCTTCCCAACCACCCCCACTTAGTCCACAGTATTGACTACCCACAGCCCAAAGCACAGGTACGTGGTTATATTACCGACTTACCATACCTGACCGAGGTACCAACCGCGTACCCCATGTGTATACTGGATACACATCCAATGTTCCCAACATGGTTCTCTTCGTGTTTTTCCCCTCCTTGTGGCCCAACTTTGTACTTCTGTTTGCGATCTATCTGATATACTGGTGGATACGATCTATTTTGACTCCCTTTTCTTTTCTATTTGATATTTCCATATCTCGGCCTAACGGGCCCCCCTGGTCGGATCATCGCCGTAATCTGACTATTTCTTTGTCTAGCTCCACCCTCGGTTGCCCACTGCGACATCACCACCGCATTTTTGCGACCTGGGAGAAACTCGGAGCTTTAGGCACGCTATTTGATTCGCAGGCTTCTAACGGCGCGATCTGATTTCATTGTTACAACTTTCGCTTCCGACATCAAATCCAACGATCCGCCATTCATTTGTTTCCTTTCATTACTTCCTACTTCCTCGTTTCCAACTGAGAGCACCATGTTGGTTTAAGTCCCGATTTACCAAGCCAAATCGCTTCTCAACGGTAAATTGGCCCAAGATATAGCGCCAAGGACCTGGGCTAGTTGCGACACGACGGCCGCGTCTGGCAGCTTCAAACACCTCCGCACACCTGGACCCTCCATTTACAATGAATCGCATGCCTCCTCCGGAAGGGCACCATGCGCACCCAGGTCCGCATACAGCATACGAGCCCTCATGGCGCCCTTCATACTCCCCGGCATTCGATAACCACCCCTCCGACTCCCGCCGCTCCTCCGCAAACTCCCAGACGCCCCTACCGCCGCAGCCACCAGGATACCCCGTGATGCCCAACCGTGAGCTGCCACAGTTAACATCGGAAGGCCCGTATGGTCGCCCGAATGGGCATGGCCTGCCCCTGCATGCGCCCGTGCATTCCCCGCAGGACCCAATTCCCCCTCACCCGAACTTCCACCAGCCGATGAATAGCGCGCCACACGAGGGTTCACCTGATTATCGCGCTCGTATGGGCTACCCACACCCGGATCAGATCAGCAGCGCTGAACATACACCTGTTTCGGGCGCTCTGCCTCCTGCTTCACAATTCATGACGCCCGTTGCTCAAATGGCGAGTGCTACGCCGCCTGCAGGGTACGACCAAGCATTTTACCAAAACCAGGCGTTTGGAGCACGCCAGCGTAAGGCAAATAGAGCTACACAGGTAGGTTAAGCTTGTGGAAGACATGATTGTTTTGGGGAATTTTTGAACTAACACTCGAGCTATATAGGCTTGCGATCAATGCCGAGCTAGGAAAGCAAAGTGTGATGAGGGACGACCAAATTGTAGTCACTGCAAAGAGAACAATCTTGGCTGTGTCTACAAAGAGGTGCCGCCGCACAAACAAGAGAAGACTACCCAGCTGGTATTGGATCGGCTCTCCCAAATAGAGAATCGCATGGAGGAGCGAGACAACCGCATGGATGAGCGCTTCGAAAAAATGCAAAAGCAAATACAAGAGCAAATGCTCAACAATCTGGGCAAACAACCACCTCAGAATGTCCAAAAACGTCCGACCCTCCCACCTCCACCGCCACCACCACCGCCACAACCACCAGTCATCAAGCAGGACCCACCTCTCAAAACAGAGATGCCTCCAACCCAGTCCTCAACTCCGAATGTTTTAGACCCCGGGAGTCAGGACGTAGCCGCTTCGAAATTTGCCCCAAAGCTTGGACCCATGGACCCGATGCTCGAGGACCAGAAGGAGGCCGAAGGAGAGCTCTCCATTCCAGTGGAGCACACTACTGCAGCTCACAAGCTATTGATGTGGCCGTCAATTAAGAGGTTGCTACACCCTGAAGAATATGATGAGGATTATGTGATGCGATTGGAAGAAGAGCGCGGTCTTATCAGCATATACGGCCAAGGCGAGATCTCATACACTGCGGATGACAGTGAACTGCCAATGGATGGTGACTCTAAGGGTGCCCGACCCGATGGGAATGGCGCAGGACCGGATGCTGATGTCGACATCGACGAATTTGGGAACTTGAAGCTGGATGCTGCGACTGCTAGGCGCTACTATGATAGCTACATCGACCACATGTTTAAGCTTCACCCATTCCTCATGTCAGGTGAACTCAGTATCAAGGTCGATAGCTTCATCCGATGCTATTGTCGCCTCAATACCTCACCAAGTTCGGCTTCCAATTACACACGACTAGCTCGCGATGGTCCGCCACCAGCCAAAAGGAGGCGGTCAAATGAAAACCTGGGGGTGCGTGGCGAGTTCATGGAGACTATCTCCAACCCGCTTCGGCCACGAGTCGGTAAAAACATTGACAATGCCTTGATCCTGCTGTGCCTGGCTCTCGGAGCTATTTGCGAAGCTCGTGCCCCTCTCCCTGGGCCTATCATGGACAAGAAGCTTGACTACCTCAACCAGCCCATTCCTACTCCGCTGCCACCATTTACCCCCTCGCCGACTGTAAATGGGACATACGTTACCAATGGTGTGCTCTCACCCGCAAACTCTGACTCGGCGGCCATGCAGATGTCGCTTTCGAGTTCTCTTTATTCTCTGCCAACCCAGCCTCCTGGCCAATCCTTCCATAACAGTCCTTTCAACAAAGGCATAGAAGGCCTGTCAAGGAGAGATGTGACAAAGGCCCACGATGAACAAGGGAACACGAGGAACTATCAGGCCATTCCTGGCCTAACTCTCTATGGATACGCGACCGCAATATTGGGCCACCTACAGGGTGGAAACGAGCTAGAACATGTCCAGTGTGCGTTGCTCGCTGGTCTTTATGCCGGCCAGCTGGCCCATCCTTTCCAGAGCCACAGTTGGATTTCTCAGGCTTCAAGGGCTTGCCAGGTTCTTGTGAGAACCAAGCGATATGAGCGACTCGAAGAGGGGGCTACGCAGGACTTGTACAACTTCGCGTACTGGACTTGTCTGCAATTGGAGAGTGATCTTCTCGCAGAGCTGGACATCCCAGCGAGTGGCATCTCCCGTTCCGAGGGTCGGATGGCTATTCCGAAAGGAAAATGGACAATTATTCTACCGAACGATCTCAACGCACCCCAAACGATGATGATGCTGTTTTATTCTGCCCAGATCCATCTACGCAAAGTCTTGAATCGAGTTCATACAGACTTATACAAGGTCGAAAAGCAAGGCCAGACACGATGGTCATCCACCGTTCAAGAGGCTTTAAGCCTAAACCTCGACCTCTGGCGTGACAGCCTACCACAAAACATGCAGTGGCTCGAAAGCGATCCGCCAGCAAACGAAATCAACGCCGCTCGCATGCGTGCTAAGTATTACGGCGCACGGTACATTATCCACCGACCCCTTCTCTACCACGCACTACACTACGGCCACACAGGTGCCCGCGTCGGTCCGGTCGGTCAGTCTTTAGTGGACTCGCCTACCTCGCAACAATTGTCCCCGTCGATGCTACACAGTGCCGCTCGGGCTCCGAACATGGCGCGTATGTCTAGTGACATGGGCTCTATGCCGGCCGCAGTCTCCACTGACTGGCAGCCCCCCAAAGTCCGCTTACAAGATCTGCCGAAGAAGCTAAAATCTGCCTGCGACATCTGCATTCAATCGGCTATCAAGAGCACGGAGGCTTTTGACGGCGTAGGCGGACATCGGTTGATCGTTACCAACATATTCGGCACTGCGCATGCGTAAGGAATCCCCCATTTCGAAAACATTACGGACACAGAGATAATACTAACATGTTTTCCTCGCAGGCAATTTGGCAATATGCTTGTCTTATCTGCAACGTTTATGTCAAGTCTCAAGGAGCTTGTCGAGCCGGAGCAACTCGAGCGCCTCCTCGTCCGCACAATAGGCTTCCTCATCCAAAGCGAAAACATATCCCCCACCCTCCGCGCCGATGCTCGCATTCTCACTGAGATCTACCGGAAGATCTTCCATCATCCTCCTGACTTGAGGCAAGCCAGCATGAGCAGCCATACTCCAAGCCTGAGCAGTCACACTCCAAGCCTGAGCAGCCAAACTACCAGCATGAGCTTCCCTTAAATGTGCATCTAGCGTCAGAGTTATTTTTTTTGTCCCGTTCCTGTGGGCTTCGCAACCCGATATCTGATATCCTATATCCTTATGAACACATTATGCATGTCCTTGTCCCTTTAAGCCCGAGCCCTTCCGCGCTCGACATCTGTTATCTGTCTGTCATCTATACCTTGTGCACTATACGGTTCTTTTCATTGATGATTCCCCAACCCTATCCGATTCAACACTCCTCACTCGTGTATCTGAGACAAGTCAGATTACACGCGCTTTATACGTGGTGGTTGATTGGTGTGGCTTATTTTCATACGTCGAGCAATCTCACCTTTCTTTCATTGCCTTTCCAAGGTAATGACTGAATTGGTTTTGACTCGTTCCTTTTTTTTTTGTTTTCTCTCTTTTTACCTTTTACTTTCCTTTTTTGGGTTGGAAGCATTTCGTGGCTCCGACGGTCTATCCCCGCGAGGATACGTCTCGGGAATGGAGTTATTGTGTCTTGTGTGGTTATTCTCCTACATTGCATGCATCTCAAGTCATACACATCTGTTGGCTTTTCTTTTTGGATGTTCTTATAACATGCCAACCTTTTCCCGTTGATTTGGCTGCGCCATATCATTTTCATATTCAATGCAAAGGTTTGCATTTCGTGGTTGGCTTTTGGTGTTTTGATTTATACCTCGTCTCCAGTTTGGGCTGTATTTGGGGGGTTGTTTGCTGTAGATATTCTTTTCAGTGGTTCATAGGATTGGATAGGGCACAGATCAATTGAGATGAAGACTGTTGTTGCTTGATCCTGTGGTAACTGGGAATGGAAGCTTTAGGGTTCATGTACAACCTTAGAAGTAGTTACCAGACCAAGAGGGCGTTTTGTGGGCCCTTCCGCTCCCATGGTTTCACCTGGGCAGCTCCCATGGTTTCGTCAGGGCTCGCCGATATCAAACCAAAATTATTCAAAAGTTTATTTAGAGTAAATTGGACGATTAGGCATATGCCTAAATTTGACCTTTTATGCATGCAGCTCGCGGACCTCGGCTTCCCCGCATTGTGCTGATCAGGAGTTAATTTAGAGGCACGAGTCAGCTTACTATGTAGATGGTATACCCGTCGGCATAAGACATCTTTTGTTATCTTTCGGCTCTTGCAACGTCCAGTCTTTGATACCGGGGGAGAGGTAGAATTCACACCAACCTAGACATGGTGCCAAACGCAAGGAAATGGCCCTCCAGAGAAGGTATCAACCTCTATTCCTATAGCAACCAGCCAATGCTTACAAAATACCTCAGGCTTCACAGCTGATGTACTGGGCAAATTGATCTCCCGGAGTCTTCTAGACCCCTGGAAGTTACTCCCAATTATTGCTCTGGCCCAATACACAGTCCAGGGCCGTGATATTGCCAAAGCGCGCCCAAATCTCGACAAGGCCCTCAAAGCTCTAACAGCCCTAGGCCTCATCAACCTGCTAGGCAACTGGCTGGACAATCGCACGCTAAACAACAGCGTCAGGGATACATATGACTGGCACCGCGAAGTCGTAATCCTAACAGGCGGCAGCAACGGTATCGGTCGACGCATCGCCGAGCTGCTCGGGGCACGCGATATCAAAGTGGCCATCCTGGACATTGCCCCGCCAGCGACCGATGACGTGCTACCAAACAGCGTGCGGTATTACGAATGCGACATAACCTCTGCGACGAACATCGCAGAGGTAGCATCCAAAGTCCGCAGCTCATTCGGCCGACCCAGCATCCTAATCAACAACGCTGGCATCTGCACTGGCAAAACAATCCTCAAAACAACCCCAGCGCAGACACGCCGCATGTTCGAGGTCAACACGCTCGCGCACTACTGGCTCGCGCAGGAGTTCCTGCCCGATATGATCGAGGCAAACCATGGTATGGTTGTTACTGTTGCTTCGCTGGCTGGATACATCGTTACGCCTAATATGGTCGATTACTCGGCGACCAAGGCTGCGGCTATTGCGTTCCATGAGGGACTTGCGACTGAGCTGGTTACGCGATACCATGCGCCTAAAGTTCGCACTGTGCTTGTTACCCAGGGCTTTACTAGGACCAATCTTATTAGGGATTTGACACCTGAGGATACTTGGTTGAATCCCCTGCTTCATCCTGAGACTGTTGCTGAGGAGCTGGTTAAGCAGGTGCTCAAGGCTGAGAGTGGGCATGTTGTTGTTCCTGGGTCTGCTGGGTGGATTGCAAAGAGATTTAGGGGGTTGCCTGGGTGGTTACAGCATTCGTTGAGGTGTAGGTTGGAGAAGTTGATGAGGGCTGATTAGGGTTGTGGGCTTGATGGGGGTTACTGTTGGACTTGGCTTGTTCTTTTTTAATACTTGAGGAGTGGTGTTGTGGATATCTGTTTGCGCTATTATTTGGAGTTTTGATGCACATACTATTGCACTGTCATTGTCAATAATAGGAAATTGGACATACTGTTTTTGGTTGTTAGCGATAGTACAGCGAGCATGTGACTCTTGTTCTTATAAAGTCATTGAAGCATACTCTGTGCTGAGAAGTACGGATTATATGGATATGGACCAACTATTATCATTTTTATATATATATCTGAGGTACGGAGTACTCCGTACAGACTCTGTGCTTTGTATAGATGGCTGGGATGTGAAGAAGTGACGGAATGGTCCCAGCCCCATGTTGGTCTGTGCACAATGCTTCACCGCGATTTTGATTCGCTCCACTTGTTGCACCGACAGTTCATCAGCGCTGTGAATCACATTTTTCACTGTCGCATTTTTTTCAGCAGATCTTCTGCATCTCATCTAACCCCTAACACGTTCCATCCGATACTCGACATTAAAACAAGAGGACAAGGTGAGGTTAAGCGCCACAGGTTCAAGTTGAGATCCACTGGGGGCCTTTCCCGGGTACGAGATCCACGGGTCAGCTCCGTTGTTTACCTCCCCCAAACAAACCCATAACATTGCATTCTCTCTGACTTACAACGAACACTTCCCCTCCCCATACTTCCTCCCCATTCCAATCTTACATTCCTTTCATCCCACATGGTTCACTCGGGCTATCCAAATTAATTGCCCACCATGTTCAAAGCCCTGATGGGCGGGGGCCGCTCGTCGTCCTCATCCGACGTTCGCAGCAGTTCAAAGAGCAGCCGGCGCAAGTCCGAAAAACCCGACAAGTCCGACACAAGGTCGATCTCAAGTCGCAAGTCCTCACGGGGTGACGACCGTGACCGCGGCCTGGGTGATTTGTCGTCCTACTCGCCATCAGCTCCCCGCAGTAAGCGTGGCCCACCTAGCATCGCCGGCGACTCCATCGCATCAACCTATGTGACCGCCGAGCCAGAAGCCATTGATGACTCCGATCGCTACTATATTGAACGTACACCGAAACGCGGAGACAGTGAACGGGAAGGCAAGAGTTCTCGTCGGCGCGACCAGGGCCGATCCGAAAGCCCAGAGCGTGAAAAGAGACGGAGCCGCCGAGGAACACAAGATACTGTGGATGATGACTTGGATCGGGAGCACGACCGTCGCGACCGTCGTCGCACCCAGTCGGGGGATCCGTATGTTCCTCCGATCGCCACAAACATGCCGCCTAGCGCCCCCGGCGCGCAGTTTGCCGCCGAGATTGGCGCCCCGGGATTCTCGCAGTTCCCCATGCAATACGACACTGGGATGCCATCTGCAGGCCATTCCCCAGCGCATGAAGTTCCATATGACCCGCACGTGCAGCAACAATTCCCCGGCCAATTCCCAGAGCAAGTTGCTGCACCGTATCGGCCGCCCAACCCCGCCGGCGCTGCGGCAGACTACTATGGTGACCAAGGCCAGTCTGTTGAGCACCAGCCCGGTATTCGACCGGCTCCCCCAAGTGTGCTTCCTAATACTCAAGCACACCTAATGGCAGCATCTCCATCGGCTAACCCACCCCCGGAGCCCAGTAGCTTGGGCGAGACTGGTGCGGCGGCGGCCTACTTCGATGATGATTTCCATGCTCCGGCACAGCAAGGCCAGCCGCCGGCAATGTCTTCATCTAGACCCCCGAAACCGTCTAAGCCTTCGAAGCCTTCTTCATCGGGCGTTCTTCCTGCTGCCGCTGTTGGGGCTGCCGCCTATGGAATTAGTGGTATGATGTCTCACTCTGAGTCGCATTCCCCTCCGCAGCACACTACTTCGTACACCCAGCAGGGTCAGCCAGTGGTACACGGCCAGCCAATGGAATACGATCAACCGATGGCAAGCAGCAGCCACAAGCCTCCCACCAAGCCGTCCCATTCTCATAGCGTCAGTGAAGGTGTTGGTCTTGCGGCTGCAGGTGCTGCAACGGGGTACATGATGGGTCATCACCATCACTCTTCCAGCCCCGAGCACGCGCAACAATACGCTTTCCAGCACCACGAGCAATCCTCTCAAGCTGGTGGTATGCTACCGTATGCCCCTGGCCATAATAATGCTATGTATGCTGCAGGCGCGGGAGGGTATGCTGCTCATGCTGCCCACAACCCGGGTTTCTATCCTCATGGCCCTAGCGCGCTAGCTTTCCAAGAGCGTCAGCGTGGCGCCATGGGAAGATTCGTTGATTTCTGGCGTGACCCCGAGGCCGTTGGAAGATTTGAGGACTACACGGAAACTATCGGAGTGTGCAAATACTGTTTCCAACCTGGCACAAGCTCCCTCAATGCCCCTCGCAAGCACCATTATCACAGACGCCGCCGACACTCCCCCGATCGGCGGAGCAGTGGGAGCTCCAGAATCAGCAAAATTAGCCGATACAACTCCTCCGAAGATGAGGGCCGCCGGCGGCCAAAGTCCAAGAAGTCTTCTTCGTGGTTGCCTGGCATGCTAGCCGGTTACGCGACCAAGTCACTCTTCTCGAGCAAGGAGTTTGATGATTCTTACAGCCTTCGCTCCGGCCGAGTGGCCTCCTCCCATGGGGAAGAAGATGACCGAAGGAGCCATACCTCTCGTGGTGTGACCCGCCGTTCTGGCCGCAGTCCTCAGAGAGAACATTATGCAGACTCTAAGCATGCACCTCAATCTGGATATTCTCGGCACACACGCTCCCGATCGCGGTCTTCCTCTCGAACTGACCGGCATTCGTATCTGAAGGAGGCCGCACTTGGTGCGGCAGTGGGTGGGGCTGCGCTGGCTGTTGCCAAGTCGCGTAATCGCTCCCGCAGTCGTTCTCCTGAAAGACGACAGAGCCGAAAGGATTCGTCCTCATCATCGTCCTTTGTCAATCTTCCCAGGCCCGGCAAGAAGTCCATCGCTGGTGGTATCGGGTCTTTCTTCACTGCTTCTTCCGAAAACAGGAAGAAACGTCATACCAAGAAGCGAAGCGGTTTCTTCTCTTTCAAGAGTGGCTCTTCATCCTCTTCATTGGACAATGATCTTGCTTTCGGAGATGGGTTCTCGAAGAAGTCCTCCAAGCTCAAGAAGAAGGGCAAGAAGGGTAAAGATGTGGATGCCGCTTTGCTAGAACTTAGCGACACGGCAACCCGTTTGGCTGGCTCGTCGCCCCACGGTCCCGGGCGCACTGCAGGCCAGATGTACACAGCTCGATCTCGACAGTCCAACTACGCCCACTCTACCACACAGGATGAAGAATGGGTCGATGCCGAGTCAGAGGACCAGTCTTCTTCAAGTGTTAGCTCTGCGCTCGCGTTCGGAGGAAGCAGCGCAGAGTCTTCCTCCGACTCCGCCAGCAGCAAATGGGGCTGGAGATGGGGAAGCAAGAAGGACAAGAAGAAGAAGGACAAGCGGTCGAGTGCTACAAATGCCGCTCTGGTAGCTGGCACTGGTGCTATTGGAGCCGCTGCAATTTCTTCTGCTCATCACCGTGATAGCAACCCCCCAAGTAGGTCTGGGAGCCTGCAACAGGTTTACCCAATGCCTACTTCCGACCCCTCTCGCTTTGATGTTGCAAAGATGTCCCCATCTGTATCTGCCGGGGAGCCAACTCCCATCCGCCCGGGACCCATTCCCCTTCGGCAGCCTCAGCCTTTCACCCCCGTCTCTCAGTCAGTGTACACTACCCAGGGAGCTGTGCCGGGATCGATCCCCGTGTATAGCGCCTCAGCAGTCCCACCCATCTTCGCCAGTGGAGTTGAACACTATGGCTCGCAGTTCCAAGGCCCTCGTGATGCAGCATGGGCACCAGAAGAGTCATCATATACCGACCGCCGGAGACCTCATCGACGCAGTGATTCCTCTCCTGTTTTCCCCACCCAGGAAACTGCTTCAAGCCTCAAGCGCCGGTTCACCGCTAAGGATCAAGCCTCCGTGCAATTCAACTTGACGGAAGAGCAAGCAGAGAGGGAACGCCACCTTACTCGGCGCGACAAGAACTACCGGGATGAAGTTGCTGATCAGCCGGTTCAACTGATTGACCGAGAGGAAGAGCTGGCCCGCCAGGAAACTGAGCGTCGAGAGCGCCGCCGAAAGGAGCGAGATGACGAGGAGCGCCGGTATGCCGGCGATAGAGAAAAGGACCCTTCGTCCTGGGTTGGTGTAGCAGCTGCGGGAGCTGTTGGCGCTGCCGCTGCCAGCACTATTCTCTCTCGCAAGACAGACGATGACGAAGCCTCTGAAGCCAGCCAGCGATACAATGAGCGTCGAGAGAAACGCCGCGCTGAGCGCAAGCGCGATACTGATGCAGCGGCGGATACTTCGATAGTGTCGCGGTTCGAGCCCGCTCAGCCCATTGATAAAGAAGTGACCGCGGTGGAACACCACGAAGACCAGAAGAAAGGGTCTCCTCGATCTCCCCGTCCAGCACAGGTTTACGACGACTACGCAGAATTTTATGCCCCTGAGGAGATACGACACAGCACAGATGACCATGCTCGGAGCAGCGGCTCCACTAATATGCCAACCATCGTGGAGGTAGAGCCCGCTAGCGAACGACGTACACAAGAGGAGTCTGCCCCGGCAGAGGTAGACTATTCATATGAACCCTATCAACACGTGGACCGCCTCCCGTGGCCAGTCCCCGGGCTCAACTTCATTGAGCCAACTCCTCCCCAGAGCGTGAACGGTGGTTCCGTTCGCGACGTTACCTCCCCAACCCCCCTGTAAATAAATCTTATGATACCAAGCCTCGCGAACGACCAACCGGCTCCCGGGTCTCCTGGGGCGAACATGAAACTCACGAATACGAAATCCCTTCTTCTTCTGAACAGGATCCTCTCGAGCATGACATTTCCCCTATTGAAATTTCAGCCAAGGATGTTCCTCTCCCGGCATCCGATATATCCCAATCCCAGGGTATCTCCAGCACATCTGAGTATGGTGCCGACATTGAATTCGCGGCCACAATTGCTGCTGCGACCGCCGCAGCTGGGTTCGATCCCTCCCTGATAACTGACGATCCCTCCTACCACACCCGCACTTCTCCTCCCGGGTCGGAGGACGAACACACATTTACCTCACCCTGGTCTGCATCGGCCCGGAAGGAGCCCCACGGCTTCGTTGAGGGCGAGCTCGAAGAAATTGACCACAAATCTACTAAGGATATCACTTCCGCTCCTGAACACGTGGTCCAGGACAAGGATGAGCTTTTCTTCGACGAGCTGGAATCCTTCTCAAGAGATCGGGATATTTCCTCGGGACGCCGTGACAAGTCCTCGATTGCCCACGAGGTTATCGAGCAGCTGAATGGCAAATATGGCAAGCGCGATCGTACTGCTTCGCCCGAAAAAGACGTAGATGTCTTCTCGATGCCTGGTGGGTTTGATACAGCCGAGTCTAGAGGCTTGGCTGATGAAAGATCTGTGGTCTCAGCGCCGGCGCCTGTTGCTATGGACCCAGAGACCCCGACCAAGTCCAAGTCTAAGAAGTCGAGGCGGAGTGGCGATGTCTTTGATCTCCCGGAGTTCCAAGAGCGGGAACTAGCCGAGTCTCCTGTTTTAAAGGATGAGACGTCGAAGTCCCACAAGTCCCGGAGCAGTGGTGACGACTTTGAGATTTACGAGTCACGGGAGGCGTCTCCATCTCGGGGTGACACTTATTCTCTCGTCTCTGCTCCCTTCTCGAAGGACGAAACATCCAAGTCTAAGTCTAGGAAGTCCAGGAGGAGTGGTGATGACTTGGGCATTGCTGAATACCCGGAATCAGTGGTTGCCGAGTCTCGCGATGATTCTTTCTCTGTTATCTCTGCTCCTGTTTCGAAGGACGAGACATCCAAGTCCAAGTCCCGCAAATCTCGACGCAGCGGCGACGACTTCGAGATCTACGAGTCACGTGAACCATCTGAATCTCGGGATGACACCCGCTCGGTTACCTCTACTCCTGCCGGCAAAGAGTACGAGTCGTCCAAGTCAGGGAAATCGAGACGTAGTGGGGATGACTACGATATCACCAGATCGCGAGAGATCTCCGAATCTCGTGACGACAACCGGTCTGTCTTCTCTGCACCTGTCTCGAAAGACGAGACAAGCAAATCTCGCCGGTCTCGACGCAGTGGAGATGACTTTGATATCTCCAGATCGCGGGATGTGTCTGAATCTCGTGATGAGACTCGTTCTGTAGTCTCTGAATCAGCTAAGTCTAGAAAGTCTCGCCGCAGCGGCGACGATTTCGATCCACGTCGTGATGCTGAAGCCGCACCTGACGATGCGGAAGGTGGCGAGGAGAAGAAGAGACGTCGCAAGCGTCGATCCAGGCATGAAGGTGATACTTTCTCTGTTGATGACGATGCTCGCTCCGCCATTACGGACATTGGAGACGACAAGTCTGAGCGCCGCAAGCATCGTCACCGCTCATCCCGGGAAGCTGACTTTGATGACAATGCCTCTATAACCTCTTCTCCAGCTCGGATTGACGAATCCCGGGAGAAGCGCCGAGGCAAGGACGAGAAAGAAAAGAGCGGTGGCTTTTTGAGAAGTATCTTTGGGTCACAAGTCTCGGCCCCAGCTGAGCGTGTTCGGTCTGACCATTCCCGCTCTTCCTCGTTGGATAAGCGCTCATCCCGCGAAGCCATATCTGAAGCTGGTGTGGATGATGAACGCCGTCGCAAGAAGCGTTCTTCTAAGCACCGCAGCTCCAGCAATGGTGATGAGTTGGATCGCTACATGTCAGACAAGGAGAAGGGTACTCAGGATGACACGAACCTGGAGGAATACAGGTCCAGTAGACAGCAAAAGGAAGAGCGGCGTCGTCATCGGTACGAGGAAATCGTGGATTCGGGAAGGAAACGGGAATCTGAGAAGGTATAGCATCTGAACTTTTCTTTTTACTTACTTATGTTGTGATTTTGGTTGTACACACTTTATTGTCCCATATAGTTTCCCTTTTTTTTCGCTGGTTGGTCTAACCAGTTTGCACAAAAACAACAAAACCCGAACAAAAAAGAAATGTACTAAGCTTTTATTGGTTTTATTCCATGTGCAGGACAGATATAGTGACAACTTCGACGATCAATCATTTTTAAGGAAGCGCCCTGAAATTCTAGCGGGTAGCGCAGCTCTTGTCGCTGCAGGATTTGGACTGAATGACTTCCCCAGAGGCCCCGGAGCCAATCCACCTCTCCCCCAGCCACAGAGAGGACGCTCGACCTGACCCCGAAGTCTTTGAGCCGCCCCGCTTCACCTGAAACAAGCCACCCCCAGGGGTCCCGATCCCCCAAGCAACGCCGACACTCCGTGGCCAAGTCCACCACTGAATCACCTACAGCCGTGCCTCTCCACTTTCGCCGGCCCCCAACTTCCCCAGGCCTCTCCCGCGCAGTCCCCGTTGAACAAGCCGCCCCCATTGCCTCCCCAGGCTCCCCAAGCCAGCAACGCAACCGCCGGCCCGGGTCAGTCGAGTTCCGAAACTCGCGCGAGATCCGCCCTCTATGGCTCGTCGAGCGCCACAGTTTGATCAAGGGCGAGCCTGAGACCGAGGAGCCCTTGCCATCGCTCCCATCCAGCAAGACTTCCTCCCGCGTCCCGTCAACAGAGAACCTAAGATCCCTCCATGACGACGACGGCCTTAAGAGCTGGGAGCATGTGGATCTGAGCCACTCAATCATGGAGAACCAGCGGCCGACTGGTCTGACCATTTCAACTGACCAAGCGAATGAAAGCCATGATCGAGACCTTGATCTCCTTGGCTCGCAGCAGGCCACGCCTACCGCTGAACATTTCCAGGATGCAGAGTCCAGGAAGGAGAGGCCCAGATACGAATTCCACTCTCCCTCTGAGCTCCTGCAAGATCCCGCTATTCTGGACGAGCTGCCTCCTTCACCTACGCTCGAAGCCCTGCCCTCTGCAGAGGGCTCCCTTGTTGGCGTTGGCTCTAGGGAGCAAGAAACGCAGCGTACGCTTGACGCTCTCGAGGGCGTGTCCCGCCCTCAGCCTAAGCCGGAAAGCCCAACCCAAGAGAAATGCTCGTTCCTCAGTGGCGTTGCGGACTTCGCCAAGGGCGCCGGCTTTGCCGGTGTTGTCGATGCAGCTGCCATTGCTGCTGCCAAGGAGCATGATAACTCTCGCTGCTTGCCTGCAGATGAACCTGCCAAGGCCCATGACTTCAGTGATATTGTCGACGCAGCGGTTTCCGCTGATGGTTCCTCTCACTACCATGACAAGGCACCCGTCGATGAGGAGGCGCCCGCTGAGCCCGTTACTGCCATCGAAGAGAATTACCCCGCTGTGCCTGAGTCTGTGCAGCCGGAGATGGACACAGCCAAGGAATTTGTTCCTGAATCGACTGAACAGCCTGTTGCTTCTGATCTTCAAGCTCACCCCGAGACAGAAGTCGCTCCCGATGAGGGCGCGGCTGCACAGTCTTCTAAGAAGAAGAACAAGAAGAAGAAGGGTAAGAAGAACCAGGTCCAAGATGCGGATCTGGGAGCCCCCGAGGAACCGCCCGCACAGAAAGATTCGCCCGAGGGGTTGGTACAAGAACCTTCTGTGAAGCTGCCTGTGGTTGAGGCTGTTTTTGCTGAGCCCGAGGTTGTTGTTCCTGAGCCTGCTGAGGCATCCCGCGAGCTTGGTCCTGAGCTTGAGGTTCATGAGCCTGTGGTTGAAGGTGCTCCTGTTGAGCCCGAAGTTGCTGTTCCTGAGCAATCCGAGGCTGAGCCTATCGAAGCCTCTCGTGAGCTTGATATTGAGCCTTTGGTTGAAGCAGCCCAGGAAGCAGAAGTTGGTAACGCTTCTGAGCCCGAGCTTGCTCAGTTGGCGCCTACCGAAAGTGAACAGGCTGAGGACACTGCCTCATCAACTAAAAAGGCTAAACGCGACAAAAAGAAGCAGAAGAAGAAATCTAAAAATGCATCTACTTCTGAAGTGCCTGCAGATGATACGGTCGTTGCTCAGCCTGAGGATGATACTTCTGCCTCCAAGGAGATTGAGGGCCAACAAGAAGACAAAGCACCTGCGCCTGCCGAAGAGATTATGGCTGCGCCCTTCCCCGAGGATATTGCTACTTCTACCGAATCCCTTGAGAACTCCTCTGACGAGCCTGCGATCTCATCTGCTACCATTAATGAAGAGCAAGCTCGAAGCCAACAGGAATCCAGAGAGCTGGTTGAGCCTGTGGAACAGGTATCTGCTGAAGAATCCATTCTACCTGTTTCCGAAGATTCCAGTCTGCCCATCGAGGAAGAGCAGACCCCAGAGCCTGCTTTCACTGACGCTGATGAAACCCCAATTACCGGTGCCACTCAACCAGAAGCGGAGGAACTATCTCGCAGCCTGGAAGAGACCGAGAAGCCAACTGAATACTCTCCTCCAGAGGCCCCTCTCAATGACACCATGCCTGAAATTACTGAAACACCCAAAGAAGACACTGAAGGCGAAGACAACTTCGAAGAGGCTGTCGAAGAACAGATTCCACAGCCTGTCGAAGAAAAGGAGCTTGCACCGGAGCCTCCCATCGAAGTGGCTGCAGATACCCCCACAGAGGGGTCAGAAACAAAGGCGGAGAAGCGGAAAAACAAGAAGAAAAAGAATCGCAAATCCGCTGCGGTCGAAGAGACTCAGATTTCCGCTGAAACGCCCGCTCCCGAGACTGAATCCCAGCCAGAAATCCAAGAGCTCGAACCCGAGCAATCAGCTGTTTTCGGTCCTGCGGATACCCAATCCCCTCCAATTGGCGGTGAAGCCTTACCTTCTGATCCTGAACATCTTGAACAGCCAACCAAGGATGTTGAGCAGCCCTCCGAAGCCACCATTGAAGAGCCTGCAGCTACTCAAGAGCAGGAGCAAGTTTCATTGGAAGCTGCTGTGGATGCAACACCTACTGTGACCGAGCCGGTGGGGCCCACGGGGCCATCCGATGAACTGTCACAGCCAGCTGTCATCGATGTCCAGCCCAATGCTGAACTCCCGGAACCTTCTGAGGAGGCTTCTCGCGAAATTCCAGAGCCTTCTGCTGTTCAGACTCAACCTGAAGCTGAAGTTCAAGCTGCACCTCAAGGTGAAGTTGAAGCCGAGCCTGAAGTAGCCTTGACTGCGGCTCAGAAAAAGAAGGCCAAGAAGAATAAGAAGAAGGGCAAGCAGAGTGACTCTGCCATTCCTGACGACGAGAAGCCTGCTGAGTCTACCTCGCCGGCACCTGTAATTGAGGCTGTCGCTGAGGATATAGCCAAGGAAACCCCTCTTGTCACAGAAGACGCACCAGTGGATGCGCCTACTCAAGAACACGAGATGGATCTGCCCGTCGAGGTCGAACAATCGCTTGAGCCGGAGCAACTCCCCGAGCCTGAGCAAATTTCTGAAGTTGTGCCGACCCAGGAACAAGCTTCTTCTGGCCCTCTTCCGGAACCAGCGGCAGAGGCAACAGAGGCAGAGGCAGCCAAAGAAGAGCATATCGTATCAGAGGAGCAGCCTAAAGCCGAAGAATCTCCTGCCGAGCCAGAGGTCCCTATGACCGCTGCGGAGAGGAAGAAGGCTAAGAAGGCGAAAAAGAAGCAGCAAAAGGAGCAGGAAGAGAGCACTGGCTCTACTGCTGAAGATATCAAGCCTATTGAGACTGTGCCTGTGCCCGATGCTGAATCAGCTGAGCCAAGCAAGGATATTGCGCCTGCCACGGAAATTGATGATGTTGCTCCAGCAGACTTCTCCGCGCCAGTGTATTCCGAGCCTGCTCAGACTGAACAGGATGTTGCGCCTACATCTACAAACGAGCCTGAGGCAGCCCCAGTCACTGAAGATACTCTTCCGCCAACCGACACTGAGACTGTCGAGCCAACGAAAGACATCGAGCCTCTCGCTGATGCTGAGCCCCCGGTAGAAGACGCTGCTCCATCGTCTGAGATCGAGGCCACCGAAGTTGTCTCCGATGTTCCACTTGTATCGGAAGAAGCCACCGCTCTTGTCGATACGGCCCAAGACCTTGACCAGCAGGACGATGTCGTTAAGGCAGAGGAGCCGAAGAGCGAGGATGTGACCCCAGCGCCCACAGAAGAACCCTCGGTGGATGCTGCAGAGACTGATATCCCCAAAGCACAAGAACAATCTCCCGAACCCGAGGTTCTAATGACTGCTGCCGAGAGGAAGAAGGCCAAGAAAAACAAGAAAAAGCAGCAGAAGCAAGAGTCTGTGCAGCTTGATGAGCAGCCCATGCCTGAGGCTGAGCCTACTTCTACCGAGGAAAAGAGTGTCGAACAATCTGGTGACATTTTGCCCGAGAGTGAGGCCACACCTACCGCAGAAGCTGTTGCGGGTGTTGATCACCCCGCAGAATCCGAGGCAACCCGTGATCTTGAAGCCGAGACTAAGCCTGAAGAGGAACAAGCTCAGGATGTGCCAATTCTCGACTCCGAACTTGATCCCGAGGCACCCGCCGACGAGGCCATTCCTACCCCGGAGATTGCTGAACAAGCTATTGATGTTCAAGATAGGGACAAAGAAACCGCCCCAGAGCCTACAGTTGAGGTTCCTGCTTCCACGGAAGACCTCCAAGAAGAACAAAAACTTGAGTCAGCCACCAGCGACCAGCCTACTTTAGACAAGTCTCTTGATGACAAGCCCGCTGAGTCTGCACCGGAGCCAGTTGTGGAGGAGACTCAGCCTACAGAGTCCACAGAAAGTCCAGTGGCGGAGCAGGCTGAAGATGAACAGGCGGCAACTTCTTCCAAGTCGAAGAAGAAGAAGAATAAGAAGAAGAAGGGCCAATCAGTTGCCGCTGAGGAGGAGCAGCCTGCACCCGCCGAGGAAGAGGCCAAGCTAGTCCCTACCGAAGAGGAGCCTACACCTGTGCCTGCTGAAAATGAAACCACTGAACCCGCGCCATCTCAAGAGCTTGAACAGTCTTCTATTGATAAAGATGCGGATACTCCTATTGTGGCGGAAGAGGCGCCTAAGGCCGAAGAGACCACGCAGCCAGAGGTCCCTGCAGATGCAGCCGATACAACCGCTACCGAGGCCGCTGACGAGGCATTAATGACTCCTGCTCAAAAGCGGAAGGCGAAGAAAGATAAGAAAAAGCGCCAATCAGTTGCAGTTGAAGAGGAGCAGCCTACAACCGCTGAGGAGGAGTCCAAGGCCGTCCCCATTGAGGAAGAGGTTAAGCCTGCACCCGCTGAGGAAGAGGTCAAGCTTGAACCCGCCGAAGAGGAGCCTACACCTGTGCCTGCTGAAAATGAACCCACTGAACCCGCGCCATCTCAAGAGCTTGAACAGCCTTCTCTCGATAAGGACGCGGATACTCCTATTGTGGCAGAAGAAGCGCCCCAGGCCGAAGAGACTACACAGCCAGAGGTCTCTGCCGATATAGCCGATACAACCGCTACCGAGGCCGCTGAAGAGGCATTAATGACTCCTGCTCAGAAGCGAAAGGCCAAGAAAGATAAGAAAAAGCGCCAATCAGTTGTTGCCGAAGAGGAACAGTCTGTGCCTGTTGATGAGTCCAAGCTTGAACCAGCTGAGGAAGACGTCACACCTGCACCAGTTGAAGAGGAGCCCACGCCTGAATCCGACCAGGCAGAAGTCACTGAGCCTTTGTTGACTCAGGAATCCGAACAGGCCGCTGTTGACAAAGATGCGGAGACTCCTATTACGACAGAAGAAGCGCCTGAAACTGGAGATGCCTCTCTCGAAGATGTCACGCAGCAGGATGCTTCTACCGATGCAGCCGCTACTGAAGCCGCTGAAGAGGCATTAATGACTCCTGCTCAGAAGCGAAAGGCCAAGAAAGACAAGAAAAAGCGCCAATCAATGATCGCCGAAGAGGAACAGCCTACGTCTGTTGAGGAGCCCAAGCCTGAATCCCCTCGGGAAGAGCCCATTGAGCCTGAGTCGACTCAGGAAACCGAACAGGCCGCCGTCGACAAAGATGCAGAGACTCCTATTATAACAAAGGAATCGCCCAAGGCCGAAGAACCGTCTCCGGAAGAGACCATGCAGCTAGAAGGCCCTACTGATGCAGCTGCTACCGAGGCCGCTGCTCAGGCTGCCGAAGAGGCTTCAATGACTCCTGCTCAGAAGCGGAAGGCTAAAAAAGATAAGAAAAAGCGTCAATCAGTTGTCGCTGAAGAGGAACAGCCTGCGCCTGCTGAGGAGCCCACGCCTGTTGATGAGCCCACGCCTGTTGAGGAGCCCACGCCCGAATCCGCTCAAGAAGAGCCCACTGAGCCTGAGTCGACCCAGGAAACCGAACAGCCCACTGTCGACAAAGATGCAGAGACCCCGTTCATAACAGAAGAAGAAGCGCCCAAGGCTGAAGAACCCTCTCTCGAAGAGGTCACGCAGCAGGATGCCCCTGCTGATACAGCTGCTGCCGAGGCTGCGGAGGAGGAGGAGGCAATGACCCCCGCCCAGAAAAGGAAGGCCAAGAAAGACAAGAAAAAGCAACGCAAGTCTGTTGCTTTCGACGACGATGCCACTCCGACCGAAGAGCCCAAGCCAGAGCAGGATTTATCGGCACCTGAAGATAAGATTGAATCTCAGGATGCTCCGGCCGACTTGGTTATGTCTGAAGAATCAGCCAAGGAGCTGCCAGTGACTGAAGAAGTTGCCGAGCCTGCTGCTGAAGGGGAAGTCTCAGAGAAGACAGAAGAACCTGCTTCCTCTGAACAAAGCAAGGAGATCACCGAGGATGAGCTAGTCTCAACTGCTGCTCCCGACACCCCCATTCCTGCCGAAGCCGAGGAGCCAAAGTCCGCAGCGGAGTTGCCAGAGCAGCCGGAACAAGATGCTCAGACTCCATCAGAGCCCCAGTCTCCGAGTGCACAAGAGCCCGAAGTTGCCTTAACTGCAGCGCAGAGGAAGAAGGCGAAGAAGAACAAGAAGAAGGGCAAATCTGTGGACTTAGCCGACAATGCCCTTGCCACAGACGCAGCGCAGGAATCTGAGCCTAAATCTGAGTTTATTGTTCAAACTTCCACCGATACTCCGCCCGAGACCCCGGGGTTGCAAGATACTCCAGCCTCTGAGACAGCACAGCCCGCCGCAGGTCTCGAGAAAGAAAATACCATCGAGGCTGAAACTCCCAAAGCCGAGGAACTCGAGACAACAGAAGCCGTATCCGACGATGTGCCGAAAGAGGAATCTCCTGACGCCAAGGAGACCGACAACGAACCTCCGGCGACTGAGGCGATTGTGGATGCTGAGCCAACTGCCTCCCAGGAAGAAGAGGCGATTGCCCCTTCTCCCACCGAGCCGACCGAAGAAGCTGGAATGTCAGCCAAGGAGCGACGCAAAGCTGCCAAGAAAGCGAAGAAACGCCAGTCCAAGAACGTTGACGGCGATAACGACGCCGCAACATCCGATTCACCTTCTGCCCCGGCAACCGAGCCTGCTACACCCATTGAAGCGGCCAACAGCGTCGAAAAGGTCCTCACCTCTACGGACACAGACGCCCCTGGACTTTCAGCCGTAACGGCGTCCTCGCCTGCGGAACATGACGGTAAAGAACATCAGTCCCACGACATAGAAACTTACGACGCCACGGCGCAAAATACAGCCTCGACTGATAAATACATGTCTTCGCAGGTAGAGCAGACGCCGATAGAGAGTCCTTTTTTAGATTATCCTCCCCAGCCCGTGCTTGAGCGTTCAGTTGATTCCGGCGAGTTGGTGGAGGGAAATGCTCAGCAGGAGGGCGATGTTGCCCCTACTGCACATGAGCGAGAGGGAGAGTTGGCTGAGCCTGCACCCCTTGAGGAGGAAATGAAGCCGGTTGATGATGGTGAGAACGTTGAGGAGAAATCGTCTGTGCCGGAAGCAGGCGATCTTTCCGCGGAGAAAGAGATTGAAGAGACGCCTGTGGAAGTGCCGATTGATGTTGTTCCTGAGGCACAGACACAAGAGGCTCCTGTGGAGGAGGAAGAAGCTTCTGAGACAGCTGTGTCGAAGAAGCAGAAGAAGAAAAACAAGAATAAAAACAAAAACAAAAAACAAGAGGAGGAAGCTGCAGCACCTGACCCTGAGACCTTTATTGCAGAGGACAAGGAGCAGCCTGAAGCTGCGCCTTTGGTTGAGGACGAGCCCCAGCCGGAGGTAAAGGAAATCACTGAGTCTGAGCCTATTGGCGAAGGCGAACTAGTGCCAGTTCCAGAGGAGCAACCGGCAGATCACCTACAGGACATTGAAGAGGCTGCCGCTGTCCAGCCAACCGAGGAAGTTGATGACACCAAGGAGACCAGTGTCCTAGAAGCCGAGGCTGTTGCTCTTCCTGCTGAAGAGACCACGCATCCAGAGGCCCCTGCCGATGCAGCCGCCATCGAGGCCGCCGAAGAGGCATCAATGACTCCTGCTCAGAAGCGGAAGGCCAAGAAGGACAAGAAGAAGCAACACCAATCAGTTCTTCCTCCAGAACCCGAATCTGAGCCCCAGCCCGAGGAACAGCCAGCACCCGAGGCGACTGAAACTTCTGTCCAAGAGACTGAGATTGTCACCGAGTCAGCGCCTGCCGATATTATCACGCATGATGAGGCTGTTACTAGCGCAGAGGAGCGTACATTGCAGCCTATTGATGCCACCGAGGAGGCCGCCAAGGATCTTGTAACACCTGAAGACACCGAACAACATGTGCCAAACCAAGAAATCGAAAGCGGAGAGCGTTCTCTTGAACTTCCTTCCATTGAATCGAAGATCGAGGAAGGAGACAAGCCAGCTGTGGAAGCTGCCGAAATCCCGGCCGAGACTCCAGATGACAAGCAACCTAGCGAACAAGCGCCGCCTGAAGCCGCCCCTGAGCCCGAAGGGGAATCGGCGACAGTCCCCAAGAAGATGAGCAAGAAAGAGAAGAAGAAGGCTGCTGCTGCTGCTGCCGCCGCCCTTCTCGAGGAAGAAAAACTCGGCGGGTCACAACCTGAAGCTGAGGAGCCTTCTAACATCACCCCTCAAGCTCCAGAGGAAGTGGTAGAGCAACTTATCGTTCAAGAGCCGCAGCCTTCAGAGACCGAGGACAAGCTCCTGCTTGAGGCAGAAAAGAGCCTAGGCCAAACAACACATGTGACAACTTCCGAGCTGAAAGAAGATGTCCTGGAGCAGCCTGTTGAGGTTCCCAAGTCTACTGAGCCTCTCGAATTCGAGGACAAACCGGAAGAGTCTACAAAGGAGCTAGCCGACGAGCCAGCTGCGGCAGATACTATTACTCGGAAAAAGTCAAAGAAGGACAGGAAAAAGGCCAAGAAACAAGACAAGCAAGAAGTAATTGAGCCGGCTTCCCCTCCTACTGAGGATCGTGTTCCTACCACCAAGCCTGCAACTGCAAAGGCTGCTCCTGAACCAGAGGCGGCTTTTGAGGGAACACCCACGGACATTGTTCCTACCACTCAGCCTGCAACTACAGAGCCTGCTTTTGAACCAGAGGCGACTCTTGCAGAGACCCCAACTGAGACTATTACTGGGCCTGAATCCATTGCCCCGGAAGAAATCGAGGAGGCTCCCAAGCCCGAGCCTGAAAACATCGAACCCCCGGCTCTTGAGGGTTTGAGCATCGTATCGGAAGACAGGCAACCCTCAGAGAGCGAGAAGAATGAAGGAGTCGCCTCTCTGGACACAGTCGATACGCTTTCACCAGCGGAACCCACTGACCAAGATACCAACAATGAGCCCCTTGACACCGAGAGTCCTGCTGATGAGAAGAACCAGGAAGATCAAGCCCACGTTGGGGCCGATGCAGGGGATCTTGAGAAAACAGCTGATCTCGAGGTCGTCGAGGGCCTTGTTGAGGATCGACCTGGAGAATCTGGAGTGATACCGGCTCTGTCGAAGAAGATGTCAAAGAAGGACAAGCGCAAGGCCAAGAAAAATGCCGGCATCACCGAAGAAGTCTCGACTCAACAACAAGAAGAGCTTCAGGCTGATATGACTGAGTTGCCCACAGAGCCTGTTTTGGAGCAAGAGATTCCCGACGAACCTGAACATGCTGCAGAACCTCAACCTACATTGGAGCGAGAGCTGTCAACCGAGGCTCCCCTACCGATTGAGGATCAGCCTATACCAGAGCCAGAAGTTCAGGTTGAGCTCACGCAACCCGAGGAAGAGCCCGCCGCCAGTGAGGAACTTCCTCTTTCACGCAAGGCCTCGAAGAAGAAGGCCAAGAAGGCCCAAAAGGCTACCAAATCCCTGGATACTGAGCCACCGGCTGAAAACGCGATCGATGCGGATCAGCATGCTACCATTGTGCCGTTTGAAGAGGACCAATCCAAGGCACAGGACCTAGAAGCGCCAGACGAAAAGTCGGCCCATAGCGAAGAAGACTGGCCCGCAATTGACTGGCAGGCCAAGTTTGAAGAGTCCCAGCGATTAAGGGAAGCGGACCCTGAACCTGAGCCGGACATTCCACCTCCCGAGCCGGAGATTATTTCTGAATTTGTTGAGTCTTCATTCCCCGAAGTTTCGCAAGATCCAAACGAAGCTGCGGAGCAAGATGATTGGGCTTTGCCGAGCAAAAAGGACAAGAAGAAGGCCAAGAAGAACAAGAAGCAATCACAGCAAGCTGCTCCGGAAGTCGAGGAGCCTTCACTGGAACCCTTCAACGACAAAGAGATCGAGCCGCCTGCTCGAACAACTACTCCGGGTGGGTCTAAGATTGCCAACTTATTTCCCGGCCTCGAGCGTGCCGGATTCCGGCGATCAGCTTTGGACCAAACACCGTCGCTAAAAGATAGTGCTGAGGAAGAGACAACAGCGGACTTGGAAGCGAATCGCGATATCGCGATCCCTGTCTCGGAAGCACCCCTAGCGACCACTGAAACCAAAGAAATTGCCGAAGATTTCACCTCGGAGCTGCCTAGCAGTCTCGAAAGACAAATTGAGTCTACAATCTCGGAGCTGAAAGCTCACTCCGAAACTCCTACTGCTACGGAGGATGAATCAATCAGAGAGCCAGAACTTCCGACGTATGGCGAAAAGTCCTTGGATGAGCCATTGTCATTGTCAAGGGAACCCTCCAATGAGCGGACTCGTACCGAGGAACCTTCTTCTCCTACACGCCTTCCACCCCAGGCGGAAGCTGGAGAGGAACTGTGTGAACTACGCCGATCACCATCAATCCATGGACGGCACCAGCACCCACCCAGAACCTGGAGTTTGGAAGAACCATCTCTACAAGCTCTTCCTGCCCCCTCCCCTCCTCGGTCGCTCTTCGGAGGGCCGACCGACGATTATGTGCGACCCCGGACTCCGCTTGATACAATCGCGGAACAAGAACCACGGGATGGCCAGGGAGCGTCCATGGCTCGTCGCGGGACGCCCCGCCTGGAGCTGAAGCCCGAACATGTCTTACCTCGACCTCAGACACCCGTCCGGAAATTTACAGACAATGCCTTTGATCGAGAAACTTGGCCGACAGAAAACCAAAAAGGCGAGGATTTCAAACCCGAAATTCTAAAAACGCCTGAGCAAGGGATTCCAATTCTGAAGCCCAGCACCAGCAGCGGAAAATTACGTCGTGCAAATCGCAGTATTAGTGGCGATCTGCGGGCGGCTAGTCGAGCGCTAGATTCCCAGCCTTCGAATCTCGATCTCGATCAGCTCCCGTCTTCTTCCTCTTACGACCCCGTCACCGACAAGGGCAAACGTCCGCTGCGAAATATGTCGGATGTCTATGTAAGTTATTAATTTATTCTTTCTTTTTTCATTTGCGATTGCGGTTGTGATTGTTTTGTTTTTGTTTTTGTTTACTAACTTCTGTAGGAGGGATGGGGTGAAACGCCCAACTCCCCACGGTCGCCCAGCCGACCGCCTAGTGTCCGCCGCCGTCGCAGCATGCAACACTTGCAAGATATCGAAACCCGCCTCGACCAGCTCATCTCTGAAAACCGTCTACTGATCGCCGCCCGCGATGAAGCCGAAGATAAGCTGCGGAATACCAGCGTCGCTCGTCGAAAGAGCGACCGTGCCCTCAACACCCGCGACGGCGATCTGCGCGATCGGGAATCGGAGGTGGAACAATTGAAGAACTCGGTGGAATGGCTGCAGAAGGAGATGACTCGTCTGACCCAAGAGAACGAGGGGCTGACCGCATCTAACTCTGCTCTCGCCGCCGCCCACGCAGCCGAGGTCAACACCGTACGCGAGTCGTCCACACGCGAACTTGCCGACTTGCAGTCGCAACACACTCAACTCTCGTCCCAGATAGAGGATCGAGTTCGACAGGAGATCGAGTCGGCTCTTGCGCAAAAAGACATTGAATTGCGCCGTCTGCGCACCGAACTTGAGGAGGCTCGCGATAAGGTGAAGGAGCTCCAACAACAAATCGCAGCCTCGGTACATGACAATGCCCTTGTCTTCCGCGATGAAGAGTACTTCGATGCGGCCTGCCAGAAGTTGTGTGGCCATGTCCAATCTTGGGTCGTGCGCTTCTCTAAGCACAATGACAAGCGTCGCTGCCGCCTACTCAGTGAGTTGCAGGACGAAAAGATCGCAGACCGTTTCGACAATGCCCTTCTCGACGGCTCGGATCCCGATGCCTACCTATCTGATCGTGTCCGCCGCCGCGATGTCTTTATGTCGGTGGTCATGACGATGGTCTGGGAATACATCTTCACACGTTATCTCTTCGGCATGGACCGGGAGCAGCGTCAAAAGCTCAAGTCTCTTGAGAAACAATTGGGCGAGGTTGGCCCAACCCGTGCTGTGCATCGCTGGCGAGCCACCACTCTCACACTGCTGTCCCGGCGACCAGCCTTTGCTGCGCAACGTGAGAGCGATACGGAGGCTGTTACCCTGGAGATCTTCCAAACCCTATCGCGGGTCCTCCCTCCTCCGTCACATGTTGAATCCCAGCTCCTGGATAACCTCCGCAAGATCATGCGGGTAGCAGTCAGCCTGTCCTTGGAGATGCGCACCCAGCTGGCTGAATTCATCATGCTGCCGCCTCTGCAGCCTGAATATGATACCAATGGCGACCTTGCACGCCAAGTGTACTTCAACGCAGCCCTGATGAATGAGCGCAGCGGTCTGACAAACGACAATGGCGAGCTTGAAGCCCAACAGTCCATTGTGCGGATCGTGCTCTTCCCTCTGGTTGTCAAAAAGGGCAATGATGTGGGCGAGGGTGATGACGAGGTTGTCGTCTGCCCCGCCCAGGTCCTCATTGCCCGCCCCAGCAAAGACAAGAAAGTATCAAGGATGGTGAGCGGCGATCGCATGTCCATCGATCCTTCCAGATCGGTCCACAGCATTGCTCAAAGTATTGCTCACAGTGTGGCACCGTCATCTATGATGGACATGAGCAATGTGATCTGAGGCGTCACACTCAGATCATGATTGCTCCCATCTTTATATGCACCCTTGCTGCATCCTTGCTCTTATTGTCTAATATTTGTTTTCTTCTCTCGCCGATTGGTGATATGGCGTCAAGGTCATTTAACGTAACGGTCATTGCAAGGCCGATGACCGTGAATATGTGGAGTTATTTGGTTTTTTATTTTCCTGTTTCTATTTGATTTTCTTCTGTGTTCTTTTCTAAGACAATGTGTTAGCCCCATGTGTATTTACCATGGCTTTGATGTCTTATGAGTGATGACCTGTACTTCTGGTATGGCAGTGTAATAATCTATTTCTACTTTTATTCTTTCTACTTGACTTGTCTCTTGCAATATACCCCTTGGCCCTCAGCTGAAATTGTAAGACTGCTCTTTTTATAAGAGCCGAAGCGGTTTATGATCACTTTATCATGATGGTCCATCTACATTGGACACAGTTTCTGTTTACTCCTACGGAGTATGCCTTTGTGCATTTGTTATGCTTCCTTTGATATAAACCTGCTTTGCTCCAGTGCCTTGTTTTTCAGGTCGTGCCTATCTATAACTATTAGCTAACCTCCATTTGCTCTTCCTAGGTAGGTTACCTGGGAAATCACAATCCTTTCTCCCTCTCTCGTCAACGGCATCACTACCAGTACTTTCGTCGAACCTAATACTACCTATTTTGAATACCAGTCAGGTCAGAAGCCTAATAGTATAGGAATCGAGGAACCTCAACATTTTCAACACCGTTACCATGTTGAGCTACGTTGAGCCAAGGATGAATCTTCTGCAGTCATCACATCAACCAAAATAGGTTTTACCCCAGACTGACTGCGATTTGAACAGACTATATATTCCTGCGCGCAATGACTTCACCGACATCGTCCCCTTTCCAAAGGAAACAGAGGTCTCCTACGGCAATAAAAGAATACATAGAACAATAGTCACGCGGCCCTTTAAGACCGAGAAAAGAAAAGTTTATCCCTCAGGTCAGAAAGCTTCTCGGGTACAGCTCCGATACAGCACCAACTACCTCTTCAAGGCAATCTTTTTGAACTCAGCGGTGGTGTCCCTGATGGCTACTTCAACAGGAAGTCGCTCCATTGAACTGGCCCCGTAGAAGCCATGCAAACCCCGCACCCTATCCAATACGAATTTCGCATCTTCTGGGGCAGCAATAGGCCCACCGTGACACAGCACAATGACATCCTTGTTGATCTGCACCGCCGCATCCCGCATTGCCTGGATCTCCACAACGCATTGTTCCAACGTCTTCCCAGTCTTCGCGCCAACCAGCCCGGAAGTAGTCAGTCCCATATGTGCCACGAGGATATCCGCCCCAGCCTTCGTCATAGCCTCAGCATCCTCGACATTGAATACATAAGGCGTCGTCAGAATATCCAATTCAGCTGCCTGCCGCACCATCTCCACCTCTTTACCATACCCCATCCCAGTCTCCTCCAAGTTGGCACGGAAGTTGCCATCTATCAGTCCCACCGTGGGGAAGTTCTGGATACCGGCAAATCCCAATTCCCGCAGCTGCTTCAGGAACCGCGGGATGTGCTTGAATGGGTCCGTACCGCAGACACCCGCGATCACGGGGATATTCTGAACGATAGGAATGACTTCAGCGGCCATTTCGACTACCACCTCGTTGGCGTTGCTGTATGGCATCAGTCCCGCGAGACTTCCGCACCCCGCCATGCGGAACCGACCGCTGTTGTATATGATGACTAGGTCTGCGCCGCCGGCCTCGACCGATTTTGCGGAAAGACCAATGCCTGATGGTGAATTATTAGTTCAACTGATGTAGAGAGGGAAGGGGGACAGGTGTTACTTAGTACGTACCGGCTCCAGCTCCAATGATGGGTTTCCCGTCTTCAATTTGACGGCGGAGGTGAGCGAGAATCTCGCTGCGAGAGGTAGGTGGCGCCATAGTAAGGAAATAAAATTTGTAGTTGGATTAATTGTTCATGCAGTCAAAATGGAGAGATATTCTTCACTTGTCTCAATCGAATTTACCAATTATAAGATTCATCGTGCTTCTCGCAAAAGGCGGGGCGGACTTACGGAGCGCGGATGCGGACGGCGGACGGCGGAGACACACCCCAAGCGCGGGACCGCGGACATTTAGGGGAGGTTATCGAAACATGAACTATATCAAGATTTTATCTTTAGACTTTTGGGGTCTTACTAGATGGCCCTTGACGGCCTACGCGTTTTTCAGATTTTACTTTTTATGCTTGAAGATACCTAAGGCACTCTAGAACATCGGAGACGTCGTGGGTATCTCTACTGATGATAGAAAGGTCAGGTGTTTGTAAGCCGTATTTGGCACCGAAGAGATGTAAGAAAAAGGTAAGAAGAAACGGTTTGAAATGCTAGATGAGAAATTGTGTAAAAGGAGAAAGGTGACGGAAGAGGATGCGCAGTCAAAGCCTGGCTGGTAAACAACGTATCGACCAAACAGACTGAGTATTGTATGGTATATGTCCGTGGGCTATATCATTCACTCTTGGGAGTCGTAGGTCCCTTGGGAACTATGATTCTGATTCCCAGGAACGACCAAGAGCGTGCCTAGGAACCATGCTATGGATCCTGGGTCCGGACATGATTCCAAGTACGTGAGGGTCTCACTCGCGAGAGAGAAAGCGGGATCTAATGGGTCAAAACGCGGGCGATAAGTGCGGGCAACAGAAAGAAGGGTAAACAGTAACTAGGCAAGAATATGGTGCAAAGACACTGTTTGGATGTTGATGAACAACAAACGGCTATTTGGGAGTCGATCAAATGTGCATTTTCAACGATATCAGTAGAATAAACGATAATAGACAAATAGCGTGTAAGAGTGGTGAAAGCATGAAGGTCAAGGGGCAAGAGAGGATTTGCAGCTGGTGATTAATCAAGCAGTTGGTTGTCTTACAAATGCGAGTACATGAAAAGATTGATTCATTCATTTTCTTGTTAAACACAGTGAAAGAAGTAGGGGGTTGATTATTATTGGCCAAACGACACTCTCCACCCCAAATTAGTTACCTAGGTAGTTAACTAGCTTATGTCACGAAACTAGCTAGTTATCTGCCGAGGATCAGGGGAATCTATTCCTGACGGAGCCCGCTTCCATACGGAGCGTATGGAGAATCCTCTTTGGACTGTCAACCACAGCTCATCGTGCTTTATTCTCAAGTGGAGTAACTTTAACTATTGAGATAATCGTTGCATGAAGTCGCTGACCGAGGATGAGGGCAAACGAATCGTCATTTGCAAAAGGTTCTTGTTCTGATAAAAGTTCCGCTTTGGTCTAAACAACTTCATGTATATTGTTCTAGTGTATCTTTATCAACCTGCTCCAGATCCTGGTCTGTCACTAGCATTGAGGCCGGATAGTAGGAGTTCTTGATAGGTCAGTCGTCTTCTCATCAGAGACATAGTTGGAGACATACTAATTGCGAGCCCCGACGAGGAAATGCAAAATTAACTAGCTGTCGGCAGCTCATAACGCCTATTGACTGAATGGTCACTAGACTCTGATAATTCCGCTACCATGCGTCCATCATCTATTTCATTCGGTTGGGAGGCGTCTTTCTCGAGCGCATACCCAGGCACTGATGAAGGGGGCGCGAGATACTGCGATTGCTGCCGTGGCTGTTGTCGTTTCCGATAGCGAATCAGAAAATAGAGGGCTGCAATAAGTGCGGCCGCCCCGGCAACGCCACCGACCACACCACCGGCTATAGCCCCTGTATTGGTTCGTGATGATTGATCCGAAGTACTAGACTCAGCGTCTAAAGATGATGTGGGGGTACTAGTAGATGTGGAAGTTGGAGTGGTGGAAGTTGGAGTGATGGAAGCAGCACCTAAGCAAAGTTTCCATTAGATATTGCAACAGTATGACAATAACGTGGCCACTGACCGGTTGAACTAGGTGTTAATGCATTATAGGATAAGTTGCGAGCAGCACCCGGGTCGAGACAGCCGACCGAAACAGTGCCTTGGACAGAAAACCCAGCATGATTGGGCTCACAACAGAAATAACCCGTGGAATTGTAAAGGTCCCAGCTTGGATTCGCGCAAGTCGGGACATCCGCAAGAACATCTGTGCAATTCAGAGAGTTAGGACAGCAAATAAAATTATTGATCTTGGTGGAGTGCGAGTCTAAGCATTGAGAACTTCCGGGGCAGCAAGCATAGAAAGTTCCCCACGTCCGACCACATTCTGACTCTCCCGCGCTGCAGGAGTTGTTTCGGCGAACAGGATAGCCTGGAGACTCATCTGAAGACATCGCGATAGGACAAAATGGATATAGTGCTCGAAGTTTGGAGAGGATAAAATTCTGAGGGAGGGAAGAAGAAAGGAATTGAGTTAGTTTCGGCCCCCATCTGGGGCCAGTGCACCGACCTCTTGAATAAAGCACTGCCACCGTCCGTCCTCTTAGACTGCCCTGGAGCCTCTTGATTGAGTTGCAGATCTGCATGCCTCCATTCAATCACGCGCAATTCATGATATATGCCGCCGGGCCAGGCCCGAACCAAAAGACCGTGTCGCACTGGAACCTCCATGACACGTGATATTCCTGTATCTTAGACAGGATTACCCGCTCAGTTTATGAAGCGTCTCAATCTATGTTGTAGATCACATAGACAAGGATCAAGGCTGCGGGGTGCGCGCGCATGCGTAGATTTTGAAGTTGGCGAAGCCCGATATACTAGTCGCTTTTAGGTCTTGTGTGCTTGCTACGTCCAGTGGGTGATCCTCGCCGACAGGCTCCTTAATACTCGTTCCCAAAGGCTATACTCCGTACCGTTCACACCTTAGGCGCAGTGTAATATCGACGTCGCGTGCACTCTAGCAGCGTGGGCCAAAAACCTAGAGACTTCGGTGAACCTGGGGACATTGCGGTAGGCTGCTGAGGCCCACTTCTCGTTTCCTGGAACTAATATTTTTACTCCTAGGAGCGACCAGGAGCCCTTAGTATGAGTGCTGGGGCTAAAGATGATCCCAGGAACTTCTATCCAGGAAACACAAACTGTGATTGGCTGGTTGCCCCTACGGTCCCCGCAACGTGGTTGCTACCGCTAACCACCTGCGCGCCCAAATCAAATTCAACTCTGATCTCTACGCCAACGAAGTAGAAGGACTGAGCTACTCGTTGATGCGATTTTGTGGAAACAGATGGATTCTTTTCTAAGATTATGCGCTTCAGAATGCCGTGTCTTCTTAGGAAAACAGGAATAGAAAATGATTTCTATGCGCTTCAACATTGATGTGGAGGACTGCGTGATTTGTTCAAGACCCGTCATGAACTGAGGGGATGGCTTCTGTAGTCACAAAATGTTTGACTTCACTGAAAATGCTGTGTTCTTGAGCGGTGCGCATCAGTGCACCCACCCACTGTATGAATCATTTTCTCCCTCCGTTAAAATCTTCGCGCAAATTGCTCATCACTTCTGACCAAGCGAAGTCTTTTTATGGCGAGACTGAGATGATCATTGATCGAGTATTGTGACTCGGGATTGCGGAATCGATTGTTTCAGTGCTGCTTGCTCAGTTGCTAGGTTTAGGTATGAGCCTAAGAGATCGTCAATGAGGCATTTTTGCCATTAGATACTTAGGACAGGGCGAAGCACCTGTCGTCACTAGGGAACCAAGCCGCGATGGAATAGAGCAGCGATCATGACCAGGAAGCCCTAGAGAGGCGGGTCACGGACGAGGCACTAGGATAAAGCATTGGCGAGGTGGTAAATAATCGAATCGAGGACGAGGGCAGATCATCGAGGGGGAGTAGATAGAGAATAATCCATTTAAAGAACGAGTAGACTATAAAGGCTAAGGGAATACACTATAAACGAATAATCTGTAGCGTATTACTCTTCGAAAAGCCTTACAACCTCCTCACAACGCCACCTGCGCCAGGAGGCTGAATAACTCCGATCCTAGGAGTGAATTGTGAAGGTAACAAGGGCTCAGCCGCAGTTTACGACCGAAAAAAAGGGGGTAAGAGGCGGGTGGGATAAGTGGGTTATCCGATTGGGCGGCAAAATTGTAGGGGCGCAGAGATGAGTGCAAGATAGAGAGGCAGGAAGAATGGAAAAGTGAGAGAGGGGGAGGACAAGCGGCGAAGACGGGTCTTTTATGTCGAGAGCAATGAAGGGAGGTTATGTGACGGCGTATTGGGGCACTAAACCAAAAAAGGCAAAGCTAACCGGAAGAAGCAATTCACAGGCCCACCGTTCACACTTGACATTGCGGATATGCTTATGGCTCTCGAGACAGGTCTACTGTTGGCTATCAGACAAGCAATGTATATACGTAGTGGCTAGAAAATTTTAATATATCATTACAAGAATGACCACCTGCGTTTGCGGCCTCTGTCCTTGACAATGACATGATCTAGTTGGCTCGACGGTAGTCTTTTTGGTAGATCTCTTCTCCCTTCTTTTCTAGGTAGAAGCCAGCGCAAGGCGGAAAAAGCTTGATTTGAGAAAACGACTTTTCTGTGTATAACATTTGATAATGATGATTCGCTATCGCTTGTTAGCTGGACGCCGACTTGATCAATCCAACTTTCACTCGCAAAAGCCTGCATAGGACCTGTTCTTCAACTTATGCCAGGGTCCATGATTACGAGGAGTATCAAGGACCTTATATTTCTTTTGCTTTTGCTTTTTCTCTTCTTTTACTACAGGTGCTCCCTAACAGGTTGCATTGTCGTTGACCAAAACCTGAATTTTATAGTTGTGCTGACCTCATCTCTCCCGTTTTAGGAAAAGCGTCCAGGCCAGTCCCATGGAATCCAAGTTAGAGTATCTCATTGCAGCCTTGGAGGGAACCTCCGGATTTCTTTTGTATTAATCCTCATTTCTATCCTGTTGTACACTATACACAACTTGTTCCGATCTATATTACTCAGTACATCTAACATTTGAGATTTCTTGTCTCTTGTTTTGTTCCAGGAATGATCCACTCTGGTTTTGCCACCCGCGTCATTCCCCCAACCTAAGCTGCAGCTCCCTTCAACCGTGTCGACCATGCCGATGTCGGTTCCCCCGTGATCATCAGCGCTAGAGATCGTATGGAAAGCTGGGTATACTGCATGCTGCGAGTCTTTACTCTGTGATCACAGAACCTGGTTTGCGTTGGCCTGGTTCTATTGGTTAATGAGCTGCTGAAAAATCTCCTCCACTTCAGTACAGTTGCTCTGTACTGAAGACACCCAACCTCCATCGCGACCCGATTATTCAGGCTATCACAATGGATCCGCCCATGATCCCGACACCTGGCATAGCGGCCTCCCGACCGCCTCCTTCCTCGGATTCGTCTAGCCCAAGAAAACGTCCACAGCACAGCGATTACTCACCCTCTGCTGATAACAACGCTAGCTATGGCCCAATGAGCGGCGGTCGGGCCCCAGGGACTGGTCCGGTCCCCATCTCAGAGACTACACCAGCCAACAAGACCCGCTTAGAACCCCCCGCTAATAATGCTGCTGGCAAACCCTCCAAGTCCTCCAAACGCAAAAAGAACCGCAATCGCAAGCATCGCAAACGACACCCGTCTTTTATTCCACCTACTCGGGAGGAAGCTCACGATAGTCCCGGGGAGACTTCGGATGCTAGAGGTGTCAGAGATTCAATGGAGGCCGATCGGCCAACCTCGAGGGACAAGTCGTTCTTCAATTTGGGGCCCAATCTGAGTAACACAAGCTTGGAGAGCGATGCGCTGTTAGATCATCGGTAAGATCTCGTGATATTGAGCGATCTCGGAGCTTGAGATGGATCCTAATTTTTCTTGCCGAGCAGGGACCAACCTTTGATGCGACCTCGGCGTGACAGTCGCCTTGCATCGTCATTCCGCCCGAGCTCCCTAACATCCAATGTCTTCCGGTCGAACGATGGGCAACCTCGCAGCACCCCGAGGGGAGGACGGAGCCAACAATATCACAGTGGTGATAGTGACGAAGAGGATGCCAATGATCTAACACCATTAGTGCGGCCAGTTTCAGGCCACACGCCTGGTCATAATCGGTATGGAACAGACAATCGCCCGGGTTTGTTCTCATCGCGTGCTCGACAGTCCTCTACTCGAACTATGTCCTCGGGATGTTCGCCAAAGGACGATCGCAGCCCACTCTATTCTCCCACTGTAGAGCGAGACTACGATGTCAACAACCCGCCGTCGATTCCGGGTTCTCCAAAGTTAGGCCCGGAGATGAATTATGACGATGCTGTGGTAACAGGAGCTGATTGGGACTTCTCAATGGCTCGCTCAATAGAGAATCGCAAGGATTCTTTGAACGCCCTCAACGACACGCTGATCGATATAGACGGAAATGGATTGCACCCACATTCTGCACCATCCTCGTCACCTGGGTCGCCGCTGCTCTCTCCACATCAAGAAATGCGGCGACGCCGGACCGTGGCACTGCCAGCAGAGGAAGATGTATGCTTCCCTACCGAAACAATATCCGAATTGGGAGACGAGGGACCAAGGCAAATGCGAGATGAAGCCGGTGAGCGTCGACGGCGTAGACATCGGCGATGGCCCGATCTCTCCGTGCTGGAAGAATGGAGCCGCGAGGAGAAAGAGGAGCGCAATGGAGACCTTCGAGTCAAAAGGATCAGTGAGCCTATGCTCATCGAAGGCCGATTGCGCCCTCAGTATACAGGTTGGCGACGCGAAGAGGATGAGGCGCCTTATCGGTTCACATATTTCAACGAGGAATTTCCGAGCACCATTCATGCCCAAACCATCTCCGAGCTGGTACAACCAGGTGGTAGCTTCCGCGATTTGTTTATTCCAGATCCCCCCGAGTTGGAGGAATCCTCGGAAGATGAGGACGAGGAAGAGGAATCTTTCGTGGAGAATCCGGCTTCCAACAACTCAAACCATCCCGCCAGCAAGCCAACACCATTTCACCCGGACAATCAGGGCCATCAAACGAACGTCAATCCTTATATGACACCTCAGACCGTTGTTCCCAATGGAAGGACTACGAGTGACCTTATCACCGGCAATGCTCCTCCTGTCAGAGGACCCTCGCGTTTATCTATCATCAGCGAAGGACGCCCAGACTCCCACCGAGAGCCCTCCCCTGCACCTTCAAACACCCCGTTTAGCAACACCCCCAACCCGAAACCTAAACGGTACGGTCCACGGCCGACTTTCTGGCTAGATGTTCTCTCTCCGACAGATGCAGAGATGCGTACGATTGCCAAAGCGTTCGGGATTCACGCGCTGACGGCAGAGGACATTATGATGCAAGAAGCTCGAGAGAAAGTCGAGTTGTTCCGCAGCTACTATTTCGTCAACTACCGCACTTTTGAGCAGGATATCAACAGCGAGGACTATCTTGAGCCGGTGAACATGTATGTGGTGGTTTTCCGCGAAGGCGTGATCTCCTTCCATTTCTCGCAAACACCTCACCCAGCCAATGTGCGGCGACGTATCCGCCAACTGATGGATTACCTGATCCTCAGCTCAGACTGGATTTCATATGCACTGATTGATGACATTACCGACGTCTTTGGCCCGTTGATCCAAGCGATTGAAGATGAGGTCGATGAGATCGACGAGATGATCATGCAAATGCACTCTTCCAGCAAGGATTCGTCGTCCAATGACAGTGTGCTTCCTTCATTCGCACCAGGAGAGATGCTTCGGCGAGTGGGAGAATGCCGCAAGAAGGTCATGGGACTGTATCGACTTCTCAGCAACAAGGCTGATGTAGTCAAGGGGTTTGCCAAGCGTTGCAATGAGCAGTGGGAGGTCGCACCCAAGTCAGAGATTGGTCTGTACCTCGGTGACATCCAGGATCACATTATGACGATGACGGGTAACCTGACGCACTATGAAACGTAAGATTCTTACCTATGTTGAAAGCTGGTCTTCCCAAAACGTTACAGAAATCGCTGACTATGTCTGGCAGAATCCTTTCCCGTGCACACTCCAATTATCTCGCGCAGATTAACATCCTCATGAACGAGCGTCAGGAACATACTGCCGATGTCCTGGGTAAGCTGACTGTTCTTGGTACGATTGTCCTACCGATGAACATCATCTGCGGTATGTGGGGGATGAACGTTAAGGTACCGGGTCAGGAAATCGATAGCCTGACATGGTTCTGGTGTAGTATGTCTTCCCCTTTTTTTCCTTCCCAGATTATCTGCTAATACTTCATAGTTACTGCCGGACTGTGCGTATTTGCATTTGTATCTGTTTGGACTGCTAAAAGAGTCTACAAAATTGTATAGATATACGATGTGTCCCCATGTTGGTTTCTACTTTTCAGTCGATTGGTTCGATACCCTGGGTTTTGGTTTGGTTATTTGCTCTTTTATTTTAGGACTTTGGGGGGGTTTTCTTCTTTTTGGACTCTAGCTCTGAATACTCGGCGTGTCGGTCCTTGGGATTTGACGATATACGATGCATGTGTTGTTCTTTGCTACATTTGGGAGGTTATCTGGGTATACATATTGGCCACAGGTTGAATAGAAACTGTATATTAGTTGAAAATGTCTTCCCAGCCTATTTACTACATAATATTACAGTCTTGTAATCTGCATTTACTGTAGGTAATCCTTGATTTTGTCCTTGTTTATCCTTGTTTACTTGGGTACTGTTTTGGTGGCGTTTGCGATTCATTTGTCCTTTTGATAGGAACAAAGACAATAAGGATATTGAAACCCCCAGAAAAGTGACCCTAAAATATAGACAATCTGAATGATAATCGACTGATCGAGGCCAAAGAAACAAAAACAGTCTACCTTCACTGCTGTAGTTGTATAATATAGTGAAATGTATACAAAAGGGCGAGTGGCGTGATGAAGTCATTGTATTTCCCTTACATAAGTAATTAATTATTTCCTGCATGCTGCACGTTTTATTATCATTTATTACCATTTATTACCATTCTCGGCGTCACCCACCGGTCATCAACCCCGGAATACAAAATCCCAGTGACTTCATCCTTTTTGTGTTCGGTTTATCCTCTGCTCTTTTCTATTTCACTTTTCAACTCTCTCTCTCTTCCTCTTCATTTTAAATCACATTCACATTCTTTCCCAAGACTTTCTACTGCATTCTAGACCCTCCGCGTGCTTCCCTGCAGTGACCCCCTCCCTTCTTGACGTGGACCACGATCATTGGCCTTTGCCACGAATCTGACCCTCTCTGTCAGCCACTTTTCACCGAGGTTTTGGTCACCGACTTCTCCTGCACATTTGGCAGCTAAGACGCCACTCCAGAACAACGTAAAACCAGTCAAGCCAAAACGTTGAGCCGGATCGGCGGGTCTCCATTTGCCCTAAATCCGCCAACCAAATCCTGTCATCAACCGATTCCTTCGTTCTAGGCCTTGTTTTTGCCCTTCCCGGCAACAGAGCAAAACGGCACAAGTGATGTGTGGGCTCTTTGCGCTACACTGACCCCGGCCCACTTAGTATTCTAAACAATCTCCATCTCTCTCCAGTTTCCCCAACCCCTGCACCTGCTGCAGCCATTTTTTGCTTGTGCGTTTCTGTACAGAACCCGATTCCCGGCAACAGCATGTGGGCATCGGCTATTCGTTCTGCTGTACCCTCACATGTGTAACGACCGTATTCTGCGCAACATCCCATTCGATCCTCGTGAGATCTCATTCGCTCTTACCAAAAACAACTCACTTCTTCACCGTCAAGCTTTCCCTGCCTGGGCGCCGTGCCTTGCTTTTTCTGTTTACCCTTTGGGCCCTGTGTCTGCCCAACTATCTGGCTACCTCTCGGGTCTCCTGACTTGTCCACGTCGTGTCAGCCCATTCTGACTCGACAGGGACCATGGCTGCGGAGTCCGAGAGGCCGCCTCCACCTTAACGGCACCTCTGGTCGATCCAGAGGGCCGAAGGATGCAGAGGCGGCGTCAGACCCTGTGCATCGATCGGTTAGCGAAAGTGGCATGACAGAACGGTCAATCGTTACATCCCAGACTCAACCCATGTCTCAGGTCCCTAAGCTTTTTCCCAATCATCCTACCGCTTCCGCTCCTGCGTCTGCTACGAACTCCGCTGTTTCCTCCCGCGAACCCTCCCCGGTCCGACATTCCTCACGTACCTACAATCCCACCTACAATCCTGCTTCGCCCAGCCGGGTATCTTCACACTCGCGAAAGACCAGTCAAGACCAATCCAGTCCGACCCGACACTCCAACGGCCTGATATCTGGACCACCTACAAACTCACCAACACCGAATCTTCAACGTTCCTCCTCTTCTCCTGTCAGATCCCTTGTTCTCTCCGCTCCTGACGACTCGCCGGCCAATGTTCCTGGTCCGGAAAAGTCCAGTATGCCATCATGGGCCGCGAACCGTTGCACGGATCCGGATTCGACCCTTCCGAATACTTCGCATAAAAGATCTTCATTGCCGTTGGAGGATTTCGCACCCAAACCAGACCGAAACACAACCCGGACTGTCGCTAGAGGCGTTAGTGGGCAAGGGTCCTCCCTGGAAACCGTCGAAGAGATGGCAAGCAATCCCTCTACTCCGTCCAGTGAGACTCCTACCAAGCCGGTGATCCAGGAGGAATCACGATTGCACCGGATCGATGAAGATCCGACTCCACGTGCCCCGCATCAAACTTTAGGGAGTGGCAGCGACAGTGGTGAGAATCGAAGTTCGGAACCAAAGGAAGAGACTCGTTCACAGGCGTCTGGTGCGGCCAAACCACCCAAAACTCTGATGTCACAGCGATCGACAACATCACTCAGTGCTGGTGCTCGTGGAAAGCCTGCCGACGGCTCAGTTCGCAACATGATTGTAGAAACAGAGACCGTCAGTTCGATACCACAGGTTTCCATGGGAGTGGGAAATGGTGAGCGAGGCAGCGCTTCCCGTGCAGACCAGGGTACACTTCGCATGAAGCCTTCCAATGAGACGATTCGTCCGCGCAAAGAAAAGAAAAAGACCCGTCGACCCAATTCCCTTCTTACAGCAGGCCCCGTAACAAGCAAAGCCGACATCTTTGAGGCTAGAGTGGCCAATGCAGTGGATGAGGCTGATGTTTCGGACTCCGACGAGACTTTCGTTTATGACTCGAACCCGCCTGATCCATACCCCTCCCGACCGCCCCGGTATCATTCTCGGACTCCTAGTGCGACCTCTATGGCGAGTCAAGCGGAGCAGTTGGCTAGTCGTACCCGAGGGTTGCGGGATGCTTCTCACGGTGTGACAGGCAAACGCAGCATGAAGTTTACCAATGCCAACCCCTACAACAACAGCAGCGTAGATGGTGATGGTGTCGAGATTGATATGGCTTCGCGTTCTTCTAGAACGGATGGAAATGGAACCATCACTCCCCGGCATCACAATTTGGGCCGCCTTCATGGCCGCAACGGCGTGCACCCAAATCTTTTTGATAACGACAGTGCAAACTCACAAAGTCAATCTCAAAAGTCTCCACGCCATTTCATTGGGAATAGCTATAGGCATTCGCGTCACAGCAATACCCGGTTGTCTCCCAACTACAGAACTATTAGCGGTGCTAAGAAGGGCGGCGAGCTTCATGGCTATGACTACGAGGCAGAGGGTGCGGACGATGAACGCACACCGTTGGTAGGCACACCACGGACAATCCACAGTCGGAGTGGTCGGCGGCCCAACAGTGCAAGCTTGCGGCAGATGGAGTACATGGCGCAGCGAGAACGCGGATTTTTCGCTCGATTTGGCTCATGCGCTATTATCTTCCTTATGTTGTTGATTGTCGCTGGCGGAGCTACCTCATTCATCATTGCGGCAACCCAACCCCTTCTGGACGTCCAAGTTATTGCGATTCAAAACGTACTGGCTTCGGAACAGGAGATCATGTTGGATTTGAACGTGCAGGCCATCAATCCGAACTTGTTCCCTGTGACCATTGATGACACCGATGTCAACATATTCGCAAAGAGTCGATTTGTTGGAACCGACAAGTTCTGGCGTGAGCATGGTGATCTGGATAATTTCCCACGCGTGGAGCAAAGCCGACGTCGCTGGCAGTTGTCACAAGCCGTGAGGTGCCTGGGCAATGTGGACTGTGTTAAGCAAGCCATGCCTAGCCACTCCGACCCACACACCACCGACGGGGTTGACGAGGGCACCGAAACCCCAACTGATCCAGAAGGCGACTCGCGATCGATGTTGCTTGGCCGCGTGTTCCACTTCGATTCTCCACTATCTTTCGAATCATCCCCTTGGAATCATTTGACTTCCAGCTCCAAAGGACAGATCCGTCTGGCCCGGCCAGGAAACAAAACTGAGGCAGGAGGCACAGAGCGCTGGGAGCGAGTCCTCGAACACCCCTTTGAGTTGACTGTCCGTGGTATCATCAAATACCAGCTCCCACTCAGCTCCCGCTATCTCTCGGCATCTGTTAGCTCCAGCATCAAGGTGGTGCCTGATGCCGATGACAACGATCCGGAGCAAGCACTTCCGGCCAACGGCACAGTGCGGATTTCTGTACCACAAAGAAGAGCACCGTCCATTCGCCTTCCACTCGATACTCGTTCCACCGGATCCGGGGATTCGAGACGACCTTTTACGGCATAACAAATTTAGCGATAGATCGATATCATTGACTTACGACAGCCCTATTTTCTCTTAATTATTTTTTACTTGTTTTTTTATTCATCATGTAACGCGACGAAAAGCAAAGAGCCTATTGCCTTTGGCGGCCCACTCTGTATACATACAGATACGCAGTATGGCCCCTATCTTCCCTTGAGACTTCATTCCGCAGTATACCCCATTTGCAATTTTCGTCTTTTTGTGCTCGCAAGCCTGGGACAAGTTCTATCACGGATCAACTCCGTCTAGATCTTGTCCTCCCTTTCCGTCTTCTCTCTTGTCTTTTTAAAAACACGTTCTCGGATATGGCTTTTTCTTCTGTTAGCAACTTTCTTCCTTGGAATGGATGCGATATCTGCTACATACGATCCCTGCATCCATTCCTTACACGGCAGTCAGCCATACTTTCTTATTACATTTTATTCAAGCTTCTCTTCCATGTCTATTCTTCTCGGTGCGAAGCACGCTGTATCTATACTATCTGTCTGTTCATTGCTGATCTCGGAATCGGCCTTGTTATGCATCTCTTTTTGTACGGCAGGACTTTTGGGAAAGATATTTCGTTATCAGCTCAGTCTTCGAATATGAGACGGGTTGGGCTTGCATAATGTTGTTTCATCCTATTAGAGGGTTTTGTGTTTATATCTCTTTTTTTCAGGGCCCTTGTAAATATGGATATGGATATTCTTTCGGGCTTTTGGATATACTACCTAGTATTACTTATGAGAATAGATATGTTCTTCAAAGGTTATACATAGAAAAATCTCTTGCACAAAGTATGCTTTTTTTCCCTTTTTCTGCCGTCTAGCTAACAAACTGAGAAGGGGGAGACAATATCTATGGAAACAGACATCTGAAAAACTAACTGAGAAGAATCCAAAAAAACCAAAAACGACCACCAAGAAAGACATCTAAAAAGACACCTAAAAGACCATCTGAGAAGACTACCATTAAAGTCTACCAAAAAAGACTCGACACGGCCGCATAAGCGGCCGACTATTCTTGTTTTATATACTTCAGCTTGTTTTTTGATTGGGCACATGATATCGACGCATGAACCCGTTTAGATGCCATCTTATATAAAAAAAGCAAGAAGGATTGCACTATCTGAACACGTACATATCATAAAATCATTATCATCGGCAGCAGGCATCATTCATAACCTTGTAACCAAGATTGAGCATAAAACAAAGATAAAATACCAAGGAAAAGAAGATAAAAAAAAACCAAAGAGATAGGATAGGGTAAATGTAAAAAAATCCACCTAAAGCAGAAGAAATAGACATAAGGTCAAGGGGACGGACGGGGATAAGCGGGATAGAATGAAACATCAAACAGCAACTCGCTAGAACAGAACCTTGGTAAACCTATTCACCAGGTCCTCGAATTTATCCACAGCAGGATCCCGCTCGGGAAGAAGACGACCTTGCCCGTCAAAGCGGTTGGGTAGGTCGATGGTTGAGTCAGAGTCTGCTTCAGAGACTTTGTTCTGGGCTCTTCCCTCGTGGTGTTTCGGGGTTGATGGGTGATGTCGATGGTGATATGGGGAAGCAGGACTGGGATAGGGCATAGGTGGATAAGGGACGGATGAGGAGCGGCGGAGATGATGATGGCTATCACGATCTCGATCGCGACGGTAGTTTTTACCTCCGCGATGCGAAGATGAATATGGTTCAACGGTAGAGTCACTATCATCAGTCTCGTAGCCAGGATCTTGCGGGGGATCCGTCAAGGCGAAAGCGACGGATTTCGAGACTTGTGGCGGTTGGCTAGTTGACCGGTGTGGAGACGTTGGAAAGGGGTGGATGTTTAGACCTGTCGATTGGGGATTAGCCTTTATTGCACTATATACTGTCACAGTTGGGGTTCATTGAACCCACCCTTGTGCGCGTGGTTTGCATCAGTAGGTAGGGTGGAGCTGCTCACATTGTCATCAGCCCTACGCGGCCGAGGTGCGTACTGGTCGGGTCCCGGTCCCGGTCCCGGTCCTGGTGGCGTAGCGCCGTAGGCGTAAGGCTGGGGCGGGGCAGCGCCGGGTGGAGGGGGGTAGTCTGCCGGGTTGTAGGAAACAGGTGTACCGCCATTCAGGTTGTAGGTTGAGTCGCCCGGGGGCGGGGGAAATAGTTGTTGTTGGGGTAGTAGTGGGGGTCAGCCATGGGCGGGGCGCCCGGGGCCGTCTGCGGGGAAAGCGGGTATGGTTCCGGGTCGTAGGATTCTTCATAAGGATCACGGTGGACGTTGTCGTCATGCTCTGGTTACACCACTAGTCAGGGTGAATATTTCTAGATAAAAACCAGGGGAAGTGGGAACTTACTGGAGTGTTCGCGTTCGCGCTCTTTAGACTTGCGACGCTCGTTGTACTTGTGTGCGGCATAGCCGAGCCCTGTTGCGCCCAGGGCGGCGCCCGCGAGGTCTCGTGAGCGACTGCGGTGCTTCTTGCTTCGTCGGCGGTGACCTTCGCGGTCGGAACCAGATGAACTGCTGTAGCGGGCTCGGCTGCGACTGCGGCTACGGGTATGACGTCTGGCACCGTAGGCTTCCTGTGCGTCGTAGTAGGGCGCACCGGGCTGACCATAGTAGTGCTCAGATGGGATACTGCCTGCGACTGGATCGTTGCCGTACTCGATCAGGCCGGCCGAGTCGCGAGCTGGGTCAGGATAGGACTGTGACGGGGCGCGGCTGCGAGACCTTGAGCGATGGCGGCCCCGGCTCGAGCCCTCCTTTTCTTCTTTGTCACTCTTCTGCTTCTCGTAGAGACCGGTGGCAGCAGCAGTGGCAAGACCGGCACCCACAATGGGAAGAGCTTGTCTCATGCGACTGCGGGAGCGGGAGCGCTCACCCTTGCGAGAGCGCGAGTGGCTGCGAACCTTTTCAACCAGGCCAGCCACGGCTGCACCGGCCAGTCCAGCGCCAGCCATGTGCTTGCGGCGCTCAGACATGCTGCGTTCACCTTGTTCTCCATCTTTCTCCGAACGACCACGGCTAACAGCCCGAGAACGGGAGCGAGTGCGAGATCGGCCTTTGCGGTCTCCAGCTTTCGATTTGCTACGCAATGCAGCCACACCAGCAGCAACGGCCGCAGCACCAACTCCCAGCTCGAGTAGAGTCTTTGCACGAGAGTGCGAGTGGGAGCGACTACGGCTGCGGCTATGACGGCTCCGGCCATGTCTGCTGTGGCGATGAGAAGAACGGTCATCTTCAAAGGAATGAGAACGGTGGCGGCTCTTGCTACGGCGGTAGTAGTCGCGAGCATGTGATGCAGCATTCACAGCGACTGCACCAAGAGCACCGGCACCAACAGTTTTACCAATACGGCTGGCGCCATGGCTGACTTCGCCATCCTTTTTGCTGTGGCTGCGGAACAATTCAGCCGCACCAGCACCTACTAATGCACCCTCTGCCATATGACGACGGTGGTGAGGGTGGTCGTCATAGTCGCGGGTTTCCTTTCGGATGTAGACCATGCTATCATCGCTGCTGTAGTCCTGATCACGATCACCGCGGCGCCGGCGACTAGTCTGGGAAACGGAATCATCAGGGCTCAGCTCACGCCGAGAGCGATGGTCGTCGTACTCGCGGACTCGACGGTGACGGTGGTAGTAATACGGGTCCTCGTCGGCCTCGGAACGGCGCACGACGTCATACTCGGAGTCACGGGGGCTGGTATACGAAGTGCGGGCTTCACGAATAAGTACGGATTGTTTTCGGGTGCCAATGGTAGTAGCAGTAGGGGACTGCTCCATTCGGGCCAGGGAATCCATGGACCGGGAGTGTGGACGATTGGTGTAGGGATTTAGGTACTCACGATCGTAGTAGTCTCTCTCGTAGCGTGTGGGTGGCTCATACTCCACCTCTCGCTCGTAGCGCGAAACGGTCACAGGCTCTTCTCGATCCGTTTTGCGCCGGATCACCAGCTCGCGCTCGCCGCCAAAGGAGTCATCGTGTCTCGACATGAAGTCTCGACGGTCATCTCGACGGTCATCTCGACGCTCGTCTTCAGGAGAAATGACGTAGCGCTTGATTGACACGGGACGGGTCTCGTCCCAGTCTCGTTCGCGGTCTCTGTAAGTGTACGACATGGGACGTAATAGGGGCAGTGAGATATGAGAAATGATTGAGAAATGAGTCGAGAAGTAAAAAGTGGAAGGGCAGAAAAAGTAAGATGCACACTGCAGGGAATTGAGGGGGGCGGCAGGGAAGTGGGGGTGTGCAGAGAAGATGCGATCGACTAATGGTCGAAGATGGTCCCAGTAGAAGCCTCCAGGGCTGATTCTGATTGGTAACGATTATCTCGGCCAAACAAATCAAAGCCAAGAAAAGCCGGCGAAACTCTAGTGGGTTTGAATAATGATTCAGGATGATGAAGGCCGTCGGGTATTCTGTAGGGCAGAGAGCGGAGTATCGGCACGCACTGAGCCGGCTCAGCCTCAGACTAGATGATCGGCAGGCAACACTGTTGTTGTATCGGACTCGAAAGACTTGGAGTGGAGAGATGAAAGAGTTGAAAGCATATGGTAAATTAGCGAACAATGAGGCAGCGAAGATGAGAGATGAAAATGTGAGAGAATGGAAAAAGGAAAAAAAAAGAGGCAGAGAGGCAAAGAAGATAAAGACATCCACGTGAGGCTCTCTCAAGGTTGGCACTCTTTGCCCGGGGGCTGTGGCGAAACCCTCGAAACACCGTGGCTTAGATTTGTTTGTATTTTTCAACGTTGTTTACTCTCGACGGTTTGGTTCTTCCCGTTGTCAATCCATGGGTTCTATCGACTGGCTCGGGATGCTTCCATGGTTCCTAACTTTTATATTGATACCTAGGTACATACAGTACACATACTGTACAACATAGTACTTCGGTAGATGCAGCCTCACCTGCATTCCAAATGTCATCTGTTGCATTGACAGGTGCATTTAACAACATTTGAAGTCTAGAAGAATGGATCGGCGCTATATGCACACAGTCATGAGAACGGTTTCCTGCAGTTTCAGCCGATAGGGCACGAATAGATTGGCTACAATCCACACAATCTATTATAGATTAATCTTGATCTCTTAGTATTTTAGGTTGCCGTTTTAAAATTATTGGTATCTTGCAGTATCTTGCAGAAGATTCGCTCTACTAGGCGCCCAGGAGTTGACATCATGCGGAGTACAAGGAATATAACCCCTGCGATATTGTACCACATTATCCACCGGGGCAATAAGAGGCGTAGAATCCAAAGCGCCCTGGTCTTGGTTTCTTTGTGGGAGCCCCGCGGATGACGTCAATATCATGCGGGGCGTTCTCGGCAACTCATTATTTATCATGGTTTATGTACCGATATACAACTTAGTGAAGGCTGAGTCCACTACTTCGCCCTGGGCTTGAACAAACTTGTGAAGATACGGTGAAGTAAATATCGATAATAGTATAAAAGAAAAAAAATTAACTCAAGAGAGCCTCTTTTACGTTGTATACAGAGGCCAAAAAAAAACGGAGAATGAGTAACCAAGCGCCAAGTTGCATTACGTTTCCTAATACTGAGCCAGTATCAGATAGAAAACTTGCTGTCAGACGTTGAGTCAAAGAGTAGGTACCAATAGTGTGGAGGCTCACCCCAGCCTATTTAAACCCGAGGCAGCGCTTGTCAGATCTATGTTTCAAGACCAGAGGCACAGATGACGACAGGGTCATTCAATGCAAAAAGCAATATCAAGATGACGTCTAGTTCTTCATATGAATTCTGTCAGACCCCTGGACGCGTACTGCATATGTTGTATCGGTGGCCAGCGCTAAAGTCACGGCGATGTTTCCTTTCAATTTCTACAAGAGTAGTCGGCCGCGTATGCGGTCTCTGTCCTTTAATGACGTACAACTTGAATAATCTAATTCATAATCTGAAAGGATATTAAATAATAGACAATGTAGACTCTGATATGTACGATATACGAAGGCGATAAAAAGCATAAATTGGACAGAGGGCTTTTCTATCTATAGGGACTTCCATCTCAGTGCCCGTAATATTGTTGCAGTCCTACTGTGCAGCTTCCAAATGAAGCTACCCCTCGACCACCCAATCTGGCGAGCGATGCGGTGGCCGCCGTAACCAAGAGGGGTGGTCTTCGAATGATAAGAAAGAACTTTGGGCTTTGCAATATGATTTATGCTCATTTATACTTAAATTATCTGGGACGCTTTGGTCGTGTCTCCGGTCCATCTGACATGCGTTTCTTTAACCCCGCCATCTGTTTTAGTCCAAGCTACAATTTCAGTTTATGGGAAGTCGACTCTAATGAGGAATTCAACCGAGTGAGAAGCCCGATTTCTTCTTCGAGAAGATTTATCAGCTGCTCTCGCCCCTCCAAGGGTTATTTGTTATTGGGCAGACTGTTTTAGCCCATATCAACTTTGATGAAAGTAGGTAACGAACAAATTATCTCGTGGCTTGAGGCCATTAATGATGCCTGTGGCACCCTGCAAGTAAATTCTGTAGGTTTTTCCTTCCTTCTTTTATGAGTAGTTGTAGTTCTAGCCTGTTTCTCTCCAGCTGTATTATCTAGAGACCTTCTTGGTGACACCGAGTATGCGCCCTTAGTTGGTATGCCCCAATGTGCAAAGCAGAAATATTAATCAAACTTGTATCGAACAGAATTGACACTGTCGTTGTCCTAGAGTGTGATTGCAACTATCCTTGTTAGGCTGTTAAAAAGCCTTCATACTCAATCAACGTAGGAAGCAACACCGCAGTACTATTCTAAATCTCCGCCTTTCTGAATGCCTTAGGTACAGGTAACTTAACAGGGGTATCAGTGCGCGCTGTGTTCTGAATAAGATGCTCAAACGAAGGCGATGATCCAACACGAGGCGTAAAAGGCTCAAAGTCCCAGAGATAGCCGAGAGTGCGCAGGATTGAAGAAGCAGAGTAAGACACGACCTTGCCATCCGAGTTAGTTCCCTTCTGCTCGACCTGACCCTTAGCCACCCACGGCGAGATCAAGAGAGTCGGGACGCGACCACCGAGACGGTCAAAGGAGAACGTATACTTCTCGCCGGAGGGCGCTATCTCGGTGTATGTCATGTGATCCGGGCAGGTAGCCAGCGGGGGCGGAACGTGGTCGTGGAAACCTCCTGTCTCATCAAAGGTGAGGATCAAGAGCGTCTCTTCCCACTGCGGGCTGGATCGGACCGCGTCGTAGACATTCTTGATGAGGGCCTCGCCTTCGGAGACGAGGCCGGTTGGATGCATTGAGTTTGTGCCCACGCCGCAGCAGGAGGGGTCAACAAATGAGAATTCTGGGAGCGCGCCGGCGGCCGCATCAGCGTAGAAGTTATCCAGGGGGACTGCTTTGTCGGAGTTGCCACTTGTGAATGTCCAGTCGAAGAAGTAGGCGTCAACCATAGCAGGGCTTGTGTAGTAGTTCTTCCAGGTGTGGTTGGTTTCTGACAGCTGCTGGAAGATGGAACGTTGAGTGAGGCCGTGGACGTCTGGGTTGAAGGCCTCATCGTTGGTTCCGTGACCGGCAGATGTGCCTGAGAGCACAAAGGCCCGGTTGGGGTTGGTGGGCTATTTATACAGGTTAGAGGCTATATGCGGCGGCTATGGAGTATGGGATTTGCTCGGACTTACACCTGGGTGATCCGAATGCCAGTGGTTGAAGGTAAGGTAGTTCTGCACCAGCGTAGTCATTACTGGCACCTCGTCCTCAACATAGTAGTTGATGACCTGCTTAGCCAGGTAAGCCTTGTCGGCATCGCCACCATACCCGCGCAGCTGCTCATGCACAAAGCCCTGCTGGGTGGGAGTGAGCTTGCCCCGGGCAATGTCGGCATTGCTGGGGGCGAAAGTGCCATAGAACTCGATATTGTTTCCAGTCACCGAGTGATCAGGATCATCTAGGACAGAGTCAAAGTCCTTAGCAGAGCTACAGACCGTGCCAGCTGAAGCATCGGTCAAGTTGTACGGGTTGCAGAAAGGACCGTTGTTGATAGGGTTCTCCAGTCCCTTGAGAGTCTGTCCGCCGAGCAGGTTGTCGACAGAGCGGTTTTCCATTTCCAGGATGACGACGTTCTTGATCTTACTCTTCAGATTAGCGATGGAAGACGAAGAATGAGGAGATTGTTGGGCGTTTGCATCAGCGGAGACCGCCACCGCAAAGTTCAACAGGCCAAGAAGGACACTTAGGTTCATTATGAATGAAGGAGACGTCCGGTCCAAGTTCTGGGCAGAGTGCTTGATTTTGAGATCTGAATCAAAGGATTTGTTGTCTCTCTTATATGTTGCTTTTAACCGACGACCCTGGCATTCCCCAAAACAATCCAATTTCCAATATCCCGTTCCACGTGTTGCTCTGGAAATCACGGCTCGATGGAGTTCAAATGTTCTATCTAGAAGCATGGGTATGGAGAGCAGTAGTGACCAAGCTGCGGGGTCATATAAATTAACACTCCCACAAGGCGGGGTGTGCACCCGATTGGCGATCGTCGCATCGTCTCCATAATCCAGATGTGATTGGCCGCTTGGGATCGATTGGCAGGCACCTCGATCACGTAAAGAGGTACCATCAGATTCACCAGCAGTACAGAATGTTGTGTTTCACGCCTTTGAGGCCGGTTGATTACCACTTACCACCACGCCAAGCATTCGCACAGACTGCAAAAGTGCCAACTCATGAAGAATGACCCTAGAAAACGAGGTCACGAGTTGCCTGGCCAAGCTTGGTATGTTGGTTTGTAAGTATTTTCATTTGGTCCACTTCGTGCCGTGTGGAATGCCCCGGACCACAACAAGACAACTGCCCTGGGCTTTCCCACGATAGCGCTGTCGGGACGAAATGCGACTTCCACAACGCTCAACATACAGTGTCAATCATTGTGAAAGGTGACATTTGATGCCTCTTAGATCAAATATCTGATCTCACTTGGAGTTGAGTCTCATGCGCTCCCGAGGCCGTGCGGCCAGCGAAGGCGGTAATTGGCTACCAACCTTGCAACAACCCACAACTTTCCAAGGTTAGGTGGTGAGCTGGATTGGGTTATTTTCTAGAGTCCGATGTAGCATTCGGAGAATATGGGAGTGATACAGAGACAAGCTCGTGTAGATGCGGGGGTAGAGAAGACTTAGGTCGTGTTCTCCACCAAGAATCACTCATATCTATCTACATTGTAAGTACAAATGTCAAGTGACAGCTTATTAGACTCCAGCAACTCAATCTAACACAACAAGAAAAAACAAAACAGAGCAAAGGGAAAAAAGAGTAACAATCCCGCGTTCGCTGTGGAGATATCGATAACTCGTCCCTAGATAGTATACCTCTCTACACATGAGGAGACGGTTTGTTAAATCTGACCTTATATCCACTTAGTCATCTGCTAGATTTTCGCAAAGGAAGATGCTGATCTAAAATAAAGAGAAGCATAAAGCAAGGACAACATGTTTCCTAAAGGGGGAGGTGGGTCTATATATATCACGTGTTAATGCCTGAATATTATGGCACATAATATCACACACGCAATGGCCTAGATTGATTGTGTCTATGTTGTATACCTATTTTAGTACATATAAATATGTATACATTTGATCTCCTAAACCGCCGGGTCCCATCCAAGGCAACCTTTTCTGGAAATTCGCAATTTAATGTTGCATCGGGGTAACTGTCGATGATGCCATCTTCAAATGTCTCCGACATCCGCCCCCCGCCATAAAAAAATTAATAATCAAGTCTCGATTTCCAATCTAACCTCGCCTCATACATCATACCCTACATATAGCTTAAGAAATGCTTTTTGTTTCTAAACCGTCACATAACAGCATCCTCGTACTGTGGGAATATATTACCTCTCATCTACACTACTCTTAAAGCAAAACTCATCCTACAACCTCAATATCACAACAAAACCTTTAATCAAAACTGTCGGCAAATCAAACCATTCTAAAAATGACGACAGCATTATTCAGATACATCGACCGGGCTTCATACGACCCCAACGCCACAGAGCCATTCAAAAAGCCATGGGGCAAAGTCGACGGACCAGGCCGTTCCTACCAACTCACAGAACGGGAGCGCAAAGTCGAGAACCTCCGAGGCCAAGAGTCGATCTTCACAACAGACAATTCCGGCTTCGCCTTATACAACTCACCCGCAAAGGAGACCGCATTCACCGACGACGCCGAAGTGCGAGGGGGTTACTACGCAGAAGTTGAAGAGCTACTCCGCCAGAAGCTGCCGGGTGTGAAAAAAGTAGCCATCTTCGACCACACCATCCGGCGGCGGACGCCGGGGTCAGCGCGCAGTCCTGTGCAGCTGGTTCACGTGGATCAAACGCCCAGAGCTGCTGAGGCGAGAGTGCGTCGCCACCTGCCAGAAGATGAGGTAGAAGAGCTGTTGAAGGGTCGATACCAAATTATCAATGTCTGGCGTCCGATTGAGAATCCGGCATCTGATTTCCCGTTGGCGCTGATCGATTGGAGGAGTATTGCTCCTTCTGATTTTGTCAAGGTTGATCTTCTTTATCCGAAGGAGTGGCAAGAGAATGGAGAGGTGGCGCCTGATTCTGAGTCGATGTTCTCTACGGAGGGGTATGAGGTCAAGGGGGAGACTTATGCTATCGCTCCTAATGAGAAACATCGTTTCTTTTACACCAAGGATATGACGCCGGAGGAAGTCGTGTTCATCAAGTGCTTCGATTCGAGGAGCCACACTATGACTGACGGGAAGACGGATATTGCTCATGGGTCGGGACATACTGCTTTCTTTGATCCGCAGACTCCTGCTGGATCGCCGGGGAGGCAGAGCATTGAGGTTAGATGTCTGGTTTTTTACGAATAAGCTTAAGGGTTTCTCCTGTCGCAATGAGTAATGCATTCAATTCAAATATCATGTCTTTTACATAGTTTTTACTCTGAATATCATCTATATTGTCACTATTCATGTCCCGAGGTGGTCAATGGGTAGGGCTCGTGTGGTCCCTAACGGATGTTAGGGCCTAATATATATACCGCTGCAGCGAGAATCGGATATTCCGATTCTTGTTATGATCTTTTGGCCTAACGTATTTCACAAGCGAGCCGGCCACCTCCAAACATCATAGTAAATGCGATATTTTTCAAACTTGAATCTCAACAACCATGTTTTTATTTTATCTCCATACTTGTCGATAGCTATCGATAAGAATTATTAGCACTATATATCAATTTCAAAGAAAGTAGAAGGCTATATTATTGTCATCTCGAAAATCACCGAAAATTACGTTGCAAAAAGCTAGGAATATATACATCTATCATTAAAAGATATTTATTCCTAAAACTCCGTAAAGAGGCTATATATCACCTAAAAAGCATTAAGCTATACGTAAAACTCCATATAGCCTACCGTTGTTGAGATATCAAGTTGTAATTTATCGCATTTACTATGTGATTTGGGGTGGCTGGCTCGCCTGTGAAATACTTTAGTTAGTTAGTTAACGTATTTCACAAGCGAGTGGCCACTACAAGCGAGTGGCCACCCCAACCAAATATATTAATTTCAAATGCATATACCTCAACCAAAACTCCATTAAATTAAATACACTAAATTCATCTATCTAGCTGGGCATCTATTGATCTTATGCCCTATTTCTCCACAACCACTGCACTTTGGTGGCGCCCGTGTACGTGGTTGTAAAGCCGGCGAAGGGCTTCTTCGTGGAGGGGAGGGAGGTGCTTTATCTGCTTCCACCGGCTCAGTAATCAATTGAGAAGCTTCTTGAACTGTGAGCCCTGCTTCAGCTGGTATCTGCTGTCGGGATCGAGTACGCTTTTGCTTCTGCTTCTCGTTGGCGGCGCGTAATTCCTTGTTTTCTTTCGCGAGTAAGATAGCACCTTGTATTGTAAGACGGAAGCCTTTTATAAGCTGGTTTAATACACGATCTGACGGGCTAGGTGGACTTCGAGATCTTGTACGAAGTAAAGCTTTAATTGATGAAGTCTGCCGACGTAGTTCTTTCTCTGTAGCTGGCGTTTTTGGTGTAAAATTTCGACTTAATTCACTACCACGGCTAGGAGGGGGGGTAGGCGTTCGAAGCCGGATATTAAGCCTTGAAATCACTTGATCTGGTGCAAATGGCACTAAACCGGTAGCTCGGAAGCTGCTTTTAATTGTCTTCGGTTTAAAAGCTTCAATTCGTGCCTTTAGGTATGCTTTAAGAAAGTCAAGTTTCTCAATATAGTTGATCCCGTTCCGCATCTTCGTTTCAACCGCCCGACTATAAGACCGTTTTAAGACCGCAAAACAGCCGACATCGAGAGGTTGTAAAAGATGGGATGAATGAGCAGGCATACAAATTGGTATCACCTTATTTTGCTCGCAAATTTGATCAAATTTCGGCGTTAAATGACTTCTATGTCCGTCAAGTATTAAAAGCCGATACCCCCCCTTCGTACGTGAAGAAGTAGTAGGAATAAAGAGCTTTTCAAGCCAGCGAAGTCCAATTTCATCCGAAGTCCAACCATTAGGACTCACTTCAAAACGCCAATCGTTAGGAAGGCCGGTAAACCAGGATTTAAGGAAGACCTTTCCTTTAAAAATCACACACGGAGGAAGCACCCAGCCAGAAGCATTCGTACATTCAATCACTGTCACCCACTCTCGATTTCCAGGTTGTTTAAGTGCTCTCCGCCCGGAGTATTCACTCCTCGTAATAACCCTCGTAGGTGTCGTTAATCCCAAAGCAAAACTAGTCTCGTCAAAGTTATAAACATCATCGGGGTCGATCCCAAATTGAAGGATTGTTTTTTGAACTAAATCAAACCACTCCCTAATGATTTTCGGGTCTTCACATTTCGCGCGCTCGTAGTTATACCGTTTCGAGAATCGGGAGGAGAGAAGAGGGTGCCTTTTAACAAAATTCGTAACCCAATTTTCGCCGACCGAAGTAACCGGGGTGGTTCCACGTTATTAAAGAAGAAGATTGGCCATCTCTCGAACCATAGAAGGCCGGGGCGCTAATCCACGAGAATCCATAGAGAGTATCCATTTTTGAAGTGATTCCTCTTCAGTTGTAGTCAATTTATATGAATTGGCGCGAGAAATCGCGCGGTGTTGCATTCCATTAATTCGGTTGCGGAGAGTTGTACGCGGGACGTTAAAGGTACGCGCAGCAAGAGAAATAGAGCTGATATCTCCATTTTTAAAAGCCTGGATAGCTAACAAAAGCCTACCCTCTTGCTCTATTGAATTTCTAGAGGATTGAGAGCGAATTGGTGGCATGGTGGGTGGTTGAAGAAGCAGGGTTTAAATTAACTGACGCGTTTTGGTTGGGGTGGCCACTCGCTTGTAGTGGCCACTCGCTTGTGAAATACGTTAACTAGCGGATAAATAGTATTATGTAATCACTTAGGTGTAGCGACCTAAGTAGACCTCTGGTCCCGGTAGGATTGATTACACTCGGCCGACAGCCAATTATCTTTCCGATGTTCCCCAAATTTCTTAGCGAATGTCATTAGAAGGCGCGCCTTCGATAAGTAAATCTACAATATAGTGACCTTTCAAATCTACGTAAAAGCCCTGCTGAAGATACTCGGATTACCAATTAACCCATTCTTGGCAACATTGGAAGATCGTGAGTGCTAACTTCGTCTGAGTCACGACATCTCCATATCTAAAGACCCCTCTCTCCAAGATACCAATTATTATTTTTGACTCATATCCAATACAAACTTCACATATTAATAGCTCGCATCTACCGAGGGGGTTCTGCTATTTTCTCATCATTACATCAAGACCGCTCAGAAAGCCGGCTAAATAGTGAGCCCTAGAACCAATAACCTCTCCTCCTCCTAAACATACTAACATCTACCTCAGCATTCAAAATGTCCTCTTCAGTATCAGATTTACGAAACCAACCCAACACCTGGACAAAGGGAGAATACCTAATCTCAACCGACATATCCCTAATCCCCATCAAAACCCTAAACACCTGGTACGCCGGCGAAGAATTCTACTGGGCAAAGCCAATGCCGGAGCCCGCTTTGCGCGAAACATTACAAAATTCCCTCTGCTTCGGGCTGTATCACAATCCAAGCCAAAACCAACGCCAGCTAGACGAAACGCCAGAGAACGATACATCATCAGACACCGCACTCGAATTCGTCGGCTTCGCACGTTGCGTAACAGACTACACAACATTCCTCTTCTTGACAGACGTCTTTGTCCTTTCCTCGCTCCAGGGCCTCGGGCTCGGAACATGGCTTGTAACATGCGTGCAGGAGGTTATTGAGACGATGCCTTATCTGCGGAGATCGCTGCTGCTTACTGGGGATTGGAAGCGGTCTGTGCCGTTTTATGAGAAGGTTATGGATATGGAGATTATGGTATGTAACCCTCCGATTGATGGGAAGGATGCGGTGGGCTTTGCTGTTATGCAGCGGAAGTCTTGGGGGGCTCCTGGGTTCGGGGAAATGCCCTAGGTAGTATTTCAGTGCGTTTAGAATGGGTTGTTTGGGTATTATTTATTATAAATAGAATTGTTGTGGTGGTTAAAGGTATATAGTTCATTCAAAAGAGATGCTTTTGTTTCTATCTGTTCATTTCTCATATGACTCGTGACCAAACATTATAAGAGAATAAATAATAAGTCATCCAAATTACCAATTCCACCTGAGTCTAGTTCATGCCAAATCCTGGGGCCTAGCTCCGAGCCCTGAATTCAAATAATCATCGAGAAATCATCACATCACATCACATCACATCACATCACATCACATCGCACATCGCATCTCTAGTCGAATCCATAACTCCCAGTACCAGGCCCTAAATTATCCCACGGAATAGAAGTAGGACCAATCCAATTCTGCGGGTGCATCTGCCCGAAACTGGAATGCATGGTGTGGTCACTAGAGCTCGATGCAATAGTTGGCACGGGCGATCCGGATTGCGAGTGTGGGTGCGAGATGGCATAGTTGTCCTGCATTGTCATTCCCGGGGAGAGGTTTGACATTGAGAGTGGGATTTGGATGCTTGGTAAGAGGTGGTTGTGGGACTGGGATTGGATATTGGCTTGGTTTTGATGGTGTTGGACTTGGGCTTGGACTTGAGCCTGGGCCTGGGCCTGGGCTTGGAGGTGGGATTGAGAGTGGGTGGGTGATCGGGGGTTGTAATTTGTTGAGGCAACGTCGCTGGTTTGTATGTTAGTCACTGGTCCGGGGGTGGGAGTAATTAGGGAAGGGCGAGGTGTAACTTGGACATACATCATCTGTCGAATTATGGGAACAGCCTTGCTGCAGAAAACACTGCGGACTGAGAGAGAGGCGAACATATCTAGTGCTTGATTGAGAATATCTTTGATCTCTTCATACTCGGACTGGCCCTCGGGAATAAGCAGGATGACAGCCAATGTGACTGCAGCGTGGAACGCGTGGAAACTGCCCAGTCCGCTGGTATACCATTTGTACGGCTTGAATGATTGTGTTTCGAGGAGAGTTTCAAAGATGGAAAGTGAAGCCTTGGCGGAAGCGATGCACTTTGCTCTTGTAGAGCAAGTTTCAGGGGTAATCTCGCCTTGTAGGTACCGGCAAAGACCAGGGCGGAGGAGGAGAAGGAGAAGTTGATGGATCTGACTGTAGAGGATGTGGTGGTTGGCTTGATGGTGAATGGGTAGGGGATTGTTTGTATCGAGTGCATAGCGAGCCTCGACCATTTCACGGACGGATATGATTTCCGCTTCGAGGTGGGAGGTGGTGAAGCGGGATGTATTTGGGTAGCTGAATATTGTTTCACAAATCTTGGAGGAGATTTTGTATAGTCGGAAATTCAAGAGGAGGTAGGTCACCTGTGTTGGGCGGGGAAATGTTGACAGTGCTGGCCTTTTTAAGCTTGGGCTGGTAAGCAGGTCAACGTCGTCAATGTCTGCGGGCATCTTCACGTCTTGCGTTAGAGCCTGTTGATCGAGACTCCCAAATGCTGTGTTTTGGATGGTGTACAGCATCATTAATCCTGCCCAGACCCGTCGTCGCTCTTCCCGCTCGATTGGCCCAAGAGTAAACCGCTCTGGGTCTAAATGGCAACCCATGGATATTGCAACATGATGCGTGAATCCTAACAATGTCCAGATTGGTAGACCGCGGTGAACTCGGGCATAATTTATGAGCACTAAGGCTTGTAATGAGTTGATCGAATGTCGGGACATCACGCCATCGGCGGCGAGGCACTGCAACGCGGCAGATCGATACCGTGCTGATAGCACTTTGATATTGCGGCTGACCGTTCGCTCTCGCCCCAGATCAGACAGCAAAGGATGATCATCATCGAGTGCGCTTACAGCGATAGCAAGGATGGAGAATAGCAAAGCCAGCCATGATGTAGACACACTGCCGGGATCATGGCAGAAATGCTGATACTCGGCTTCGAACGTCAAATCGTGAAGAATATGGAAAACCTAACGTGATGTCAGCCAACGTCCTTTCAACTTTTTTCCACATGACGTACCGATGAAAAGACCTGAAAATAAACATCCTTGAGAGTATCACAATACCGGCCAGGCGGCAGGATCGATAACAGCTCAACACGCGAGATACTCCCATTCCTCGCCAACGGGATCTGCAAATCATCATCATCCTCCGGGATATCCGAATCTAAATTCGGCAAACACTCCGAAGCGGGGCTCCTCGCCACTAAAGACTCCCACTGCGAAGCCAGTGGCACATATCGTACATGACCAGAAGGCGAAGTATGGAGCTTACCAACATTATCCAACATGGGGCCGAGCGAGTCCCATGTCTCAGGTTCGGAGAAACTACCAGCTGCACTCGTCCCACCTAGTGGCGAGACCGCGCCACCGGTGGGCGTACCAGCATGCGAGGTCATCTGCTTCTGGAGCAAGGCTTCTAGATTCCGAATTCGTGCTAGCAGTTCGTTCTGCACTGCGCTGTCGCCGGGCGATGACTGCTCAGTTGAAAGTCGCGGTTGGCCGAGGTAGACGCAGTCTTCGGCGCCTAGGCCGCGCCGAACGCATGTTTGACATGGCCGGCCGTCGCGCGAGCATCTGATCTTTCGTGTTCGGCAGGCCTGGCAGCTGATAGGGAGGCGCTTGCCTGTTGAACGGGATGAGGCCATAGATGTAGGATGGAGGTCGATGCTGCGCTGAAGTGAAGCGGCGCAATCACCTCCTCGTCTGTGGGGTTGTGGAGAGGGAGCGCAAATATTGTCGAGCGGAGAGGAGCTGCTTCTCGGGAAAATCGAACAGCCGGTTTCAAAAAGGGGTACTCCGCGATATAAGTTGTGGGTATGGATCGATGGGTTGTCGTCTGTTCATGGGTAGGAAAATAGAAATAAGAACCCACACTGGATGAGCGGGGATATCGACGTATTCAAAGTTAAGATAAAAAGCGGAATTGTCGATGTCTTCTATACTTTCGATTCAATTTGTAATAGGAGGCAACCCTTTTTTTTTTTCGAAGCCACATGGGGTTGCGTCAATGGGAGTGAACACATTAGCGGCATACTTATTTGCCCCTGTGTTGAAGACAGAAAAATAATAAATAATGAATTATTATCGAAAAGGTCTAGGGTTTGACCTGGAGGTGACAACATTCCCTAATACGGGGAGACCGATGCACGAAATCCTTCTATAAGGTAAGTTTGATCTCTGAGCGATCAGAGAGAAAGGGTTTAGCGGATGTACATCCGATGCTACTAACAGAATACAGTTTAGACTGCAACATATCACTGGGATTGTTTAGTCCTAATAAGGCTTTGATACACCTGTAATCCATGGTTCACTCGTTGCTCGGGCCCTCCGAACCCATCTCGGCTTGTGGATATTCCTCAGGAGGAAATTGCGAATATACTATATGTTTTTTTGTTTTTTACCTAGTGATGCCAACTCTAGTGTGTGTGCGACACCATCATACGTATATTGTATAACTCGTTCAAACCGAGGTGCCGTTGCCACTAGACGGGGCTAAGCCACTTTGCCGATCCTTCCCCCTTGCTTCAGCTTATAATGAACTGCGCAAATAATAGGACGATTACTTGTACTGGTTAGGGCGATTTTCCTCAGCCACATGCGCCATGACGACAATCCCCCCTGTCTAATAGTCCATACTTAGAACAAGGAACTCCCGAGGTCCATACCTAGGTAAACGTGAAAATTCTGATTAACTTTTCAGCTCCCCGGAGATGTCACTGTCAGTTCCAGTGATTCGTCAAAGCTTTGAATTGTTTATTTTCTTAATTTCTATAGAACCCATACCCCGGTACCGCTTCGAAGAGTTAACCAAATTTTACCAAGAATTATAGCACATCATACGCATCTGATATAAGATATTTGTCTGGTATAAGGTAGATCATTTAAGGGACAAGAATACGAGAATAGTATATGTAGAATCCTTCCTCCATATTCCCATTGTGCGATCGTTTGGGGGCTCGGACCCTCCAGGGCTCTCGTGTTCCTGGCTCTCGGGAATCCGGTAACGTTTAACGTTGAGCTAGTTAAAACTGCTAACTTCCACAGGCTGATTCCGAGGCAAACCGGAAGAGATTGCCGGAAAATAGAATAAAAAATAAAAAATCAAAAAATCCATATACCCTTGAAAACAAACAAGAATGGAGGTGAAAGAGTAGTATACTAAAGTACGTGGCAAATAGGCAAATAGTCTCCCGATCTCAGCATCCAGGGGAGCTAACTGTTTTAAATAACCACACGTGGTTCAGGATGATCATCGGTAGAGATCATCCCAACGCGTGGCGATAGAGTTTCTGGGACAATAACCTTGGAACCATGGATGCAGATGCTGGCCAGGAACCTTGGAAGGGTTCAATGGCTATGTAGAGATGCTAGAGTTACTGGTCGATATTCTAGTACCGGCTCAGGGCCGAGAATGACAGCATGCCAGTTCGGCATAATCATCAATCATCGGTCAAACGGCGAACAGCGAACGCCGAATTACTCCGTCAGTCTGATCTGGACTGTTCTAATTCTCCATGCTTGTCTGGTGGGGAACCCAAGGCTGAAATGGGGGGCAAAACACGAGCTGCGTTCCATGGTTTCTCGCTTGCTTTAATTTAAATACTTCAGCCTAATACATATGCAGCCTGACAACCGCTTGTTTTACTTCGTGGCTTCGGTAATTCTGGGAAGGCAAATTAAAAAAAAAAAAAAAAAAGCCACAATCAATTTAACCTCCAGTCGGAAGAAGGGGTTGCAATGCTGCTATCTTGCTGTTCTTTTGAGTTTACAACACGGTGAAGACCTCTGGAATATTTGGATACGGATTGGGGTTGAAATTGCATTTGTATAAGCGCCTGGCTAACCCCCACAGTTTAGACTGCCTTTGCTGTTTCATGGGTGGATTCATGGGTCGATCCATGAGTCGATTCAATGTGCTGCGTCTCACCAACCACACTAATCGCACGCTTAGTTCCTTCGTCCTGATTCACGACTCGGTCACCAAACGCAGCAGCCACTTCTTCGAGGGTCTTCTGCTTGGTTTCCCTGAATAAGGTTAGCTTCTCATTTCTTTCATTTCTTCTTGTATCTCTCTCTCTTCGTCTCTGATAAAACAAGTAGAACGGAAATAGACCAGCGACTTACGGGAAGTAAAAGTAGGCGATCACTAAGAAGAATGCAGAGCATACTACAAAGACGTAATAGTAGTTCTCGTGAATGTTGGCAAAAGCACTGGGACCAGCCTCGGTGACTATTTTCGGGTGAAGAGGTTAGCAATCGCATACATGGAACCACTATCTTTCATAATACTGAATGCCAAACATACTTCCAACATTAACGATGAAGTGAGATGCGGCGGCAAGACCCATCACCTTGCTGCGGAGAGCAATAGGAAGAACCTCGGCTCCATACAGCCATGTAGTACTGTTGAGCATGCCATCTAAAAAGGGGGGAAACCACAGTTAGCGATAAATCCTTGCAGCCCTCGTCCGAATCCGTACAATAGCAAACCACAAATAGGTAGATTCCAAGAATTGCGAAACCCTTTCCGATGCGGTTGTCTGTATGCTGGAACTGCCTCTGCATCACCGCGGCGTAGATTTCAATCAGGACAACACCAGCCAGTCCGGTGATCAACATCCTGTGGACGGTTAGCGGCAGGCATGCGAAATGATACCTCGGAGAATATACTTACTTCCGACGTCCCCATTGGTCGGTCATGTACATTGTAGTGACCGAGTTGGACAAAAAGGCCATAGTACCATAGACACCAGCCAAAGCGAGGATCGAGTGTGATCCGATTCCAAGACCCTTGTATAGAATAGCTGAGAGATATATATTAGCTTTCCAACAAACCCAACTCTGGCATCCGCACCCAGAACTCACTCTGATAATACTGAATAACATTGACACCCGTCAAACTCGTCATCGTCTGCACAGCAATAGACCTAAACGTCCAAGTCAGTTCCAAAATCCCCAAACACACAACCCAACTAGAAAGAAAAAGAAAACTCACACAAGCACCCGATGTCTAAACAATTTAAAGATCTCCCGGTAAGAAGTCATCTCCCTCTCCATCTCATACTCAATCTGCGCCTTCATAAGCCCAAACTCCTCCTCCATCTCATGGAGCACAATCCCACGGCGAATGCGCGCAAACTCGCTGCGCGCCAGTTCAATCTTCCCATGGCGAATCAGCTGGCGCGGCGAGTTAGGCATGAAAGTCGCAAGACCAATGAACATGATAATCCCCCATGGGATCTGGATGCCCAAAGGTAGGCGCCATTGGATGGGGCCGTAGGGTGCGTAGCTGCAAGCGTAACCGACCCAGTTTGACATCATTGTTCCGAAGGAGATGCCGCAGCCAGAGATTCCGCCGATCAGACCGCGGTATCTTGGATCTGAGATTTCGCTCAGGTAGATTGGGACTGTTGCGACCATGCCACTAGGGGTGTGTTAATATGGAATTTGGCCAGGTGTTTATAGATCTGGTGTAAAGTATGTGTGGCTTACCCTACTGCAAAGCCGGCTAGCACGCGGCCGGCGAGGAACATGCCGATGTTGATGGAGGCGGTTTGGATGACGGTTCCGATTGTCACGATTATGCACATCATTTGCATGAAGCGGATGCGGCCGAGTCGGTCGCCGATGAATGTTTGTGTTAGGGCGCCAAGGGCTTCGCCGGCAATGTACACGGCCACAACCTAGAATGGTCAGTCCCTGGGTCTGATTTGCCGGGTTGGAGGTTAGATGGCTGGTTGGCTGGACATACAGCTCCTGTGACGCCATTTGATGGCTTTTGCATATAATCAATCCAGCTTTGGTGAGCAATCGCTAGTAAATCGTTAGTTTGAGTCGGAGACGTAGATTTGTGGGTGATTGTAACTCACTAGTTGTGGCAATGCCCGTATCGAATCCCTATTCAATCATTAGAGCTGACTTCGCGTACATGGTCCAAGATCAAATGATCTTGTAAAAAGAAATCAACCTACAAACAAGAACGTTCCTATAGCAGCAAAGAAAGCAATACTCAGCGAATACCACATTGCCATCTTGAATGTTTCTTGATTCTCCGCGGAATCAGACAGTGATATCAAGTGAGGAGAAAATGTAGATCATCAAGAACTAAAAACAAGAACTACCCCGGTATATTACTTGATCTCTGATCCTGGAGGAAAGCGGGCTACATCCGATGGGCCGAGGATGCGTCACACAGCAGATAGACAAGAGACAGACGAGACAGACGCCCATTGTCGGAGGAGATCCGAGAAGGTGATTCCTGGGGAAGCGGGGGGACTGTGGTAGGCCGTGGATACGAGAGGTCTCCACTACGAAGAATTTAACAAGGTCATTGGGATGTTTTTGAGCCGTTTAACTTCGCAAGATAGGAAGATGGCTGGTTCAAGGTCTCGTGTGGTCCCCCTGGAATGCGGGGTTGGTATCCTCGGGGTCATTCCGTGGGGGTCTACGTCTTCATACCATGGATGTTCTCTCAGTTTTGGTATAAAGTCTCCCTCTCATGTTCTACCCGGTCCAATGGAATGAAATGGGCAATTCTACTGAGAACCGGGGTACCATTTCGGGACGTCTTGGCATTTGCTTCACCCCCACGCTCGCCATCTCGCCCTTCCGTGTTTTGTCAACTTGGTTCTGCTGTGTTCTGATAATATGTTTACTTATTTTGGGAATATATGTGGACTTAATTATAATAGGTCTACTTAAGGACAAAATATCTTACGTCTCTCGGGAGGTCCTTGTCAGCCCTGGAGGTGCTCGGGGAGACCCCGATGATTATGCCAAGCTTAGATTAAGTATGATGTAGTCCATTGGTGGCTGATAGCTTCTAAATATCCTTTTGATGAGCCGCCACTAAGCCAGTAACCTCGGGGGTAAATGAAGCGAGGCACCAGACGTCGAGAAGTCTCACGAAACACTCCACTGGTAATAGTGGACCCATCTTGGGGATGGGTAGGGAGTCTTGGCAATAACCGGGGCATATAACCCACTCTGACAGTCGAGAACTCTACATAAGGGATATTTGACTGAAAGTCCCAAGAGAGCAATAGTCAGCAAGACATAAGACATGCAGTATATCACTACGATGATGAGGCAGCTACTATCAGCTCTAGTGTGAAGCAAGAATAATCATTCAACGACTCATAATCCGGTAGTCATAGATGGTGTTTTTGAATAGTTGAATTCCTATTTCATTTTTCCATTGCCAATGTCATATATGCTCCGCAAAAACAGCGAAGCACTTTGTGCAATGCAGGAAACCCAGAAGCCGAACAAGGAAATTGAACAATCTAGAAAACAAGGGCAGCACCCTTGGTCTTCTTGTCACCACTGTAAAGAAAAGAGATACGTCAGTACTGGATAGCAAAACAATAGAACAATGTGTAGATGCAACATACCCCAGCTCGAAGTGCTTGCAGCGCTTCAGGGCGAGCTGCTTCTTGGCCTTGCAAGCAGTGCACTCGAGACGCAGGACGACCTTCTTGGTGGTCTTGGCCTTCTTGTGGAAGACGGGCTTGGTCTGACCACCGTAACCACTCTGCTTCCGGTCGTAACGGCGCTTACCCTGGGCGAAGAGGGAGGCCTAAATCACAAAAGAGAACAACATCAGCAATGGCTCATGACTACCATTCTGGTGGCGAGAGCACTAACCTTGCCAGCCTTGTACTGGGTGACCTTGTGCTGTTGGTGCTTGTGGCACTCCTTGGACTTGCAGTACGTCCGGCGGGTTTTGGGAATGTTGACCTGTGCGGAGATGTCATGAGCTTTTGTCTTTTTGGTCTCGAATGAGATCAATGTCAATGTGGTTCGTGCCCCGAAATCCGATTCGAAATTAGTGCGGTCGCAAAGAGAATGGTCGTGTGGTCCGGGTCGTGGTCTTCACGGGAAGAAAGCGTGGCTGAGTAGCTAGGATTCAAAAGGACCGCGGGGTGCATCCATTGTGGTCTGCTTCTCGAATCCTCGATTTCGTCACCCAAGTGTTGTTATTGCAGGTTTCGCCACCCATTCCCTCTTCAATGCCGACTTCCATTTGCATGCTGCGAGAATCCGGTGAAAAACAGACGGTTGGGTGGTTCATAATGTGGTGTTTCGCGACGGTCGGCGGATTTGACGATTTCGAGGTCGGCCGCACAGTGGACATCACACAATCTCTCCACGACTCGAGGAATTTCGAATGGCCGGGGCTTGCAGAACACTTGACATATCTCGTAGGGTGATATCCTTACCATTTTGACTGACTTGGCCGGATAGCTGGGTGGTGGTCGTTGGATTGTCGCTTGTCGGAGGAGAGCAAGTGCGATTGTTGGGTTGTGGGATTTCACTCGCTTAGGCCCTATCGGGTGGGCGCTAACCTTTTTAGGTGTCGCCAAGAAGATTATGCTGAGTCACTCCTATATTTTATGCCTGAGGCACCCCTGACATCGCTGATCTCTAAAAGTGTTTACAGTCGATTCTCAGCAAATATCTTGTATTCTACTATCTAAATCCTTCTCCAAGTGCAAGACTGTCCCCTACTCCGTACCAGGTCCGGCCCTTCATCAATTCTAACCCCTTTTCATGACCTATCACCCACTGCCCTTGAGATGGGTCCCCCAATCTCCGCCACACATTTGAGCGGAGTTCATGATTGAGATCCTCGATCTTATCAATAAGTCCCGATGCTTTCTTCTCGAACTCCTTTGGAGAATCTGGCTCTACATCTTTGAGACCACTAGGCGCAATAAAGCGCGCAATAGTGATATGCGCAGAAGGAACGGTATACCTAGCCGCGATTGGACAGCCAGATTCAGTCACCATGTTGTAGAGATCACTCCGCAGATGGTGATATGTAAACTGATCATCTTTTCCACTATACACACTGCGATCTTCCTCGCCAGCCGCGGGAACAAAGCTCAGAGCAATAGCAGAAGTATCGTAGCTGATTACTGGCTTGACCAGCCGGGCACGGTGGGTGAGAGTGTAATTTGCCAGCTCTGCTATGGACCCGCTCATCTCAAGCGAGGAAGCGATCTCATCGATTTCAGGTCCTGTCAGTGCAGACCTGATCTCGAGCGTGGTCATGTGCAGATTACCCCGGGGTACAAGCCAGAGGCCTATGTTGTAGAATCATGGTTAGTACAGTCTTTTTCATTTCCCACAGATCATGTCTCCCACGCACCAGGTCCAATCAAGGGGCCAATCTCCTGCTGGATCTTGTAGACTAATTCCCGGATATGCTGTGGCGGGCGTGCCCAAAAGGCAAGGTTGTGTCTCGGGTCGACGATGTCTGTTAACCCTTTCTCTGCCTCGAGGACTTTGGACAGAATCTCATCTTCTTTCCATTCGCAAAATCCAGGTTGGCAGATTTGGTTTCGGAAAGAGGCAGTTCTATTGCTTCTATGGACCTCATAGACAATTTGCAATTGTTTCTGGATGGGATTCTCAGCATTTTGCTGTTGACAATTAATGACACGAGCTTACCGGGTCATTTTCAGAATGAGTGATCAATTGCTGAAACTGATTCTCAGCTGTTACATGTTGCACGGGTTCAATGGTCATGTTGTTTGAGGTTGGACTCTAATTGACTGATGATTCTAATTTGGGCCAAGGGTTTCAGCGGGGTAGATGGGGTAAAACTGCATGCAAGTGAGAAGAGAGGATATATATATACTATCTACTTTCTGGCTATCGAGTGGTAATAATACGCAAGAAGAATATTAAAGTACTTGGATCAATTGCTAGTCAGAAAATAGTATTTTTTCATATCTCAATTGTATCCAAAATATCAACTATACTACAAGTAGTTCATTATATATTGCTGAACTCTCAAGGACAACTCATTTTGAAAAATGGTGTTTCGGGGGTTTAATGCTAGAACTGGGATAATAAAAACCTAGTAAGATATCTCATCTCTTTCAAAAGTCCTAATTATGGTGTTCTCTACACTACATTGTATACATTGTCGCAAGTCAAAGTGAGGCTCCGACGCGATCAGGCAATAAGGCCACAGGCCCCCACCAAAACCCCGCCGGGCTCACATCTTCTCTCCAAACACTCATTGACAAGAGCTGTACCTCCAACTACATTCCAGCTGATCTATACCTTGCTCCACTGCTACCATTCAAACCACCGGGAAAGCCACCATCGCTTCAACATGTTGATCAAGTGAGTTTCTCAGCTCCAGCATGACCCCGTCCCCATTGCATCATCGCATGACCCCGAACTGGAAAAGGTCACCCCCAGAGCTGCAAGCTGACATTTCGCGTTCACATAGGGTCCGAACACTCACCGGCAAGGAGATCGAGCTCGATATTGAGCCTGACTACAAGGTAAACCACCCGCCAGCCTTGATGCGTTTCCGGCTCCTCCCCGCACGGAATCACTCTACCCTTCAACTGAAACCACACCCACAAGCCCTGCTATATCCACGCCCTCTGAATGCGCTTATACTGATACGGACGGTTCTATACAGGTCTCCCGGATAAAGGAGCGTGTCGAGGAGAAAGAGGGAATTCCCCCGGTGCAGCAACGACTCATCTTCGGCGGCAAGCAGATGTAAGAGACTACTCCCTGAGTTATTTTCGTTGCTTTTTTTTTTTACTGTCAAAGACAAATCCAAGCTAACAACTTGTCACCAACAGGGCGGACGATAAGACAGCCTCAGAATACAACCTCGAAGGTGGCGCCACGCTCCATCTTGTCCTTGCTCTGCGTGGAGGATGCGCTGCGATGTCCGTGTAAACGCTTTTTGTCATTTTTAGATACCATATTTCTGCAGCAATGTGAATCAGTTGAGGAGCACCAATTCTTGTCCATCCCGCATTCCATTTCGTGAGGATTCAAGCCACAGGGACCGCGGCGGAGCAATGGGATTTGAGCTTAAATGCGAGACAATATGCATACTGGGTGTTCTGGATTGGAACGTTTTTATTTGTTGCGTCCTTTTTTCTCAATGACATAAGCTTCTTTCATGGACTGGCTTCTTTTGCTATACCGTTCCTGGCTTTATTTCCGGGCTTTGGATGCTACGTATGTCTACTTCAGTATCGTTACACGTGCTATCCCGTGGGATACAATGCGAGCACCGCTGAATACAGTTTGGAACGAAGCACTGAGAGATGGTTGTAAAATACTACCTAGCCGAGCTGACTGAGTGTTGGACGCTATACCTGCGACGACCTTGAATAAAGTTCAGTCCACGACAAACTTGGAGATCTGACCAGCAGCCTCGGTTGCACTTTCCGGGACAGTCAAAGCTTGGGAAAGTTGAAGCATGCAGGTATCCATTTCCAGTTTTTTGTAGGTCCATGTCCCTCGCATTGGACAAACAGAGCCCATATCAACTTTACAGACAGAACAAGAGTTGTGGATAAGAATATATGTTTTTGGTAATTTGATGAAAATCTAACACGAAATGAATCGCAAGTGAGGTGAATCCCACCTCGGGTATCAGAACGAGCCCAAACTCCTTGCTCCAACTGAAAACATTGATGTAACCTATGTCCCACATAGGCAAGTATGTAGAACGCCTCCTTTCGGAGACCCAAAAATCACAAAAGGTCTGGTGATCCAAAGATCACGACAAGTGTCGCCGCTTTGCCGGCATGAAAATGCTCGGCGCTGGGCGTCGACGAATGACGCCCGGGCGGGGAAGAGGAGGCCCGGAGGAAGGCGGGCGGGGGGGGGGAGAGAAGAGGTAGGAGGGGCGGGGCGAGATGAAGAAGAAGAAGAGGAGGCTGTCTCTGCACCATGAGGGGGTGAGGTCGCACGGCGCTTCAGATTGGGCGCTGTGGCCACAGCAGGTGACTTCTTTACGCCAGACGCATCGCTGCTGGATGCGCCACGGGGTGAGGCAGCGGAGGCGGTGGAAGTAAGTGCGCGTAGTCGCGCCTCATTCTTGGCCAACATGGGGTGCTGGAGCGAGGGTGGGAGCATGCCAGGGCGCCGGCTGATGCGTGGAGGAAGTGGTTGCGGCTTTGATGCCGGCTGTGGTGCTGGCTGCTCGGCGGGACGGCGGTGTTCTTCGACCAAGCCGATCGGTGCGCGCTTGACTTGCGACGCACGGTTGTTGAGAGACTTGGTAGGCATCGTCAGCGCGGTGTTGCGCTTCTGTGGCTGGAAGATGCTGGGCTTCTTTTCAGCACCGCCAACCATCCTGCGATCATATGTAGCATGACGTTGTCGCACGGATGGTCGGGATCCGGCCATGCGCAAGCCCTTGCCCTCGGGGATGAGCTTGGGGGTGAGGAGTGCACGCTTGGCACTGATGCCGTCAATTGCCATCTTCATTCTCTCCGCATCGGCGTCAAGAGAACGTTGGACTTGGTCGAGGAGATCACAGTACACCCCGTACCAGTTGTTGGTACTATCCGGGAGGTGGTACTTTTCCCACTCGGGAATGTCCCGTTTAATGAGCTCAAGCCACAGTTCTTCGTCTTCTTCGGCGAGGTGGGGGGATGCAAGCTCCATGGCATGCTGCAAATTCAGAAAGAATAGTATTAGTAAATGAGTTTGAAACTGGAAATGAAGTGCAAGTGAAGCGACAGAAAGTGAGGTTTAGAACGACGTACCAGCTTTTCGGGGTTATGGATATTAAGCAAGATAGGACGGGCAAGTGAGTATGGCATGGCGCCCAGATCATCTAGGTCTGAAAATCACACAGTTAGTTTGGAATCATCCAAAATGAGGGAGTTCATTTTATCTGTACCTTTGACGAAGCGGATAGCCGTGGCTGTGGCCAGGTGAAGCAGTGATGGGGCCGGCATCTTGCTTATGACGGCAATAGTTCAAGCCGGATTGGATTGGGTACCATAAGATGTGCGACATAGGGTGAAAGCAAGTACGCGAGAGATAACAAAGCAAATGAGGCGCGAATCGCTTATAAAAGAACAAAGGACAGATAAAAAGATGCCAGATGCGACGCTATTCTCGTGGTTGTAGACGGTAGGAGGCTCGGCTTTAAATAAATGGAGGATCACGCGGTCGACGCTGATTGGCTGCCTGAGACTCTCTGGATTCAATGCTTTATTCGATGCTCTTTGCTCTAATGTCTCATATATATAGTTACGGAGTCTAGTTCAGATCTGATATTTGTAAGATTAGATATCTGCTCAAGTGAGGACTGATGACCTCCATTGTCAACATACTCGAGGATTTCAAGGTTCATCAATCTTTGCTGGGAATCAACCATAACGACGGGGGTTTTTGACTGAAAGTTGACGCTATCTCTTGTGAATCTCAAAATTAATATTGCCCCTAGGATTGTGTAATCGGCATATATATAGCAACCTTGGAAGTAATGCCAGCTGCTCTGGGATATCATCCAGAGGAACCCTTCATTTAACAATGTATACGACTTCTCCACATTAACAAAGTATTGGAAGCTCACTGAAATATTTACCATGTACTCTTTTGCTTCTTGAAGCAACTTTTTATATTCCAAAGGCTTCTTGCATTTATCTTGTAGTGTCTCGGATCCATCCTCCGTTCTCCGTCGTCTTTGGAACTTATAGATGGAAGCACGTGATACCCCCACATCAAACAACAAACAATGCAAACACCGTCTTGATAGCATCATCGAGTGGAGGGGCATATCAATGAACTTTTGAGAAATCGAAAATCGGCTCAGCTTATAACTAAATTCTGTTGTCAGATATAAAATTCACAGGTACGTCCTCTGTGGTCTTTGTTTCTGCCGTGATGCCCGTCTATATAGACAGTGCCTTGAACAATGGTACCAGCAATGCTAGTCGTAAAGCTATCATTCGGGCATTCTGAGTGCTGGATATAGACTTCCGATAGCGTTGATTACAACACACCCCTCTTGTCTTATGGTGCCTCTTCTGGCAATCTTATTCGAGACCCGCAGTCAAAGCCGCAGGCACATCTAACTCTCACACAGATAATCAAAATGGCACCCCGCTCGCAGCTAGAGATCATCACTTCCTCCGTGACCCGCCTGGTCAAGGAGGAAGCTTCTTATCACAAGGAGCTTCAGCAGCAGGCTGAGCGTATCAAGAAGCTGGAGGCTGATACCGCTGGTGGCGACGAGAACCGCGAGTATACCCTGAAGCAAGAGGTATGTGCCGTGTACAGGAGCTTTGCTCCTACCAAATCATCTCCGCCTATCTTTCTGAAACCTCTAATGCTGACACGAATGATAGCACATGTCTCTTGAAGAGACCAGGAAGGTCCTGCCTACATTGAAGGTGAAGATTGTGCAGACTGTTGCGAACCTGGAAGCTTTGATTGTGAGTGTAACTTCCTATTTCTACCACCTATCTGTATTCTTGGATTCCATTAACCAATTTTGATAGATTGAGGAAGGCAAGAAGGGATTGGACAGCAATGTTGAGCACATTACCGCTGCCAAAGAAGCTATTGCCCAAGCTAAGACCGCACAGCGCGAGATCTCGTGAAAGAGATGTCGATCGACATTACAACAAAGCTAAAAAAATACCCATAAGGTGGAAGATTCCATAATATCATTCAATAAATTGAAGCCATGCCCAACGCCAGACCATAAACCAGAACTCCTTGCTAGTGCTAGTAATGTACACGCCGAAATGCATCTTCAGGTAGTATCCATCTTCCCGCTGAAGTCATCAGGGAGTTCCTCTCCTTCCTCGAGTTCGGAATATTCACCATCACTAACCGCAGAGATTTCACCCTCATCAAGCATATTGGTGTCCTCCCGACTAGATCCTGCTCCATCGACCTGGGCAGTTGTGACTTGCCGCAAAGGCGACGCAGCACCGGCAGCCCCGGCCTTCTCAACCTGCAGAGCAGATGGCCGACCGGCCTCATCTTGGCCGTGCTGGGGAGGGGTCACGGCATCGGTTTCAGGACCAGGAGTGTTCCCGCTGCTAGCCTTGCCCTTGGATGTGACATCTCCCTCGTCGCCGTCTTCGCCCTCCTGCATGCCTTCTCGGCGCTCCACTTCCTCTTTCTCATCGCGGATCAGGCGACGAAGCTGCATCCCCTCGTCCACAATACGACCGAACTGCTCGCGTCGCTCAGCCCAGGTCATGGCGTAATCCTTGCTTTCCTTCTCGAGATCCGCAATCTCCAGTCGCAATTTCTGAAGGTTCGCTGACTGGTCTTCGCGCGGCTTGAGTAGGCGGTTGCTTGTGATTTTGTCTGTCAATTCATCGTAGGTCTTTCGCAAAGAGAGAAGTCGCTGTGCCTCTACAAGTTGACTGCGTAGATCGGCCGTGCTGTCCCGTACAGACTGCATTGTAGACAGAATCTGAACTCGCTCGGAGGCATATCGCTGGCGTTCTTGCTCGTTGCTGGTAAGTAGAAACTGGACGCGCGCAATGCTTCCCTCGAATGCGGCAAAGTCAAGTGAGACATCCTCGCGGAAGTGGCGCCATTCTTCGAGCCTTTTCTGTTTCTCGGCTTCTGTTGCGGTCGCATCGGAGTCGGCGTCAGTTTCTTCGGGGGGAGGGGTGAGAGGGAGCGTGGATTGCGAGACAATGAGGGATTCGGGGTTCAATAGTCGTTTTGAAATTCGCTTGAATGGTTTTTCTTCGACGTTGAGGAGACGCGACTTGTGGAGCGCATCTGTACGAGTTGGGGCGTTAACATTGACCTGGGAGGACAGAGCTGGAGTGGACTCGACCTTCTTCTGGCTGGCCAAGCAGCCCGTAAGAAGCCATTTTGTTTATCTGATGATAATGAATTCAATCCCAAAGGCCAATAGCGCAGGGTTGATTGAAATTGTTCGCGACTTCAAGGTGATCGAAGTGGGGAGGAATATGAAAAGTGAAGCCGAGCGGTCTGGCACTTGGAACTCCGCCTTAGCCTTATTGACCTCCAGGGCTTAATGGCTATTCTTCAACATTCAGCTGTGCTGCCTAACGAGAGTAATCGACTTTCGTTTACACAATTAATTATAGCCTCCGAGGATTTCTGGCTAAAGACCAATTCAAAACTACCCAGAATCGCTCGCGTGCTTGCTTAAGGACCTCGCTGTACTCCGCAATCCAAAGCTGTCCGCAAGCACGGCCTGGTGAAGCCACAACTAGAGGCCCGATGGACTTTGTCGCACAAGACTCTGTGACTGCTGTCCTAGCTGCTAACTTCTTTCTGTCCTCTGTACTTGCCTCAGTCTGATCACTATGACGGAGATGTACTCCGGCCTCCATGTGGGCCAGCGGTTTTGCTCTCTGGAAGAGTTCAAAACAGTGGTGCGGAGTATATCAGTCAGGCAACACTGGGAGCTTCGTGTGGCCCGGAGCAACAAGAAGAGCGTGGTTATCGGATGTCGATCATCGGCAAATTGCTTCTTTCGGGTGGTCTGTCGCTCAAACAAAAATGCGACCTACATTACCAGTCTTCAAGACAGCCATAGTTGCCGCCAGAGCGCAAATTCTCCTGCGGCCACACCCGCTCGCTCTGAAGCTTCCCATGTGCGCTTTCTGCTGAGTGAGATCCCGAAGCTTTTCGATATGAAGTCGAAAATACGGGCCCAGGAGGTCGTGGATGCCGTGAAACGCTACCATGGGTATGACATATCTATGCGCCAGGCACAGAGAGCGCTTACCAAACTTCAACCACGACATGCTGAGGGCCAGGATGAGCATGGGCTGGATATCGACATGAGTGCAGAAGAACAGCCGTCGCCTGAGCAATCCCCCGACTCACAAGGAGAAGGGACACATGCATATGGGGAGATATCCGAGAATCGCTGGCTTCCAGAGCATCTTCAATCATCACTGATCGATGATGATAACTTGTCTCCAAACGAAACCTCAAACAACCACGTACCTGCTCCGCCATCTAGTTCCCAAGCCCTGCCACCTCCACAGGTGCAACACGTGCCGATCCCCATATCAAACCAACCGTCTTTCAATCACAACCCACATCCAATGACTATGCCACAATCAGGAGTCGAATACCAAACAGTTGCTTCTTTACCAGTAGGAGTGGTTGGACCTCCGAAAGACTACCCTGAGCGCAGTGATCACGATGCCGTGCCCCAGATGGTTCTTACCAATTTCAAGATTGAGTTCACCTGTACAACCTGTGGGTCACTGAATCAGAGCTTTTTCCCGAACCAGGGCAATGTCACCGGTGCCAACTATATGACCCATCATGCTGTACCGAATCCTGGCAATGTCCCAAGACACACCGGGCCTACTCCCCAGAATGGTGTTGGTAGCAGTAGCAATGCAGTCGGCGAAAACCCTGCTTACGATATTAATGCATCCAACACACCTAACATCCAGAACGCCTGGCCTGGTGGTGGCCTAGGAGTTCAAATTGGACCGGCACATACCTAACATATCATGTCAAGAGGATGATGTCGACCACCATGTTATTGCGATCAGAATATATGACTGTGCAAACTCGTGCTTGCACATTGTAACCCAAGCCAACACGAGCACCAGCTGACTTTATGCCTTATTATGCATGACAATGTATGGCATTCGATGCCTGACCGTCCCGGCTTTTGACTTTCTATGCGTTCTATGAGATGTCATGATTATAATTTGGATGCCCAATCCAGATCACGGTGACAACATCTAACTCAAGTCTAAGAGGGCTAGTTCAATGAGTATTTTCTGGGATCTTTGTTTTGATTTTGACCGCGAGAACTCTATATAGGTTCATTTTATGTAGGGGAAGTAACGTTTGAGATGACCTGGGACTGGATATTATCAGGGCTAATATTGTTATGAAGTCGACGAGCTATGCTGGTTAATCTTGTTTTGATACCACTTTTGTTGATGGGATTGGAAAGGATTCCTATCTACTTAGTTCTGATACCACCACCTCATCTACTACCACATAATGTTATACCCTTGCATTTGATCAAGTATGTTGTTCCCCAAAACCGGCTTCTTATGGAAGCTATACCAGCCCAGAAGCTTGCCTTAGTCACAAGTGCCTCTGTTATCGAGTCGCAAAGAGTTCAGCATAGGCGACGGTGTGGCAGCACTAAGTACATATGCATCTGTGCCTAGGAGATATGGCTTCAAATAGTAGCAGCGCAATTGGCCAAAGTGACCGCACAATCAGGATCAACCTGCAGAACTACAGGGGGGACATGAGTTACTTCGGAGAAGTATCCGGAGATAAAAGGTTCTAAATTTCCCAATTCGGCATCTCGTACCATTACTCAGCCATCGGAGGTCCGATCGGCTATCCGATACTGCGGATCCACAGCAGACTCTGCTCTTCGCCAACCGCACCGAAAAGATGACGCGGAATTGAGCCGACAGTGTCTGGATCGCAATCCATCGGCGCGATATTGGGCTATAATGCAAACCAGGCACACAAGTACTCACCTGCGTCGGACATGGATCCGATATGACACCGGCCAGCGGCGCTCAAGCTCCAATCGACATCCAGCGCTCAGTTGCCGATGGATCGAAAGGCACTAAAACCCTGCCAGGGAAAAACTTTTCTTATCAATTGAATGACTCTTATATGAACAAATTTGCCGTGGGATTAGTCTGTTCCTTTAAATAACATCGGGACCCTCCTCATTCCATACAATTGTGCTTTGGATAGTATCACGCCAAGCATTCACTCCCAACCTTAATATACTTCGTGTTGCAAGATTTTCTACGCCACAAGGCACACATGGCCTTTTACGAAACATCTTGAACAATCTAGGGAGAATTACCACTTTGAGCAAGCTTCGCGCCGCCACATCTGCAGCCATGAATCGACAACGAGAGGCCGAAAAGGCCCTTCACGACCAAACAAATATTCTTCCCTTCGCACAACTCATGGTTGTCTTCACAGGTCTGGCAATTTCCTTGCTGATTTGCATGGTGGATCAGAATGGTATTAGTGTCACCCTACCAACGATCTCACGCGAACTGGGTGCTCAGAATACCATCTCCTGGGCTGGAACCTCATCGTTAATTGCAAACACCATGTTCACGGTGCTGTACGGCCGACTGTCAGATATCTTTGGCCGGAAAATCATGTACATCTCCGCATTGGTCTTGCTATGTATTGCAGACCTACTCTGTGGCTTGTCCCAGAACCCGGCTATGTTTTATGTTTTCCGAGGCTTGGCTGGTGTCGCTGGTGGAGGTGTTACATCTTTGACGATGATCATTGTCTCCGATATCGTGACCTTGGAAAAGCGAGGCAAGTACCAGGGTATTCTGGGTGCATCTCTGGGTATTGGTAATATCATTGGACCATTTCTGGGTGCTGCATTCATCATGCGTTCGACGTGGCGCGGTTTCTTCTGGTTGATTTCCCCATTGGCCGCTTGCTCTGCAGTTGTTGGATACTTCCTCATTCCGAATAATGCACGCAAAGATAGTTTCCGGGAAAACATTGGCCGTATCGACTGGTTCGGGCTGCTTGCATCGTCCATTGGTATCATTTTCCTCTTGATTCCTATCTCGGGAGGTGGATCATATTTCCCCTGGGATTCACCGATGGTCATTAGTATGCTCGTTATCGGAGGTTGTGCAATCGTTGCATTTTTGCTCATTGAATGGAAAGTGGCTACACTCCCGATGCTACCAGGTATTGTTTTGATCCCCCATAGTGGTAGAAGGACATTTAGTTGACATAAAACAGTGGTCTTCTTCAAAAACAAGGTTGTCTCTGCAATCTTCTTGCAGAGCTTTCTGTATGGTGCAGTTTACCAGGCAAGCCTTTACTACCTGCCATTGTACTACCAGAATGCCCGTGGCTGGTCGCCAATTGCCTCTGCGGCTATGACATGTCCTATGGTTGCGGCCCAGTCAACTTTCTCAATCGCATCTGGATTGTACATCTCACGAGTAAAGCGCTATGGCGAAATCATTTGGATTGGATTTGGCTTGTGGACCTTGTACGTTGATCGATGTCTAAGCCCTGTTACTTTGATCCCATACTAACAGTATCATTCTAATAGGGGGTCGGGCCTCATGTTATTATTCGGTACCCACACCCATCCAGCCGTTATTGCAGTCATTGTGGCAGTCATGGGCGCCGGAATTGGCTTCACATTCCAGCCCACTCTCGTGGCCCTGCAAGCCCATTGTACCAAGTCCCAAAGAGCAGTCGTGATTGCAAACCGTAACTTCTTCCGCTGCATTGGTGGTTCATGTGGTCTCGCCATCTCTGCAGCAATTCTGCAGGCTACTCTTCGCTCTAATCTACCAACCAAGTTCGCTTACCTGGCAGAGTCTTCGTACTCACTTCCTTCAAGAGCGAACCTTAGTGCAACTGAGTGGGCTTCAATTCTGCTTTCTTACAGCAAGGCCTCCCACGCAGTATTTGTTCTGCAGGTCCCCCTCATCGGTGTTTGTTTCCTGGCATGTATGTTCGTGCGTGACAGAGGCCTGGAGCGACCAAAGGGACCGGAAGAGATTGAAGAGGAAAAGAGGAAAGCCCAAGAAGAGAGAGATGCCGAGGCGGCTACTTCTGAGCACCCCGAGGAGTCCGCCGATTATCAGACATACGACCAGGTCGAGAAGCGTCATTCTGTGTCGACATTCGCCGAATCATCGATGCCGCCTTCTCGGGCCGAACCTAATACAGAGGGACATCGGGAGAAGGAGCAGTACCGAGGCATGTAGAGGCTTGAGAACGATGACGGGCTGTTCAATTTGCTTTCGACTTGGCTAAATCTGCATTTGCTTTTGTTGCATGGGCGGCGTGTGATACCAAAAAGTTTATACAGTTTGCGATAGACTAATTTAATATAAACACTACTTGGCGCTTAAGATTGTCCGAGATACCAAGTCTTCTCAATGGAAATTGTATCTCAATATTGCTTGCTATCTGGTAGACTAGAAGCTGTTCGTCACTTTCCAAGCTCTGCATTTATGGAGAGCTAGCTCCATGAACTTTTGATTTCTCTGACCTTTGAAATATATATTTTTTGAAATATCTCTTTCACCACAAGTATCCGAACCGTAGAAAAGAATAAAGCAAAGTATTCAAATGTATATCCTGGATGCCTCGTAAACTATAGGCTGCGTTAGTGTTAGTAGATGTCTTGTCTTGGCATTCCGATCCAACCGCATCTCCGACCTCTTTTAATCTCACCTTGCAATGGCACTTCACCAGCGTCTTGATGTTTCAAATTGAGGCTGATATTTCCCAGAAAATTCGATATGTATGCGTTCGGGCAGAGCCCCGAGTCATCAAGGCAGACAAGTCCCGCATCACGAGATCATAACCCGCGGAAACGCGGGAGGACCGCATGCACTCGCTGCAAGACACGGAAGCAGAAGGTGAGCTCTAGTCAGTAATATAGTTACAAATATCTCGACTAACGGGTTTCCAGTGCGATAATGAACATCCGACTTGTTCCAACTGCCTGAAGGCGGGGGTCTCGTGCGACAAGTCCAGCGTCCGAGAGGACAAAGACCGTCAGAATGAGTAAGGTCCAATCTATGGAGTAGGCGGAAAATACTGATTTGGATGTTAGTTACACACGCGGCTTAGAGGAGCGTGTGGTGTTCCTTGAGCGTAAACTTGTTGAGTCTGATCGATCATCAGACCAGAATGCTGCCGCCACAAATACTGCGTCTTCGTTGTTCTCCCCACAAGGTGGCCACACAACGCCGCACACAACTACCTCGGGATTTGACAATAATCCCGTCGGAGAGATTGTGGGCCTTCTTGCGCTGAACGCCTCCGAGGCACCTGCATACGTAGGATCCAGTTCTGGTCTTTCTCTTGCTGCCGACCTGGGAGAGATGGTCCAAACGAGTGTATGGAACCAATTCATCTCAAGAATGCAGCAGAAAACCAGTACCACCGCCTCTAATAATCCTCGAAATACGGCAGGCAAAGCACACGGGCCCTCGGAGCAGCCCAGCGCCACTCAAATTCGAGATCGGGCAACGAGAATGGAAGATCTCTTGCCAGCGAATGTTGAGCCTCCAACTGATGAGATGGGGGCAAGAATACTCGAGACATATTTCACCCGACTTCATTCTCGATATCCATTTCTTAACCGGACACAAGTATGGCAGATCCATGCAGATCGATGGCGCTTAGCTAAGATCAAGCGTGAGGATCTGACTCGGTCTGATCGATTTGCTATCTTCAAACTCAACCTGGTCTATGCAATCGGCGCAACAATGCTTCGGCTGAGTGAGAAATATGCGTACACGACTCCTGAGGTAATCATATTATCTAAACGTTAGACCGGCCGACACTTACAAGTTTTAGCGATTCTATACTGCCGCATTGCAGCATGTCCCGACAATGTGTGAAGCGCGATCCATTGACAATATCGAGGCCATGGTTCTTCTTGTCGTATATCATCTCCGAACTGCATCCAGTCATGGCATGTGGTACATGATTGGACTTGCTATGCGCACTGCTATCGATCTAGGTCTTCACCGAAAAGCAAATGAAAGCAACATGGATCCATTTACCACTCAGATGCGACGAAGACTATTTTGGACTGTATACTATTTGGAGCGAGTGGTATCGATGTCTCTCGGCCGCCCATTCAGTATATCCGATCGTCACATTGATCTTGACCTCCCACTAGAAGTGGACGACGACATTGAAGATCCAACACTACTCACAGCACCCTTAGATCCAAACAAAACCACAACCTTGACATTCGCAATTTACCTCTTCAAACTTCGTCGCATCGACTCTCGCATCCAACATAAAATCTACCGCGCCGACCGCCCCCTATCTTCTCTCCGACCAAAAATGGACCCTCTATACCTTGAACTGGAACAGTGGAAAGAATCCGCCCTATTACGATTCAGCGGCCCAGATCTCGACTACCCAATGTTGCACTTCAACCGAGCAGTCCGACTACTAATCCAGCCCTTCCTTCCCCTCCTCCCAATCACAGACCCATACTACCAAATCTGCATCCTGGCCGCAGGAAACATATGCCAGTCCCACAAACGCCTCCACCAAACCCTGGAATACGGCCACTCCTTCCTAGCCGTGCAAACAGTCTTCATGGCCGGAATCACCCTCCTCTACGCGCTATGGACACACACAGACCAAGTCTGGTCCGTCCGCATGAGCAACGACATCCGCGCTTGCTCAACAGTTCTCTTCGTAATGGGCGAGCGCGCAGCATGGGTCAAGAAATACCGTGACGCCTTCGAGCTGCTAGTCAACGCCGCCATGGAGAAACTGCAGGGCAACGAGACTGCCCGTAACGCCGGAATGGCTGAGCTGATGACAGCCCAGTATGGCGTTAATTGGAATTCTACGACTGCTCCCGGCATGTCCGGTAGTGATAAGTTTCCCCCCGTCAATCCGACGGGGTTGGCTCCTGATACTGCGGGTGCTACGTTTCAGACGCAGGGTTGTCCGGATGATGATTCTGAGCATGCGGTTAGGATGGCGTTGCAGCTGGCGCCATGGATTGATCAGGATGAAAGTGATCCTTTATGGGTGCCGGACTTTGAGACTTTGGAGAATCTGTCTGGGACTTTTTGGAGTCATGGTGATACGAGGCTTTTTGATCCTATGTGATGTGATGTCTTTTGGAAGTATTTGTTGCACATACATGCGAGAGATGGAAGATGATACCCTTTTATTGCGATATAATATGACAGATCGCATTTTCTGAGGTTTACTCATCATGGGAGTTTTCCCGTGGTTGTTTCGCAGGTTTTTGAAAGAGAAGCCATAAGAGTCGGTAAAATGCGAGCCTTTTCTACCCCCGATAAGGCAACTTGGCTGTTGTTTTCAACATACTGGAAATATATTCGGTAGACTTGCCAAGCTTAGTTTCATGCTTGCTCGGTGATGCGTTGACCTTTTGGATAGTAGTCGACTGGAATCAGTCTGGTCCAATGGCCCGTGTTAAATATTTTAAAGAAAAATTCGCATCTATGATATGTTCAAGGGGGTATATCCGTAAACCAGCCTGCAAGATCAGGCAAATCAAATCTTCCAAGGAACCCAAACTCTTCCTGACCCAGTCCCATCTCATCCCAAGTTGTAAAAGGATTGAAATCCATGTTATTGGGTTCTTGACGGATGCTGTGTTCGTCTGATATCGGCTCGGTAGGCTGTGACGACAAATCGGGTCGGTTCAGTTGTTGATCACCCCTTTGGTGCAGCTGAGTAGAAACCAACGACGAGGCTTCACCAGGCCGGCAAGTAGCTATATGAGAATTAGCATAACCCAATGAAAAAAAATCCATTAACAAACAACGAACCTGAGTAGTTTTGCATAATATGTTGGTGTGTCACTTGCAAGAACTGCAACGAGTTGCGGGCGGATACACTGAACATAGCCATAAAACCTAAGATCTCTTCGCACTTGCGCCGGCTCTCATCCACGATTTGCGAATCAACCTGCTCCCGGATTGAATGGCAGGAGTATGACATTATAAGGATGAACCCTGCAGTTGATGTGTCTAGTACGTGTTAGTTGATGAGCATGAATAACAATGAGCGGGATTGATCACGAACAGAATCCATTGTACCACCATGCATCAGTTACATTTGTTCGATATGTCTCATGAACAAGTGAGACCAGGTCTATGGCTGCCATGACGCAGGAGGCGGCACATTTTGAAAATACCGAAGAGTAGATTATGTTTTTCTCGCTGGGTTGGATATCGGAACGGCGTGATGAGCCTGCTCGCTCATCGGAGCAGAGTTGAGTAAACATAGGGCGATATAACAGGAGGCGAAGGTGGATGAATCTATTTTTTCTTTGGTTAGAAATTGTAACTCAAAAGCCCAAAGAGAGAAGCTACCTCGCACGCAACACATTCTGCTGGCGTTTGAAGATCGACGCATTGACATTGTCTGAGCGATGCAGCGATGGTTCATCTGTCCAATTCAAGGGCTGGGGCACGCTAGTCTCATAGGCAGCAAGTTTATCGTCGAGCTCCATCAACACATCCAGGCTGCAAAGCTTGGAGCTTCGCAGCAAAGTGGTGCGAGTGCTATTCGATCGACTCTGCCAAGCGTTATAGACCTCGGATAGAATAGACTCGAGAATTTTGTATAATTCAATGGTTGAAACATAGAACGTCATATATCCCAACTTATGATCACAGGATTGTCCACTAAGCTCACAAGGATCAGCTTCTTGGGAGTCCGTTCCCATTACAGGCAGAGGCAGTGGTGAGATATGAGAGGTCATACTCGGTCTTCCATGTGTCATGCTCACAATCCTATTTTCCTCCGTTAGCTGTTTCTTGAAAAAATAATCTAGAAAAACGATTGCACCAACATGTCCATAATGACGCAGCTATGCCAGGTACGCCGCCGTATTTCTGTCTCCAGAGGCTTGTTCGAGGCGTGTGTGGTTGTCTCGTGTAACCCGAGTCCTTGACCAGCTCGACACGCCAGTCCAATTGCATTCCAGCACCGATTCGGATAAGGGGTACTTTGAAGAAGAAGTGAAACAATCAGAAGTGTTTGGACCACGCCAATAGTGCCTATGTCTAGAAGATCAAGATTCACAAATCGCTTTGCGCGAAGGAAAAATGAATAAACCGCAGTCTCACGGTCCGTAGGCGGGATATTAGAGAAATAGCAGCCAATGGCAAATATAGAATTGAGTGCGCAATGGAAGACAATTGAATTAGGACCGCAATCAAATGCGCCTCCGAGTCCGATATTGAGCTGTGGTAACTCGGGCTTGGGTGCTTTATCCGATCCCCAGAGATTTTCATACGCTTGCTCAAAACTAGGGCGATGGAAAAATGGGAATAGACAATGTACCCTGTCCCAATAACACTCAAGAAGATGGTCTGCCAGAGATCGAGGAGGTAAGGAGAAGTCGTCGAACCGAAGATCTACCGAGGGATGGCCAATATCTCGCCAAATCCCCGTATCAGAGTCCTGGAGTCTTGATGGCTCACTCTTGCTGTCTCGCAAAGCTGACATATATGACTGCAAAGGCATAGACTCTCCTGCAAGACGCATGAAAGAGGCCACTGAAGAGTTCCCGTAGTATTGCTGCTCCTGTGGAGAGTCTGTGCTTGGGTCATCTCCTGCGACAGATATTGCACCCATGGCGGTGACATTACCGTTGGAGTTGAGAGATGGTGGGGGATAGATACTGCCTGCTCGTGGGTGGGCAGACTCAGGAGACAGATGTGCCGTATGTGGAGATCTATAGCGCTCAGCTTCCGATCGATCCCTACGCACTGGAAACCTTGGCGGTTGAAAAGTGGGTGTCGAAGACAGAGGACTTGGTCCAGATGGCACAGGGGTGGAGCCCAGTCCTAGTAACCCTTCTGCAGCAACAGATGTCCTAGATTCTGCGTCCAGAGGGTCCAAATCCATATCTTCACCCATGTGACTTTGACTTTCAGATGCCCTGTAGTCTCCATTTTGTGATGGCCCAGGCGGGACGGCAACCCCGCCTTTTGCACATATCTCTTCAAGCTCTCGAATACGATTATGGAGAATCTTTAGGTATTCATCGTTGCTGGCTGACCTCGCATTGTCCAGCTTGTATACACATTGGTCAACGGTATACGAGCGTCGAGCGCATGGGCCACAAATTGGCTTTATACCATCGCATCTGACCTTTTTATCTCGGCACGACTCACAGGCCAAGGCAATCTTGCGACGCCGCGGCTCTCGTTTAGTAATTCCCCCTTTGGGAGGCATCTGTTTGGCAGCGCTTGGTCCTATAAGCCACAGCTAAGGGTATACGCGACCCACAGTATTGCTGCAGCACAATTTTATTGGTGATCCGGAGTGTGACCGAAAGAAAGGGCGCATGCTGCAGGAACTGCAGTACTGGCGAAAGGGGAAAGTGGAACAACCCCGGGACCGTTGTGTCCGGAATGTACCCGGAGACATCGTCACGTGCTAATCCATACCCCCCGCAGAATCAGAAAATAAAAAGAAACCTTGAAATGGAGAAAACTGTTCTTGTTTTGTCTTAAGATCTAAGCTAATGAACCTTGAATTGCTATAATTGGGTGCCTGGGTCCGATTTGTTAGATCGACATCATACGTGGAGCCCCCCGGGGCCGGGATGCACCCGGTGTGTTTCTACAGGCGTTAAGAGAGGAATACTTGATCAAAAAAAACCAACTACTCCGCAAATACTACAGTACTACGGGGTAGAGCTATGCGTACACAGATAAAAGGGTATAGAGAGAAATTCAATTTGCCGAATTAGCCAATCATTCCATTGCGGATGAACGTCGCGCTTCCCTTGCGGATGCGGAGGCTGCGGATCCGCAAATACTATACCGGGTGCATTCCGGAGTTGACGTAGGGAACCCTGCTGCCTCATTAACGAGACTTGCTTCAAATATTAGGAGAAAGCTAATCCCCTTCATTTCCTCCTTTTATCCAAAATCCAAAACCAAGTGCTGTTACATATCGTTGTTGTCGTGCCACCTCGAAGCCTGATATCAGAATACCAAAGCCAGACTCACCAACATCTAAAACCCAAAGTACAATTTCGGCTGCATACCACCTGGTACCTGAATATCTTTTACAAGTCCAAGAAACCAGCCTAATATCAATTGAATATTTGCCACAACCCCAAATGGAAAACGACAATCATACGCTTCCAATGGACTATAGTATCCTTTCACAACACTGTCCCTGGCAAGCCGACAAACCACAACAAATCTCCCGAAACACATGGCCCACTGAAGAAGGTCTCCAATGGGGTTCAGATCCCAGCTTCTGCTATCACGGCTACTCTAGTCCCATTGGCACCTGGACAGAGGAGAGGCTCGTGCAGAACCTGATGCGGAACATGGCCAGTTTCTGTGCCTCCATGGACATTGGCTTCAATGCTCCCGAAACTATACACGAGCCACCTCAGAAGCCTATACTGGATCCATCCGAGCTGAACGGATTCACACTTCCCATGTTCCAGCCCTCAATGGTCCCACAAAATGAAAGATTCTCCCAAACGCCCTCCTCGCCATCGTCATCGTCATCCTCATCGAGCCAAGGTCAAGTGCTCTCTTCGGATAATAATGAATGCACACAACGGGCAAGCTGCGTCAAAGCAAGGACTAAGTCTGGGCAAAAGAAGAGAAAGTGTGTGCAAAGGCCAGGACAAAAATTGTGTCATTGCCGATCGGAAAAGAAGAGGAGGGAGCTCATTGGAGACCGATATAAAGAACTCTGTCGCATTGTGCCAGGCCTTGAGAAGCAGTCATACACAAGGAAATATGTTCTCGAGGGGGCCGCACTATGGATTCAAAGTTTGGTCCAGGGCAACGATGAACTTCATCAACAACTAGCGGAGTTGAAGGAACAGGAAAGGTTGAATCAGTTGCGGTTATTTCCTATTGAGGAAGAATAAAAGTCGCCCTGCTAGTTCGAGCACTTTTTTGTATCTATAACATATCACCAAGGCATGTAATCTACAATGATAATACCATACCCACGCATGTTGACTACTTAATACCTCACGGAAGCGAACACTAATATCGACAGAGCCACCTTGTAGGGGGATGACGCCCAACACAATATTTTGGAGATAGCAAAGAGTTATGGCAGCATCGCAGATTTAACATATGAATATTAACTATAGAAGGACATCAAGCATGATAGATTGTGTCTGGCTAGGAAGGAATGGTGAAAGGAGTGAGAGATGTATCTATCTAGAGATAGCGTACTACACACTAGTTCTAAAGGCAGAAACAGCGCCATGCCAGATGCTTACCGAATCCTCGGACTGGACGAGGTGGGGACGATCCGTCGCCTCCACAGCCGGCTTGTCCCAGGTGAGGCCCACGCTGCGCTCATCTCGGTGGGAGACTACATCAAAAATTCCTATGAGAGGACCATATTTCAAGAGTACCTGGTTTATTTCCAAAGGCGCGGATACACCCTGGGACCATTCAGAAACGCAGCACAGCACAAACCGCCGAGTTCAGGAGCACACCTCCCGCCACTATGGGGACTCCACAGGAATCATCATGAAGGGAAACCTCTCAACCAATGCGGAATACTTATTGGAGTGAGCTGTTCCGATGACGCCGTCCTTGACGATATGGGTAACGCTGAGACGGAAGTTCCCAACAGCGCTATACCACCTATGGACGTTGTCTTCAGTGTCGATCGACTTATGCTTTATCATAGAGATCTCAGCAAACCTCTTGGGACCTCCGTCTGATTTGATCTGGAGGGGGGTAGGCATTCGACTCTGCAACCTATTGCGGTAGCCGGCGCGGCGTGCATTCTGACAACGACGTGAGGAGATTGGCAGAGCCAGATAGGAGGAGGGGCTTAAGAAATCACAGAGCAGCGAGGATGAAGACCATGCGTGTTGATATGGGTTTGAGCGAGAAGGAGGAAAGACCGGCAGAGGTTAGAGATTCTCTCAGCGAGCTGGGCAAGGGCACTATGTGGCAATACCCAGTTCTTGATAAAGCCCTCGAAGTTGGGACGCGTAGTGTCATAGGTGCCCCAGAAAAGTCCCACCCAAGAGATTAGGGCAAGCAGTTCGTATCGGTGGCCTTCTAGGCCGGCGGGAAGCTATAAAGAGAGCCCACGGTTCGTAAGGGATCAGAATGAACCAAGGACTGAACGTTACCGGTTCACAAGTACGTTCAGCTTCAGAACCCATTATTGAACGGCGGTTGGAAACCCAGTGATCATAAGCATCAGTGAATTTCTGAAGAGGGGCGCCCGAAGAGTTAGCGATTTCACCATGAATTGGGGCCGATTGACAACAACTCACTCGGGGAACACGCATTCCCGAGAGATGGCGCAGGTGTGGGTGATTTTTGAGATAAGTCGAGAGTAGTCATCGTAGTATTCCTCGAAATCAGTTAGGTACCATTCTGGCCTGAGATGCCATCCGTGGCCAAACGCCCTTCGATCTCCATAGTAGTATCGCTGGGGATGGGGAGTCGGTCTTAGTCCTGGGTAGCGCTCAAAGAACATGGTTGGCCAGCGTCTGAATTCCCGTGGGAATCGATGCAGCTCCCTCTCATCCCGTGGGGATACCATTGGCCTCTTTTCTTCATATTCTTCGTACCATCTCTGGATGTCTTCCAGCCAAGCAATGATGACTGGGGCGGTTCGGCCAAAGAAGGTGTCAGGCTCTTGGGGCTTGGATCTGGCTATCCCGACTGGTAGGGTCCCGATTCGTTCCCGCTCTATCCAGCCTTGCTCCACTTTCCCTCGTCTTTGGTTCTCGCCCTTCAACGAAATTGTCGAAACCGGCCATGAGATCCCAAACCGCTACCGACACGGCCTTGATAAGTTCTTACGGCATTCCGAAATCGATAGGCTCACCATACTCATCCAGCTGAGAGGTTTAGGAGAAGTTGGAAACATGGTATGGCGGGTGGTGACTTGCGCCCATCTTTCTTCCTCTTCCTACCAGGATGTCATGTCCAGTCACCAACCAAAGATGATAGATGCAAAATACCTCTTTGGTTGGTTTGCATCTATCATCTTTTGGCTCAAAGATAGAGCTCTACAAGATTGGATCTTTGCTATGCCCAGAAAAGACTCTTCCAGTGAACAGACCCAGTCCGTTTGTAGAAGAGGGAAGGTCACTTCAGGGATCGACTCTGTGTCGAAATCATTGGGGCTATATTCGGGCTCTATCTCAGAATCGGTTGCAGAGCCGTTGCGTTCACGTCGATGTAGACTAAGTCGTCTTCGTTGCCTTCGGACATAAAGGACTTGAAGTCAAGATGATGCGTCTCAAGATAGATTTGCATCTTATAATCCTCGTTCTCTGAAGTATGCTCAGACTGGCTGCGAGCCATTGTTGCGTTTGAAATCCCTTTACATCATATGGTCAGTCGAATTAATCACAAAAAGGGCTCATATACTGTTGCCCTTCATGAGACAAGAGCTCTGTCCACGGTGAGATACGCCAAACATACTAGACAAGATGTGGTGGACTGGTGAGAGCCATGCTCCCATAGGCATATGTTGGATGAGCCCGGATGTGTGTGTGGTGCGCAAGTTGTGTGTTAGGGTTCAATGAACTAGAACCAAACCGCTCCTGTTGCTGATATATATATATATTAAGGTGGTGATTCGTTGAAGGCACTCCGGCGCATGTCATATCCTCGAGTCCGACAGGCTTTCCTGAAAAATCCATTGCGAACCACGGCTTGGCATAATCTTGATTAAGACGGCTGCAGGTATGGAATCTCCGTAAGTGGCAATTTATTCGGTCTCATCGCTTCGGTCTTTCGTTTGCGAGATCTCGCGGCGAATAAGCTCTCTGCTTAGCCAAAGTCACTCAGATCTCGTATATGTCACTGGCGTTCCAGTCGGGTACGTCATTGTCCTCTGTAGAGGCTTTACGCGCATTAGTCTTTGGCACAATCGCGATGACAAGGATACGCACGGGAGGAACAGCGAGAAGATGTTGACGAAAGACAGACCCGGCAACGCGATCAAGTCCACCTGAGCAAGCCATGGATGTTCTTGACGAATTCTAGGGCATCCATGGGCATGATGGAAGAGAACTTGCGGGGTATATTTAATATACAGAGGTAGGGAAAGACGAAGCAAAGAGGGGGGTGAAGAGGGAATAGCAAACCCATGCAGAAGCTGACCTCTTTATACCTAGGTGCAAACACTAAGAAGATGGCCTGGCGTCTAAGGTATAAATGCATAAACAAAATTATAAAAGCGACTTGGGCTTGTCTACTGCTAATCGTATTATATTAAAGAATATATGAGTGTGACGGGATGCAGCCCAAATTGTTTGAATTTGATCGTACAGCTCTATCTTTGTCTCAAATGGTACACAGCTTTACTCTTCTATTCCAAATCGAACGAATTATTACACCAAAACAAAACAGAACAAGCATTAATACAAATACAAAATTTACCAAGGAGGCGCTTTACCAAGGAGGCGCAATAGCAGCAATCCCCTTCCCCAATTTCTGAATCTGCGCAGAATAGTACGTCTATCAAACTCATTAGCAAACTACTCATATTAACACCACCGGGAAAGAAAAAAGAACTTACACTCTCAGCCCCAGCCCCAATAAGATGCAACGGCAAGAACCGCACATACCACGGAACAGCCACTTTATTCAACAACATCTGCGCCTCACCATCCCCAACACTCTCATCCAGCAACAGACGCGGGAACTTGGGATCAATAGCCGCCGGCCGCCCAATACCAACAAGATCACAAGCATTATCCCTAATAGCCGCCTCAGCGCCAGCACGCGTGCGGAACCCACCAGTCAACATAAGCACGAGCCCAGGATGGCGCTGTCGCACCTCCTTCGAGAACTCCAGGAAGAAGGCCTCGCGCGCCGCGGTGCGCGATGATTTCGGTGCTGTCGCTGCATTGGCTTTCCCATAGCCCATCATCTTTGGGTCTTCGTAGCTGCCGCCTGAGATTTCCATGAAGTCGATGCCGGCTTCGGCGAGTAGTGCGATTTGCGTCATTGTTTCTTCGAAGGTTGCGGAGCTGTGGTCGGCTGAGTTGAGCTTGATGCCGATTGCGAAGGTTGCGGGTACGACTTTGCGCGTTTGAGATAGGATCTCGAGGATAAAGCGCGCGCGCTTTTCGGGCGTGCCGCCGTATGCGTCTGTGCGGAGGTTTGTCTGGGGGTTAGAGTTAGTATTGGTCTTGGTGTTGACAATGGTGTTTGTAGTTTGGGATGGGGCATAGGGGAACCGAGAGTGTCGTACCTTGCCGCTAAGGAATTGATCTAAACAGACGGAACCATTAGCACAAAGATTATCGAGCGAGTCATGCAAAAAAACAGGAAAGAAACATACCAATCAAATACCCATGCGCACCATGCAGCTCAATACCCGAAAACCCAGCATCCGCCATCAGCCTCGCGGTATCAACAAACTGACGAATAACCCTCTCAACATCCTGAGTGGTCATCTCCTTAGGCTGACTCCAAACCAGACACCCGATGAGCCTATCGAGGTAGCTATCTCCAACTTTTATGGGGACGGCGCTGGGCGCGAGCGTCTGCGCGAACATGCCGCGGCGGCCAGCGACGCGGAAGGACTGCCGGCCTGGGTGGCAGATCTGAGCGATGGCTGGCGTGCCGTGCTTTTGGCAGGTGTCGGCGTATTTCTTCCATTGCGCGACTAGGGCGCTGTTGGTTTTGCTGTCTGTGTATTCGCTGTGTAGGGCTGGGTCGAAGGGGCTGCCCATGTGGTTTACGTCGACTTGGACGTTTCCTGGTGAGGTGTTAGGTTTGGCTGTTGGTGATATGTTTTTATAGTGTAGGGTGGTAATTAGGGTCATGGTTAGGGCTTGAGGGTTTCGCATTTGCGATAGAAGTCCCAACCTCAACATGGCAGCATTGGACCTTACCTGTAAGAATACTCCCCCATCCACCGTTCGACCATTGCTCATAGGCATCAGCCAGGGCGGTTGTCGGCTCGTTCGTTTTGGCGATCATCTCAGCCATTGCGGCCTAAAGGGACGTTAGTTCCATGTGTGCATAGCCATTAGGCGTGATCAATGTATGTGATTTGTCGTACCTTGCTCAGCCTATTCGGCAAAACCAGTCCACATGGGAGCTTGACGGGGTCTGCGAGGGGAGAAGACATGGCGTATAAGCAGCTTCGTATGCGATTAATATATGGATATTGAATTCCAACGGATATAAAACACGCTGGTAATGATGTTTAGTCTCAATTCCTCTCACAATTTAAAGGACAGACGTACCTCTATACCACAGAATCCGAACAAGAAAACACAGAACGAACAGATACTCTTATGAATTTATAATAATATGAATTTGCAATAATATAAATTTGTAATAATATAAATTTGCTTTCAAACCCTCTGCCGTGAAGGGATGGGAAACTTATAGCCCTTAGTCATCTCGCCGCTGCGGAGAGATTGATCTCCCGGTCTTGTATTGTGGAGTCTTCAGGGCCGAGGTTCCACCTCGACGAAACGTGGATTGGAAAATCGGGGAGTTGGATTCATCCGTTGGAATTTACGCGTGTGCTTCCAAGGTTGGGGGGTTGGATTATCTGACGATCAGTGAGGGTTGCCGTTATTGCTAACTTAATAGGGAAGATGTTGCGAACTCTGAACATGTTAGGGTTTTTATTCATGAAGAATTGGACAAAATAAACGCGTGAACAAGCTAAATTGCACGATAAGATGTAGGTTAGTAGGATAATGATATAATATGTAAGTGATTTTAAATTTGTTCATTCATATGGCAATGGCAGCTAAATCCTAACTATCCCAAGATGCAAAGACCCTCAAAATGCGAGCAAAAACCAAAGAAAAAAAAGTGCTGGGTATTCAATCAGGGAAAAAGAAGTTCGTGTCCAACCCGAAAATGGGCAGAGAAGAATAAATAAAAAAAAAAAGAACTGCGCTCGAAACCAAAAGGGGAAATATGAAAGTCAAAAGTGACATGCGAGTCCATCACGCAGAGATCCTAAGCGCTGACAGATCAGAACGGATGTTCTTTTTTTTTTTTTGCAAAATGCAGTATGCAAAGCCGAGGACAAGAAAAAAAAGATCAAATCTTACAACTTGGCATTCTTCTCCTCAGTCGGGGAGCCACTCGCCGTCATGGGGGGCGAGATTGTTCCCAGACTTGAGAGGAGGTGGCCGACCTCGCGCTCAAGAGCGCGGACCTCAGTGTGAGGGTCATACATGCGGGCCTTGATCCAGTTGTCCAGCTCGACGTCGCTCATAGAGCGCAGGGCAATCTCGCGATCAACCTTGTCCTCCTGGGCAGCGCGCATCACCTTACGAGTGACGACGACACTGACCTCGCGGATGCGGGTGATGTCAGGGTAGAGCAGACCACGCTCGAGCTCCTCGCCGGTGAGGGCAGTGGAGAGAGCATCGCCGGAGGCGTAGATCATGCTGTCTGTGACACGGACGGCCTTGGACAGGATGCTGCCGAGACCGATACCAGGGAATACGTACATGTTGTTGCCCTGGCCGGGGTAGTAGGTGCGGGTCTCGCCGGCGGAGTTGGTGAAGGTGCAGTTGGGGAAGGGGGAGCCGGAGGCGAAGAGGCAGCGGCCGTCGGTGTTGACGACGGCGGTCTCGAAATCACACTCGGACTTTGAGGAGGGGTTGGAGAGGGGGAAGATGAGAGGGGCAGTGTTCCAGTCAGCCATCTTGCGCAGGATCTCCGGGGTGAAGACGCCACCCATGGTGGAGAGACCCATCAGGATGGAGGGCTTGACGTAATCGACGACCTCTTCGAGAGTCTTGTACTGCTCGCTGTTGTTGTCACGGCGGGCGAAGTAGACCTTGTGGTCGGCGAGCTTATCGCCGCGGTCAGCGGTGACAAGACCCTTGGTGTCAACGAGGTAGAAGCAGTTGCGGGCTTCGTCCTCGGTCATGCCTTCGCGCATGAAGAACTCGACGATCTGGCGGGCGACGCCGACACCGGCGCTGCCGGCGCCGAAGAACACGGCACGGTGGTCCTTGCAGGGCAGACCGGAGCGCTTGACAGCGTTGATGACACCGCCAAGGATGACAGCGCCAGTACCCTGGATGTCATCATTGAAACAGGTGTACAAATCACGGTACCGCTCAAGTGCGGGGAAGGGGTTCTTGAAATCCTCGAATTGGATGACGATACTAGAGAAGCATTGTTAGTCGCGGTTGCTATAGGGAGATCACCCGAAAAACATGTGATAATGAGTCACTTACCCAGGCCAGCGCTCGGTAAGAGCAGCCATCAGCTCGTCCAAGAATTCCCGCTCCTCCTCGGGTGTGATCTTCTCACGACGGCTGCCCATGTACAGCGGGTCTTCCCGGAGGGCCTTGTTACCAGTACCCAGATCGAGAGTGAGAGGCAGGGTGGCCTCGGGACGAATACCCGCACAGGCGGTGTAAAGAGCCAGTTTGCCAATGGGGATACCCATACCGTTGATGCCCAGATCACCCAGTCCGAGGATGCGGGAGCCATCGGTGATACATGTGATTTCAACGCTAGACTCGGGCCAATTGGAGATGACCGAAGCCAGATTTCCGCGATCTTCCCAGCTCAGGTACATACCTAAAACGAGTGTTAGCGTCTCCGGTTCTAATTCGTGTGCGGAGAAGTAGCCAATTGCGGAGAATGTGACAATTCGACTGCGGAGAAGATGATCTCAGTCATCGCTGGTACGTACCTTCGGGCTGTTGGTAGATCTCGGACCACCGTTGACAAGCCTCGCCCACCACTGGGGTATAGATCAGGGGGGTCATTTCCTGCAGGGATTATTATGGTTAATTTTCGTCATCCCAAGATTCCCCGGCCCAATCACATGTCTCGGAGCTCAACGTACCCTGAGGTGGTCTGTCACCAGACGGTAGAACAGGTGCACATTGTTCTTGCGCAGAGTGCTGAGGTATAGGAATTTTTCGATAGGAGTGTTCTTCAGACCCAGCTGTGCCAGGCATCTGGTCTTTTGTGTCTCGTAGCCCTCGGCGCGAGGAGGAGTGAGGCCGTATGTGCG